CACAGCCGGAATATGCTGTCTGAAACTTGACTTCCCCTACCTTCCCAAGTCTGGATGTCAAAAGTGATGCCTCCTCCAGGAAGCCTGCTTTGACTTACCTCTGCTTCCTCCACCTGAATGGCATCAACTGACTCCTCTGAGTTCCCAGAATGCTCTTCTTTGTCAACTGCATTGATTTCATTTTGTCTTTTTGAGGCGAGCTCTCCCTATGCAGCTCAGGCTGGCCTGGAGCTCACCTTGTAGCCCAGGCTGGTCTTCACCAAGTGCTGGGATGACAGGCGTGCATCCCCAGCCCAGCTAATTTTGTTCATTTTTAAGCAATAATTAGTTTTTCCTTCCAATTAGACTTTTTTTCGGTATTTTGAGACAAGGTCTTGCTTTGTAGTTCAAGCTGGCTTGAACTCACTGTGTATCCCAGGCTGGCCTTGAACTTGTGACAATCCTCCTGCCTCAGCCTCCTGAGTGCTGGGATCACAGGCATTCAGCACCATACCTGGAAAACTAGATGTTTTGATGGGAATTGTGATTTTTCTCCTCAATAGACCATTAAATGAAAAAGAGCATGTTTTGGGCCAGGGTGGTGGTACACACCTGTAACCCCAGCACTAAGGAGGCTGAAACCAGAGCATTATCATGAGTCCAATGCCAATCCGGGCTACATGGTGAGTTCCAGGCCAGCCTAGACTACACGGAGAGACCCACTGCAAAAAACAGAAAACAGAAAGAGAGTGTACTTTGGTCAGACATAGTGGATACGTCTATCGCTCCAGCACCCTGGGAGGCTGAGGCAGCAGAACCTGGGCCATTTAGGGATTGGATGAGACTGTGTCTCAAAACAGAAAATAGAAAAAGGCCTGCAGATGTAGCTCAGTGCAAAGGCCCTGAGTTCACTGTCAAAGCTAGAAAAAGAAAGAACATATTTTTCTAGACTCACACACCACATGCCTTAGCAGGGCTCTCAAGTAAACACAGCGACAGCAGGAGCTGCTAACCAGGACGTGGAGCAGCTGGAATGCTGCCTGGGCAGTCCTGAGAGCGCGAAATAGTCCATGTCAGGAGAGGCTTGGCAGGTGGGCGTTTTATTTTGTTTTCAATTTTTAAATTGTTTTTGTCTTTTTGAGGCAGGGTCTCGCTATGCAGCTCAGCCCGGCCTTGAGCTCACTCTGTAGCCCAGGCTGGTCTTGAACTCACAGTGATCCTCCTGCCTCAGCCTCCCGAGTGCTGGGATTGGCAATTTTTTTTTTAGTAATTTCTTATAATGTTCAACTGACAGTCACCACAGGCCAGTGATTCACACTTTTTTTCTCCCAGGGAGCAACAATGGTACACACAATGCTCATTGTCACCCCCAAATCAGTCACCCAGAGCACAAGACATTTATCTACATTCAACACCTGCACAAGTCTTTCTCTTCAGTGGGGTCCGAGTCAGCAGTAGTGTAAGCAGCTTACCTGTCTTTTATACATATGCATCAAACACATATACTTGTGTTTTCTTTCAGCTTCTCACACTAATGAAACAATGTGATGTTTGCACGTGTCTGATTTATTTCACTGAGTGTGTTCTCAAGTGCACCCATTCACCGATAGCAGTGTCCTGTTTATCCTTCTTTACGGCTGAATAGTACTCTGCTGTATAGAAATACATCTTTTTTATCCATTCTTCAGTTGATGGGCATCTAGGTTGTTTCCCAGATCTGCCTATTATAAACTGTGCTGCTGTAAACGTGAGTGCACGTATATGATTGTGGTGTGATGTTTTCAGTTCTTTTGGGAAGACACCCAGAAGGGAACCGCTGGGTGGAATGGGACTGCAATCCTAGCTAGTTTCCTGAGGCGTCTCCACTCGGATCCCCACAGGGCTGCCCCAGCCTGCACTCCCAGCAGCACGGCGAAGGCTCCTTCCCCCGCAGCCCCGCCAGCGTTTGCTCCTGGCCGATTTCTTGCTAACAGCCATTCCTTTCGGGGCGAGATGGAATCTCACTGTTTGAATTTGCATCTCTCCAGTGACGGGTGCTGATGGACATTTTTTCCATTTATTTGCTGTTTGTTTTTCTTCGTCTGAGAAGCGCGTGCTCGTGTCAGATGCCCGTCTTTGGATTGGGTCTCTAAACCTGCGAGGACGGGTGTTTCTGAGATCTTTCTGTGTTCCCGACAGTGATCCTGGCCTGAGGCCCAGAGGCGGACATTTCCTCCCCGCTGTGGGCCGTCTCTGCACTCTGCTGCTTCTCTTGCTGTGCAAAAGCTTTCCAGGAGGTGGACCCCGGGGGTGATTCCTGGGACGGTTCCATGCAATCGGGGTGTTGTTCGTAAGGTCTTTGCCTACACCAGCGTCTTCAAGAGTTTTACCTCACTGTCTTCCAGCAGGTTGAATGTTTCTGTTTTAATATTAAGATTTTTAAGCGGGGCGTGGTGGTGCAAGCTGTCATCCCAGCACTCGGGAGGCTGAGGCAGGAGGATTGCTGTGAGTTCAAAACCAGCCTGGGCTACAGAGTAAGCTCAAGGCCAGCCTGAGCTGCACAGCGAGACTCTGCTTCAAAAAGATACAATAAAAATTAAGATCTTTGATCCATTCTGGTTTTAGCTTAGTGCCTGGAGAAAGAGATGGGTCCAGTTTTAATCCTCAGCAAGCATAGGGTCTGCTTTTCCAGCACCATTTACTAAAGACAGCCATTCACTCTTAAGTGTTTACCTAAAAAACCAAAACCCTCTCCCCTGCTCAGGCCTGCCTCAACCTCCGAGTGTTGGGATTACAGATACATGCCCCCACACCCAGCTAAAAAGAATTCTTTTTGTGTGTGCGCTGGGAATCAAACTCAGGACCTCATGCTTGCCAGGCAGGCACTGTGCTGCCGAGCTGTACTCCTGGCCCAAGAGTTGTTAAAATATTAAAAAAAAAAAAAAGAAGAAGAAAGAAAGCCTAGGCATGGTGGCACTTTCCTGTAAACCCAGCTACTTAGGAGCCTGAGGCAGGAGGGAGACTTAGCAATACCCCAAGTTAAAATGAAATCACGCAGGCGTGGTGCACACACCTGAAATCCAGCACTCGGGAGGCTGAGTCAGGAGGATCACCATGGGTTCAGGGCCAGCCTGGGCTACAAAATGAGCTCAAGGCCAGCCTGAACTGCATAGCAAGACCCTGCCTCAAAAAGACAAAAATAAAACAGGGCCAGATTTACAGCTCAGCAGCACAAGTGCCTGCCTGGCAAATGTAAGGTCCTCAGTGCCATTCTTGGTACCAAAAAAGAAAATAAGCCCTGTGGATCAGAGTCAGTGGAGCCATGACAATTTTTTTTTTTTCACTTTTTTTTGAGACAGAGAGTTTCGCTGTGCGGTTCAGGCTGGCATTGAGCTCACTTTGTAGCCCAGGCTGGTCTCGAACTCACAAGGATCCTCCTGCCTCAGCCTCCTGAGTGCTGGGATTATAGGCACGAGCCACCACGCCCGGCTTGCTGTGACAATTTATCATCTTCATTCTGGTCATTGGGTCATGGTTACACAAGAATCGGTTATCGATGTTAGGGACCCAGGCTGCCATATTTAGGAAACAATACACAATTGGGAGAGAGACGGGGCGGGGGTCTCTGTCAGAAGGAAGTGGGGAGGATGCGGCCATGGGGGAGTGGCTGGGCGTAAAAACAGGGTGGGAATTTCCTCACTGGGATCCCGTGTGCCGCCTTTCTCAATATTAAAAGCTGCCGCCTTGCTCTAATTTTGTTATTTTGAATCTCACTACATCATTCTCCCTGGGCTCAAACTTGGGATTCTCCTGCCTCAGCCTCCTGAGTGCTGGAAAGGCCAGACCCCCTCCCCGAGTACCTCTGGAGGTAGCCCAGGTGCAGCCTTCAGTTACTGTAACAAAACGGCCCAGGCGATCAGTTTACCAAGAAGACAGGTTTATTTTGGTTCTCGGCTGTGGAGGCTCCTGTTCGCTTCATTGCTTTGGGACTACGGTGAGGTAACCAGCACAGGCCTCCTGTCATGACAAAGAGCAGGAGACAAACCAAATCAGTCACTCGGAGCCAAGACACAGGCAGGAGAGAAAAGCCGGGGGTCCCATAGTCCCCTTGGTTCAGTATTCAATGATTTAAGGACCTCCCACCGGGTCCCCTGAAAGGGGATCAGCACAAGACAGGACAGAAATCTTCTATCATCCAGGACACCCACACTTTAATCTAATTTCTTTCTTTCTTTTTTTTTTTGCACTGGGCATTGATTCCAGGGCCTTCACACTGAGCTACGTCCCCAGCCATTTTTATGTTTTATTCTGGGTAGGGTCTGGCTGAGTTGCTAAATTTCCCAGGCTAGGTTTGACATTTTTATTCCTTTGAGACAGGATCTTGCTATGTAGTTCAGGCTGGCCTTGAACTCACTATGTAGCCCAGGCCGGCCTCAAACTTGCAAGGATCCTCCTGCCTCAGCCTCCCGATCACATCACCATTGTGTGCCTGCCGGATTTTAAACGCTGGTTTGCTCACCGTCTCAGAGCCTTCTAGTAAACTGAGTTATGAGCTGGTTTGGACACAAAATACCCAACGATTCAGGTCCTGGGATCCTCTGAGGCCTCAGTTTCCCCTGTGTGGACCGGATATTCTGTACTCCCCACATCCTGTTTTCCTCTCTGGTTTTCTCTCTCTTGACCGGAAATGGCACACACTGAGCAGCTCCTGAGCCCACCGGGAACTCGGTGTGAAACCGCAAAGGTACCTACTAGGACTGCTCCCTCTAGCCCCAGAAAACACTCCAATGGCTGGGCCCCGCGCCAGACTTTTATTGTGAAGCCGAGGCCACAACCTATGAGGTAATCCTTGGAGTTTCAATTGAGGAGGACTCTCATTGGTCGGTTGCCTAAGCTCCGCCCAGGGTTCCCGGCGCCCCGCCTCCTCAGAAGCCTATAAAGGCGCGGGTCGTCGGGGCTGCCGGCAGCAGACACTTCTACCTCCAATCAGGCTGCCGCCAGGTGAGCGCGGGGGGAGGGCCGAGGCCGCTGCGCGGGGGGAGGGGTGCTCGGGGCTCCCCGAGGCCAGACGGGGCTGATCTGCAGGCCAACACCTGTGCAGCTTCTCAGGAAGCCACAGAGGTGGCGAATCGCAAGGGGCTCCACCCGGCCTGGCCGCCTGGTGGGGCGGGTAAGTTCGGGACTGACCGCGCGTGGGGGGGCAGGTCGGAGTGATAGTTTTAATTTCTGTGCGTGCGCGCGTGCGTGCACGTGGTGCGCGCCCCCAGGATGGCGGGGACAGAAAGGGGGCTCCCTGAGAGTCAGGAGAACAGAGACCGAGCAGTGTGAGGGGGCCGGGGAGGGAAGAGGAAAACGCCAGGCAAGTTATGTGAGCGCCCCGGTAGGGGAAGCGCTCGTCCCCCACCCCATCGATTCAGCACCGGGGCTCCGGACAGCGCCGCGCGGTCCGGCTCAGCACCGGGCTGCGGACAGCTCCTGGCCACGGCCTGGCCTTTCCCCGCTGATTTCTAGGTGAGGGGTTACACTGAGCTGCCTGGAGCTCCTGCGATGCACCCCCTCGATTAAGGGGTTCGCAGAGTGAATTATTTTCCAGAGGAGGAAGCGACGGCGTGAAGCCTGCGAGTCCTTGACAGGTAACTGCCACCCGCCGAGTGGACACTCCCGGGCCCTTTCCAGGCTTCAGGGCACTATGCCCGGAGGGCCATGCGCTTGGTGCCACGCTGTCCCCGAGTCGGGGCTGCCAGCCGGCTGCTTGTAGTCCCAGCGTGGGTCTGAGTTCCCTGGGATGGAATTGGGGGGCTGGGGTCCCCAGGGGCGGGAGCTCTCACAAGGGCCCACGCGGAACCCTCCACCCCGACCCCACATCCGCCCAGCTCCAAGTCCCCTGTGTCCCATGTGCCCGTGGGGGGCCTGGGTCCCGGGGATCTCACCCTGCCTCTCCCAGGGGCACCGGGAACAGCAGGCCACGCAGAAGCAGGAAATGCGCGCCTCCAGCTCCACCCAGGTGAGGCCACGGCGCGGGCCCGGGGTCTCAGGCGCGGGGCTGAGGCCGAGGGAGGAGCCCGCGGGGCTGTGGCCCAGCGCTGTGTGGAAGACTAGTGATTTTGTTGTTCTGATGTTGGATGACAACAAGTCACAGCCGGCCACACAGCGCGGGCTCCCGGCGTCAGTCAGCAGCAGGGGACAAGCGAGGAGGGGGTGGGCTTGGGGGTCAGCGAGCAATCGCCCCACCACCACCGTGGCCAGCTGATGCCATGGGCCGCGGGCACAGGGATGGCTGGGAAGGACACCTCTGTGTCACACAGCAGATGTGACTCGGGCTGGGGTGCAGCTCGGTAGCAGGAGCCTGTGACCCCCACACATATCTGACTCGAAACCCGAGAGCCTTCCCTGCCCAGCCATGCAGGGGAATCAGTGGGGAATGGCCTTCGAGGTCCCCTCGCCAGCCAGGGCACTGAAGACACCTGAATAAAAGTTCCAGAAGTGACTTCTGTCCCCCGTCCTCCATCGGGCCCCCAGATGCCCGCAGGACGGGGTGAGCGTGTCCATCACACCCTCTGTGACATCCGATTCCAGTCACCGAGCCCACATGGGATTGCTTCTGGCTCCCAGGCCGCCGTCTTGTTGCCAGCTTGGCTGGGAAGCCACTGTCCCCTCCGGCCCAGAGCTCCGCAGGGCTGACCGCCTTCCTGCCCGGGCTTCTTTCCATCAGGGGCAACTGAGTCCCAGCACCGAGCGTGTGATTTACAATCCCGCAGACCTGGGCCATCGAGGCCCTGGAGTGGACTCCTGCCATGCTCGTGTGTCTGGTCCCTGTGGCTCTGTGGGCTCCCTGCTGTGTCCCCAGTGCCCCTTCCAAGGCCGGGCACCCAGCAGGTGCTCAGTACCTGCTTGTGGAATCCACAAAGGCATCAGAGACTACACCGATAAGTCAGTCGATGCACCACACGCGTTCAGCCCTCTCGGGGCCTCCCCACAGAGATACCATGGGGCGACATCGGTGCCAGGTGTTTATCGAGGGACTATAATTAAATTTATGGGCTCTCAAGGGCCGGCCAGCCAGCTAATAGCCCCGTGGGAGAGCCCGGCTCGTTTAATTAGCAATTACGAGGCATTGATTCTTCATTAGCTCGGGCAAGCGGTGTCTCCCTCCTCAGCCGCCGGCAAATGAAACCGGGCTGTCTCGGGAGCGTTTCCCTGGTGGAGAAAACGGAATTAGGGAACCCCAAAGTGCCACAGGCACCCGATGGGGTAAAGTCAGCACAGGGGATTCGCAGTCTGGGTGAAGTCTAATTGCAGGGGAGATTCCAGTGAGTTTAGAATCATCCTCTGAGAACAGGAAAGAGAAAGGAATCCATATACTGTCTTGTGGTGGTGCACACCTGTGATCCCAGCACTCGGGAGGCTGAGGCAAGAAGATCGCTGCGAGTTCGAGACCAGCCTGGGCTACAGAGTGAGCTCAAGGCCAGCCTGAGCTACACAGTGAGACCCTGACTCAAAAAGACGAGAGAGAGAGAGAGAGAGAGAGAGAGAGAGAGAGAGAGAGAGAGAGAGAGTCAGCCAGCCCTGGGTGTCCACTGGCCACCCCCAAATGAGCCACTTTGAACACAGCACCCCATCCATGCAACCTGCAGGTCTCCTCGCCTGCCATGTGGCCCGCACCCTCAGCCCGAGGCAAGTCACTGCCTCCACCATCTGCTCCTCTTCAGCCTGCTGTCAGCAGGTCGAGGGTCTCAACCCCGGTCCACATGCACACCCACCATTGCAGGGCTGTGTGTGTGTGTGTGTGTGTGTGTGTGTGTGTGTGTGTGTGTGTCGGGACTGACCAGGGCCTCCACACTGAGCTCCATCACCACCCATTTCTCCTTTGGAGACGAGGTCTTGCCGAGTCATTGGCCCTGGCTGAGCTCAAATTTGCAACCCTCCTGCCTCAGCCTCCTAGAACGTTGTGGTGCCTGCACCCAGCTCAGTGATGGCTTTCACCCTCCATGTCTAGCTCGGGGGCGGCACCCAGTAACTATTCACTGAGGGTGTCACGAGATAAGGCCAGCCACCCACCACCCCGTCCTGGCCACCCCGTCCTGGCCAGCCCTGAGAATCCACCCGCAGCTGCTCGGGCTGCTGACCCCGCCGAGGCAAATGAGATGCCCCTGCCTCCGGCCTTCGCGCTGACAGATGGCTGGTGATGCTTCCTCTCCTCCTGGGGTCTTGTTGAAAAGACTCCTGCGGGCCTGGAACCCCATTCTGACCCACGGCAGATCCCGAGGGTCAAGGGCATAGTTACCAGGGCACTGCCTTCGCCTCAGACACAGCCACCACGTGCTCCTGGCTCCCCAGTCACGCGCACTCTGGCCACTTTTCCCCAAACTTGGGTGTCCTACGGCCTCCTCAGGTTGAATACTTAAGTAGCAACGGACTCACAGGACTTAGCTGTCACCGTACTCCAAATGACAGCTTCATACCTGGGCACAGGGATGCACACCTCTAATCCTGGCACTGAGGGAAGCTGAGGCAGGAGAATCTCAAGTTCAAGTCCCACCTAAACAATTTAGTGAGACCCTGCATCAACATAAAAGGAAATAAAAATAAAATGGGCTATTCAGCCGGGTGTGGGAAAGCACACCTGTCATCCCAGCACTCGGGAGGCTGAGGCAGGAGGATCACTGCAAGTTCAAGTCCAGCCTGGGCTTCAAAGTGAGCTCAAGGCCAGCCTGGACTGCACAGCCAGACCCGGTCTCAGAAAGACATAAATAAAATAAAATAAAATAGGTTAGGGATGTAGCTCAGTGGTAGAGTATGCTGGGTTTGAACCTCAGTAACCAGGTGGGGTGAGGATGGAGAGAGAGAAGAGTTACAGCTTCATCAAGAAGGGCAAAACTCAAATCCAACCAAGAAGGAATGCGAAAGATAAAGATGGGAGGGTGGCAAAGACAGACCCCGCGTTCTCCCCCGATGGAGCTGAGTTCACGTGTCAGCGTGTTTGGTGCTACTGTAACACAGCGCCTGAGGCTGGATGATTTCTAAAGAAAAGAGGTTTGAGGACCGCAGTGTGGGGAACCGGGCTGAGCCCACCCCTGGTGACAGCCTCCTTGGCGGGGCACTCGGGTGGCACAGGGCATCCTGGGGAAGGACAGGGGAGTCACACGGGCGCCCGTGTGTCCTCTGACCTCCGTCCCTCCTCTGACAAAGCCACCCCACCCTGCGAGCTCATCTGACGTCCGTCTCCCCAGACAGCAGGCTCAGGGCTTGGGGTGGCACCACGAGGGCAGGCACAGGCCCCCGCCTCCGGGTCCCTGTCCTCCATTTCTGGGGCGCGTAGCTTAGGAAATGTTGCTGTGCTCAGCTGAAAACCGGGGGCTGTGATGCGCAGAGGGGGAGGACAGCTGCGGGGACAGGTCCTATCTCTGCTGCAGAAGCTACACATCCAGGAATATGTCCTCCTGGACGCCTGTATCCGCCCCAGAGCTCCCAGAGGCCGATTTCCTGGCTCTAACAGCCAGAAGCAAGACTCGAGGTTACACAGCAGGAAAACTCAAATGATGACAAGGCAGAGGGCACAGCAAAGTAGCGATGTCACTGCTACGGTTTGGAGCTGAACATTCCACCAAGTCCCGTGTGTTAAAAAATAGTCTCTAGCTTGGCCCTGCTGAGAGGTCGTGGGACCTTTAAAAGGCGGGGCTTAGGTCACTGAGGGTGTGGCCTGGGGCGTGGCCATTGAGGTCTGGATTGACACCAATCCACTGTTCTGCAGTGAAGCCAAGGCCCTGTGGCCAGAGATCGTGAACTGAAGTCCCCTAAGCCGTGAACCAGGACTGCGGAGTCCTGAGACGTGCGCAGGCATGGGGCTCAGGCAGCAGCGTCACAAGTTCAAAGCCAGCCTGAGGAATTTAGCAAGACCCTGTCTCAAAATAAAATTTTCATAAAAACATCGGGGCTGTAGCTCAGCGGTGAGTGTTTACCTCACATGGTGTGAGGTCTGAGATTTCCACTCCAGGGCTATTTTTTTTTAAAGATAGCAAAAAAAGGGCACCCTAGGATGTGTCTATGGGTTAACCAGACCACAGAGAGGAAGAAAAAGAAACTACCCATCTCCTCTGGCCACAGTGGGACAGGAAAGAGAAACACCCATTTTTCTCATGTGCCTGGGACCAAACACCTGTTTGTTGAATGAATATTAAGAATTGAGAGCTAGAGTCCAGGCACTGACGGAGGCTGAGGCACGAGGATCACAAATTCAACTCTTTCCCTGAAGCAACTGAGGCAGACCCTGAGTCCAAATAAAAAATAAATGGAAAAGAGATAAAGTGAAAATAAGACCGGCGGGGGTGCCGCCCCGTGGTGGAGCACCCTGCGTTCCGTCTGCAGTGCCAGAGCAGCTGGGAAAATTACAAATCCTCAGCCAGCGTTTCTGGAGGGCGGGCTGCTGTACCCCACTGTGGTTCGAGCACTTTCGGCTTGGGTTTGTGGTGCTGGAGGTTCAGTCTGGACCCCCAGGGTTGTGAGCTAAGCGCTCCCGGCTGAGCTGCCCCCAGACCCTTTTATTATCCTCTGAGACAGGGTTTTACCAAATGCCCGCGCTGGGCTTGAACCTGCAGCCCTCCTGCCTCAGCCTCCGAAAGTGCACCAGTGTCAAACCTGTGCCACTGCTGCCCCCGCCACGTCCCTTTTCATGGCTAAATGATATTCCACGGTGTCTGGGCCACGTTTGATCCATCCTGACAGTGTCTTGGTGGCCTCAGACAGTATCTCCCAAGAGGCAGGTTCTGTACAGAACCACTTTTCCAAAAAAAAAACCCAGAGAGGTCAGGCAAGTTGGCCCAGGTCGTCCAGCTAGCGGGCCCCAAGGTCAGTTTAGGATCCACAGTTGGCGTCTGCAGGCTGGACCACTGGCCTGCACCTCTCATGGCTCGGTGCTCAGAAGCAGCAAGACGGCCACGCTGTGTCCCTGTCACGTTCCCAGGGGAGGATGTCAAGGTCCACAAGGACGGGGTGGGCCAGGAGTGGGGGCCCCTGCCTGTGATCCCAGCGCCCAGGAGGCTGAGGCAGGAGGATCGCTGCACGTCCAAGCCCGGCCCAGACCACCCGAGAGTTCAAAGTCAGCCTGAACTACACTGCGAGAGCTTGTTTCAAAACTCACACACACACACACACACACACACACACACACACACACACACACGTTAGGAACACAAGCGGGCTTAGGTAGTCAGACCATGAGTCACCCCCACCCAGGGGGTCTTCCTGACCCCTGCCCACGCCGGCTCCTGCGTGTGTGTGTTTCCGAGAATTTTATTTTGGAGAGCAGGTCGGGGAGGAAGACAGGACCGGCCAGGCAGGCTGGGGGTCCATCCGCTGCCCAGAGAGCCTTGATTGCTTCCGGCCCCTTAATGGGTCCTTCACTGGAGAGCGGTTTGGGTTTCCATGGTAACAGGCAGGCAGCCTCCGGAGGAGGAGATGCCTGCGCCCCCCTGCAGCCCACAGCGGTGTCTGGGGCCACCCCGCTCTGTGGCCGCCATTTCCCACCCACCCCCCACCTCCCGTTCCAGGGGGTGCAAGCCCGGCCTGGGTGGGGGTCACAAAACTTCTCCGGGCCCGGGGGGGGGGGAGGCCTCTGCCTGGGCACTGTCACCAGGCCCAGCAGGGCCCGGACAAACTTACAGTGGCCAGCTGCCCATGGCGAAGCACACTGTGCCCCAGCACTCGGGAGGCTGAGGCAGGAGGGGCCCGAGTGTGAACGCAGCCCGAGCAACTTAGCCAGGGAGCCAGACCCTGTCTAAATACAAAAAAGGAGGAGGTGGGGGAGCTCAGACCTGGGGAGCAATCTCCAACCCCCCCAAAAAGGGGGGCTGTACCCTGCTCTTTGATCTGGAACCCCCTAAAATGTTCACTGGAGGGGAGGGGAGATACTAAATGGACCACAGCTGCCAGGGTGCCAAGCTGGGTGTTTCTTTCTTCCTCCTGGGATGTTTTTGTTTGTTTCGGGTTCTTTGGGGTTCAGGGCACTTGGCCACCCAGCCACACCCACAGCCCTTTTTAATTTTTTTTGCTGACACGGGATCACTAAATTGTCCAAGCTGGTGATCCTCCTGCCTCAGCCTCCTGAGTGCCAGGGTTACAGCTGTGTGCCACCCCACCTGGTGGCTTCTTTTGTTAGCTTGTGGACCCTCAGACAGCTAAAAAGCCAGGCCCGCTGGCACAGGGGCCAGAGGATCTCCTTGGGGCTCTGGCCTGGCGGTCTTTGGGTTGGATAGATCTCTGTCACGGCAGTGGGCTTCCCTACACCTCCACATGTCCCCGTGGTGACCTCTGATGCCAGGGCGTCATTTCTGGGTTTCCCATGTGCCGCGAGGATCTGGAGATAACACCCTTCCATATGGTGCTTCTGTAAGATGTCCCGTGGCCCCGTGAATCCCCTCCCATCTCCCCACCTCCCCTGCTCCCTCTGCTCCAGCCGCACAGGCTTCTCCTTGCTGGTCCTGCGGCCCAAAGCTCCATCCTGCCCCAGGGCCTTTGCTCGGGCTGTGTGTTCTCTCTCCCTAGATTTTCATACATTGCTTTCTCAAAGGACACCTTCCAGGTGACCAAGGCCAGGCCCTGGGCTCCATCCCTAGTACTGCAGACAGGGACGGACAGACAGGAGGGGACAGGGAATGAGGGATGAAAGAAAACAAAAAAACAAAAGAGAAAAGACACCCCCAGCAAAGATATCCCGGGTCCCCTTTCTCAGACTCTGAATCCCCTTCTGGCCTCTTGTGATGTCGTCAGCCAGCGCCAGAGCTTCCCCCAGCACTGCCCACTGCCCAGTCTCCTTTCTACCTGACAGCTGAGGACAGAATTGCCTCCGTCCCGGCGCACTGCACAGCGCAGGTCCAGCCCCCAGAAGGGGACGAACCCTCATCTCGGTACCACACTCTGCGCATGCTCCAATCCCGCCTAGAGCTGGGCACAGCGGACCACGGCGGTCATCTCGGCACTCGGGAGGCTGAGGCAGGAGGGTCACTGCCAGCTCAAGGCCAGCCTGAACTGCATAGTGAGACTCTGTCTCAAAAAGACAAAAAATATTTTAAAATATTTTAAAAGTAAATATTTAGGGGGCTGGGGATTTAGCTCGCAAGCAGGCAGTCGTGAGTTCGATCCCTGGTACCGATAAAAACGAAAAAGACAAAAAAAAAGTAAATATTTATAAACATTATTTATGAATATAAATATTTATTTTTAAAATATAAAAATTTTTTTTTCATCAGTGACAGGAGCACACACCTCTACCATGCCAATGACTCAGGAGCTGAGGCAGAAGAATCAAATGTTCAAGGCCCCACCAGGGGAATTTAGTGAGACCTTGTCTCAAAATAAAAAATAAAAGGGGCTGGGGATTTAGCTCAGCGGCATAAGCACCTGCCTTGCAAGCAGGTGGTCGTGAGTTCGATCCCCGTTACCGATAAAAAAGAAAGTAAATAAAAAATAAAAACAAAAAATAGTACTGGGAATGTGTGTCGGTGTGAAGGCTCTGGTTTCCATCTCAGGACCTTAAAGGGGGGGGGGGCGTTCTCTGTGTTGTCTGAATGTTTCTCATTGCAAACGCTGACAAGCTCCCAGGCAGGAGGTGGCCCATCCCTAAGCCTCCCGTCACCTCCCTGGGGACAGGGACGGGCAGTGCAGGGACAGGACGCTCTCAGATTCAAGCCTAGCCTGGGAACTTTGTTTCGTTTATTTGGTTTAAGGGCTGGGATGTAGCTCAGTGCAAAGGCCCTGGTTCAACTCACAGTATAATTAATGCATCAACTTTCACAGGCAGGAAAGCAGCGGGCGCACCAGGCACGCGCACCCTGCGACAGGTGGGCTGCAGCGGTGTCCAGGGTGTGACCGGGAGACGCAGACGACGGCTGGGTGAGGCCCTTTATTACTACGGGAACCGGACGTTTCCACGGCTCCCCCAAGGCCTCCCTCCCCTCCAATACGTCAAACCGTCACTCCCGCGTCTCTCCAAAGCGCCTCTGAGGTCCTCGTCCCTGAAGTGTGATCAAAAATACGGTGAATGGGCCAGGGACACAGCTCAGCAGCACCAGCGCCTGCCTGGCAAAGTCAAGGTCGTGAGTTCGAGACCCAGTACCGGGAACAACAACAACAACAAAAATCCTGCAGCTGCAGAGCACCATCTACTAGAAGGCAGACCTGAAAACCACGCCCACCTTCGTCACGGGGTCTGGCACCTGTCACTTCTGGCCACTGCTCCAAAGTGAAAATGACCACAAAAGGGAAATATTTAGAGTCAATTTGGGACATCAAGGTGGTACCATAGCATTATAAAAGAGACCCTGAGCCAGGTGCCGTGGCTCACACCTGTGATCCCAGCACTCGGGAGGCTGATGCATGAGGATCCTTGTGAGTTCCAGGCCAGCCTGGGCTACAAAGTGAGCTCAAGGCCAGCCTGAACTGCACAGCGAGACCCTGCCTCAAAAAGACAAAAACAAAGAAAGAGAGAGAGAGAGAGAGAGAGAGAGAGACCCTGAACAGCTGATAACCTGTCTTTAAAAAGGTAATTATCACTCAGAAGGCTGAGGGAGGAGGATCACCTTGATTTCAAGGCCAGCCTGGGCTACATAGTGAGACCATAACCAAAACAAACAAAACAAAAAAAGAGAAAATGTTATTTGAGCGGTTGCAGCCCTGTGACTGAGGAACTTGATCTCTTGCTGAGGTTGGATTCCACTTTAATTTCAGCCCCGAGGCCAGTGGGAACCCTGTTAGTCCACCAAACTCCAGCCTCTGGCTTCCTTCTTGTGGGCCACGCCGTTTGTGCTCACTTCCCATTGGCCCGGATGTGGTCATATGATTTCACCTAGCTGCAAGGGAGGCTGGGAAATGTAGTTTTTCCTCTGAGCCGCTATGTGACCCTGCGGAATCCTGGGAGGAGGAAGGCGAGCACGGATCGAGGGATGGCACCGAAGTCTTGGACACATTTACCAATCCTCAAATAAAACCCACGCTCCCACGGCCCCACGCTTCCCTCGTGTGTGTCCCTAAGCACAAGGGCGCCTCCTCAGCCTGTTCCACTCAGGACTCCAGATCTCCTCGCTGGTCATCAGGACAAACCCTGGGAGTCTGTCACCTCCCCGCGGTGCACAGCGACCACTGCAGACGAGGCCCATCTTGGATTCCAGCAGCCCTTTCCCTGGCTGACCCAAGCGTCCCTCTCCAGAGTGCTGGGTGCCCAAACACTTGTCCTTGGTCAGAGCCAAGGCAGGAAGAGGCTTTCTGGTCAACCATGGAATGACACTGGGAAAAAAAGCTGTCCTTCAAACTAGCAAGGGCTCCCACTCGGGAGGCTTCCTGTGTCGCCTGGCAACAGCACTGTTTTCCTGGAGGCCCGTTGCTAGGCGATCTCCTCACCGTGCGGCCACGCGGAAGGTCCTCACACAGCGGAGATGACGGAGCCCGGCACACACCCGGACCGCAGGGTGCAAAAGGCACAGCCTGTTGTTCCCAGGCCACAGTGAGTGAGGGACAGGAGACTGAGTCAAGAACAGGCAGCCAGGCATGGTGGGGCACATGGCAGTCATGGCCTTACTCAGGAGGCTGAGGCAGGAGGCTCACCGTGACTTCAAGGCCATAGCAAGACCCTGTCTCAAAACAAAACAAAACACACTGAAAAATATGGTTACAAGCAGGGCGTGGTGGTGCACACCTGTCATCCCAGCACTCGGGAGACTGAGGCAGGAGGATCACTGTGAGCTCAAGGCCAGTCTGCACTACATAGTGAGACTCTGTGTCAAAACACTAAGACTGATAGATCATAGAGATAGAGGTATGCAGCTACACTAAATACACAAATATGCATTTCCCCCGTTGCCAGTTGGTGATGAAAATTTTGAGCTCCTTTATACTTTCACGAGGTCACCATCCCATGTGCCGCCCCTGGCTGGGTCAGGCTCCGCTTCCCATGCTTGGTGATTTTGCTCCTCTAACCCTGGCATCGCCGGTGGGTACACCAGGCTCGGGGGCCCTCTGTGCAAGCTCACGTGGCCTGTGAGGGCTGGCTCAGGGCCCGAGTGGGGAAAGGCTGGTGATAGCACCCGAGTCTCCCCACCCTGAGCACCTTCCTCTGCTGCTGGCACCTCGGGGAAGGATGCGTTCACCCCAGAGCCTGCTGGAGCTCCGCAGACCCCACCCTGGCCTGAGCTCACTGTGTAGCCCAGGCTGGTCTCCAACTCACCAAGATCCTCCTGCCTCAGCCTCCTGAGTGCTGGGATGACAGGTGTGAGCCACCATGCCCTGCTCAGGACACGTAATTGACAGGATTACTGAGACGTGAAGACTGCAAGTTCAAGCAATAATAAAGGGCCAAAGATGTAGCTCAGTGCAAAACCCTGAGGCTCTAGCCCCAGGAAAAGAAAAAAATTGCACAAAATCCTGCTGGAGAATGGTTTGGCATGTCCTAACACACCAATGCCTTGGGCTTTTTCAAGCCAAGAGGTCCTGGACCGAACCTTCAAGATTTCCTAAAGGAGAGAAGGAAAAACACATGACAAATTCAGCAGTAGCTCACAAATTAAAAAGAATTTGATTCCCAAGACAAAATGAAAATATAGTTCCCCAGTATCTAACATTCATAGCAGCTTTATTTCAATCAGCAAAGACAAATCGGGTGGGGTGGCTCATGCCTGTCATCCCAGCACTCCGGAGGCTGAGGCAGGGGGATCGCTGCAAATTCGAGACCAGCCTGGGCTACACAATGAGCTCAAGGCCACTCTGAAGTGCATCGTGAGACCCTGTCTCAAAAAGACAAAAAATAAAAAATAAAATCTTAAAATTAATAAAAAGTGGGGCTGGGGATTTAGCTCAGCAGCACAAGCGCCTGCTGGCAAGCACAAGGTCGTGAGTTCGATCCCCATTACCAAAAAATAAATACAACAAAATAAAAAGGGCTGGGGATGTCGCTCAGCACAAAGACCCTGGGTACAGTCGAGAAAGACACAACACAAAAAGACAGAGACATCTAATACGCAGGACAACGAAGACAAACGTATGAGGCGTACAAGAATGAACGAGTGAATGAAAAAAAGCAAGGGATCCTCATCACATTGGGTCCTCCCAGCTCTTCAGGTCCACACCACGGGCGGCTTTCCCGGCTCTGTCGCGCGCCCTCTGCTGGCTAGTGACTTCTCCCATATCAAGCCCTAGACAGATGCGTTTAGGCCAATTCAGCCTTTGCTTGGGTCACTCGCACTGCCTTCTGGGAAATGGAGTCTACTGGGGCCTCATCTGCTCTTCCTGTGGACTCGGCACGATGACGACAACAGAAGCACGTCACCAAATCTCCCCGAGTCGCTAAAGTGATTAGCGGGGCAGCAACGCATGCCGGGAATGGTAGTTCTTTGATAGCTACTTTCCGCTGCGACCCTCTGCAATTGCAACAGCAATTCCCATCACGCACCGCGCTCATGGTCCCTGCGGTTGGTCTCGATGCTTTCTGGGAAATGTAGTCCACGGTTTCTACCGCCCCACGTGTGTTTTATGGAATTGGCCAGCACGGAGGGCACCAGCTCCCGGCATCCCTAAGTACGCCAGCGGGCGTCAGGTCGCGGCGGCCATTTTGTTCCGCCCGGAGTGCCCCTAAGATGGCGGCGAGGGAGACGGTGAAAGGTTGTCACCGGCTCCTCCGGGGCGTAACTCCCGGCTCCTTGTCCCCCCGCAGCCAGCCCATGGCCTGACGGCGGCCCAGACCATGGACCTCCACACCGCCGTGTACAATGCCGCCCACGACGGCAAGCTGCAGCTGCTCCAGAAGCTGCTCAGCGGCCGCAGCCGGGAGGAGCTGGACGAGCTGATGGGCGAGGTGGCGACCGGGGGGACGCCGCTGCTCATCGCCGCCCGCTACGGCCACCTGGACGTGGTGGAGTACCTGGTGGACCGCTGCGGCGCGAGCGTGGAGGCCGGCGGCTCGGTGCACTTCGACGGCGAGACCATCGAGGGCGCGCCGCCGCTGTGGGCCGCCTCGGCCGCCGGGCACCTGGACGTGGTGCGCAGCCTGCTGCAGCGCGGGGCCTCGGTGAACCGCACCACGCGCACCAACTCCACGCCCCTGCGCGCCGCCTGCTTCGACGGCCACCTGGAGGTGGTGCGCTACCTGGTGGGCGAGCACCAGGCCGACCTGGAGGTGGCCAACCGCCACGGACACACGTGCCTCATGATCTCGTGCTACAAGGGCCACCGCGAGATCGCGCGCTACCTGCTGGAGCAGGGCGCCCAGGTGAACCGGCGCAGCGCCAAGGGCAACACGGCCCTGCACGACTGCGCCGAGTCCGGCAGCCTGGAGATCCTGCAGCTGCTGCTGGGCTGCAACGCCCGCATGGAGCGCGACGGCTACGGCATGACCCCGCTGCTGGCGGCCAGCGTGACCGGCCATACCAACATCGTGGAGTACCTCATCCAGGAGCAGCCGGCCGAGGAGCAGGCCCGCCTGCCAGGCGCCCCGGCGGCAGCGGCGGAGGAGCAGGTGCCCAGCGAATCCTACGAAAGCTGCTGCCCCGCCAGCAGGGAGGCCGCCGTGGAGGCCTTGGAGCTGCTGGGCGCCACCTACGTGGACAAGAAGCGCGACCTGCTGGGGGCCCTGAAGCACTGGCGCCGGGCCATGGAGCTGCGGCACCAGGGCGGCGAGTACCTGCCCAAGCCCGAGCCCCCGCAGCTGGTCCTGGCCTACGACTACTCCCGGGAGGTGAACACGGCGCAGGAGCTGGAGGCGCTGATCACAGACCCCGATGAGATGCGCATGCAGGCTCTGCTCATCCGGGAGCGCATCCTGGGCCCCTCGCACCCCGACACGTCCTATTACATCCGATACCGGGGCGCCGTCTACGCCGACTCCGGCAACTTCGAGCGCTGCATCCGCCTGTGGAAATACGCGCTGGACATGCAGCAGACCAACCTGGAGCCGCTCAGCCCCATGACCGCCAGCAGCTTCCTGTCCTTTGCCGAACTCTTCTCCTACGTGCTGCAGGACCGGGCCGCCAAGGGCAGCCAGGGCACCCAGATCGGCTTCACAGATCTCATGGGGGTGCTCACCAAAGGGGTGCGGGAGGTCGAGCGGGCCCTGCAGACGCCCAGGGAGCCCGGGGACTCGGCCCAGTTCACCAAGGCGCTGGCCATCATCCTGCACCTGCTCTACCTGCTGGGGAAGGTGGCCTGCACCCCCAGCCAGGAGCACCTCAAACACCAGACCGTCTACCGCCTGCTCAAGTGCGCGCCACGCGGCCGCAACGGCTTCACGCCCCTGCACATGGCGGTGGACAAGGAGACCACCAACGTGGGCCGCTACCGCGTGGGCACCTTCCCCTCGCTGCACGTGGTCAAGGTGCTGCTGGACTGCGGCGCCGACCCGGACAGCAGGGACTTCGACAACAACACGCCGCTGCACATCGCGGCCCAGAACAACTGCCCGGCCATCATGAGCGCCCTCATCGAGGCCGGCGCCCACATGGACGCCACCAACGCCTTCAAGAAGACGGCGTGCGAGCTGCTGGACGAGAAGTTGCTGGCCAGGAGCGCCGTGCAGCCTTTCAACTACGTCACCCTGCAGTGCCTGGCCGCCCGAGCCCTGGACCGGAACAAGATCCCCTACAAAGGCTTCATCCCAGAGGAGCTGGAGGCTTTCATCGAGTTGCACTGACCTCCTCGCCCTGCCCAGCGCGGGCACGGGGCTGGCGGGCCGTGGACGCCCGTCCTCGCCTTCTCAAAGTGAGCTGGAGGTGGGAGAGCAGCTCCCGGGTCCCCCGGCTCCTCCAGATGTGCAGAGTGACAGAGCCATCACTGCCGCCCGAGCGCTTCAAGGTCCTGCGTTGAGAGGTGTCACTCAGGGAGCCCGCCCAGCCACCCATCCTGCACCTGGAGAAGATGCAGGAGCCCCCCACGCTGTCACCTGGGGTCCTGGGAGGGGCTAGAGAGCCGCCTGAGTCCTGTGCCCGGCACCCAGCGTGCTCCCAGCGCCAGGGCTCGGGGCGATGGGAAGTCAGGAACACGCCACGCCAGAGCCTCCAACACGGCCCACCGGACCGCTGTCCCCGGTTTCATGTTTACTTGGCCAGCAGGCTGCTTGCTGGCTGCGCACACAGCCCCGAGAGGCGGCGGCCTGAGCCATATTTATTTATGTTTCTTAGCAATCTGTGGTCAGGCTCCAAGTTCATTCAAGCTCTGAGGCTTTGGTGGCGGCCCAGGTCGCCCGTGGGAGCAGGGACTTGGTGAGCAAAGTCAAAGGTCGCAGTCCCAGCTTGGGTGACAAGGACTCAGATGCCTGCATCTGTCCCTGCTCCAGCTTTGCACTCACAAGACAGCTGTTTTTCTCACCGAGGATGAGGTCACAGTCTCCGAGTGACAACGACAGGCCCCCCGCCAGGGGCGCCCAGACAAGTCACCTCGGCGCCCGGACAGGCGGCCTTGCTGGTCCCTCGCCGATCCAGGCCCACAGAGCCCAGGGCAGGGGCAGGCACGAGCGGAGGCCATGCTGCGGGGCCGCCTGTGCTGTCCCTCTGGGTAAGCGGGTGCCGGAGCCTCTGGCCCTGTGCCATCTCTCCCACAAGCCAGCGGCGCCTGCTCCCCAAATAGCCACCAGGGCCTCGGGAGCTGCCGAGGGTCCCCGACGCACTGGCCTGGGGTGGAAAGTAGGTGTGGATTTGCAGTGTTCGCTAGGAAGTGATTTCTGCCGAGCCAGGCTTTGCCACCTCTCCTGGCCCCTCCGAGCACAGCGGGGGAGCCGAGAGCGCTATGTTTGTGGCATTAAAAGAAAGTATTGGAAGAGACCAGCCTGGTGCTTCCTTGGGGCTGGGCTAGGGTTGCCTGCGGGTTCCAAAGCCCTGGGAGGGACCTGGTGAATCCTCCCCAGCTGTGCGGGCCCTAGGCTCCGCCCTCAGATCCCAGAACCAGCCAGCCTGGTGGTATCTGCCTGTCCCAGCACTCAGGAGGCTGAGGCAGGAGGAAGCCATGAGTTCCAGGCCAGCCTGGGCTACACAGTGAGACCCCGTCTCCAAGCACCATAAGTAAAGGAAGCAGGTCACCTAACCAGTTCCTGGCGCACTTCAGGCTGGGACTGCCACGTGTAGAAGGGGTGCTGGGCTCTCACAGCCTGGAGCTGGGGAAGCCAGGGCAGGGCCTCCTCCCCAGAGACGACAGCTTGCTGAAGCCACCCAGAGGCACAGTGGGGGGAAGGCCACGCCCAGGACCGCGCTTCCAGCAGTCTTTGGGGTTAAGTGTCTTCCCCATCTCCCAGTTCCTTTGGGGGCAGCTGTCAGGTGACACCGGTCAGCCACGGTGTGACCATCGTCATCAGGTGTTGACGGAGTTAACCTTCTCCCCGGCCTCACTAATTTCCAGCTCACAGTGGGCGCTGCCCACTGACCACCGCCCTGGCCCTGTGGGTTGACTGAGACAGGGTCTTGCTGTGTAGCTGAGGCTGGCCTCAAACAGCGATCCTCCTGCCTCAGCCTCCCCAGCGTTGGGATTACCGGTGCGGATGCCCAGCTTTTACTTTTCGAGACGGGCCCTGCATCGCCCGGGCTGCTTTGAGTTTGTCCTGCCTTGGCCGCCCCAGCCGGTCTTTGCCTTATGGGTCTGCGGATCGCTGACCCCGATCCAAAGCAGAATCAGGCCGGAGCTGCCTGCATTAACGCATCCAAGAGCTCAGACTGAAGGGCAGTGAGTCTGCTGCCTTTTCCGGCCCGCGCCAGGTGAGGGTCACCTCGCCCGATGCCTAGAGGCCGCCTAGCGTCTCAATCGGGGAGTAGGTGGCTTCCACTTCCGGCTCCTACTTCCGCACGAGAACTTCTGAGGGCTCTGATTGGTCAGACCTGGGTCACGTGTCTGCTTTGAGCCCATTATAGGCAAAGAGTGGGCAGTGCCGATTGGCTTAGTCTGCCAGTCTGGGGGCGTAGGGGTAGCAGTCGGGGGCCCGGAAGTAAGCTGTTAAATGAGGGAATAAACTGTGGCGCACCTGCTATCCCAGCTAGGCAGGAGGCTGAGGCAGGAGGATCACAGACTTGGGCCCGGCCTGGGCAACTTAACGGGACCATGTCCGGAAGTAAAATAAGGCACATGGCTCGTGTAGAAAGGAATTTACATTGAAGTTGGCACCTGCGGGTCACCAGGGGAGAAACTCGCCTCCCAGAGGTCGCGCGACTGCGCAGCAGGATGCCGACTCCTCGGTAAGTCGGACCCAGGCCCAGAAAAGACGGGCGGCCCGGGTGGCTCAGCCTGGCACCTGAGCCCGCGGGAGGCTGAGGCAGGAGGGTCGCCGCTAGTTGGAGGCCAGCTGAGCTGCACGGTGACGCTGTCTCACAAGAACAAAAGCCGAAGGAGGAGAAGAACCAAGGAGCAGGCTGGGGTGCGGCTCGCTCTAGGTCCGGCCGAGGCCAGGGAGGGGCCGGGGTGTCTCCGCTGCCAGGCGATCGCGGAGGGCGCGTTCCAGGCCGCGGATAGTGATAGCCCCGCTGAGTCACCCGGCCCTGGATGGGGACAGGGACATGGACGGGGAGGTGACCCCCAGGACAGCTGGCGCATGGTATCCATGCCCTCCCGGCAGAGCTGGTGGGAGCAGAGGCCCGCAGGAGCCTGAGTGGGGAAATCGAGGCACCCGAGCAGCGGTGACCACGACAGGTCGCGGGACCCCGGGGGCAGCGGGGAGCACCCACTCCACGGCCACACCTCGCCAGGGCTGCCGGAGACGCGCTGGCCTTTGGCTCAGAGCCGCCTGGGCCCGGGCTGCAACCGCGTCTGGCCAAACGTAACTGGAGTCACCCCCGCGCGGAGGCCTTCGGGGTCCCCTCCCGGACCCCCGGGGCGCTCTGTCCTGAGGTTCTCTCCGGTCTGTCAGTCCCCCTCCGCTCCTCCATCCCCAGCTCTTTATAGATTTGCAGACAGGGCTTCACTAAGGCGCTGTGCAGCCCAGGCCAGAATCCCACTGTGACCCTCCTGCCTCAGCCTCCCCCAGGGATGGGATTTTAGACGGGCACCAGGACACTGGCTGGCAGCCTCTTTAAAGAAAGGTATTAAGTGACACGCAATGGGAAATAAAGACCCTAAGGGGGACCAGGGTTTGGAATCGGATCTCCGGCCAGGGTCTGTGTGGCCCAGGAGAGGGGCAGGGCGAGCTGAGAGGACAGGGACACGGGCTCTGGCGGGGCTCCCCAAGGGCACCGCCGGGCACCTCCTCGGGAGAGGAAAACACCCTTCGCCTCCCTCCGAAACTCGACACCGCGGCTATAATAAGGCCGCGGCTGTGGCACAGGTTAAAAATAAAAGATCCCTGCCCAGGACACCCAGGGGTGGCCTCTGTGAGCCAGGCGAGCCCCAGGCCGCAGGAGGCGCTGTGTGTCCCAGGAAAGGAGACTGGCTGTGTGACCTCAGGCCGGGTCTTTGCCCTCTCTGGGTTCCAGGCCCCACTGGGATGGGGGCCCACAAGGTTCCAATGACCACCACACAGACCCGCGGCACCTCCAGCCCGGCTGTGACCTTGGGAGACACTAACAAGCAGACCACGCCTGACTTGGTTTCCCCTTTTCTAACAGTGAGAGAGCACCATGGTGGCTTATGCGTGGGGTCTAAATGGTTGGGATCATCCGAGCATGGCAGCGCACATCTGTTCTCGCAGCACTGGGGAGGCTGAAGCAGGAGGACCTCAGGTCAGCCAGGGCTACGTAGTGAGCTGAAGGCCAGCCCGAAATGCATAGCGAGACGTTAGCTCTAAAAAATTAATATTTAAAAATTTCAAAATAAAAACAGCAAAAATGGGTGGCTGGGATCGGCAGGCCGAGGTTGCAGCAGGGAGGCGGCTTTGGCGTGGAACGAGTGGGACCCTTTTCCTGGTCCCTGACGTGCGGGATCCGGAGAGCGAGCCGCTTACCCTGCCAGGACTCGGAGGGCTGGAACCGCCGTCCGCGGCGCCCCCTGCTGGTGATGTCTGCGCACTGCAGCCTCGGGCTTGGGACCTGGAGTCCTGCGCCCCGCTGACCCCGCTGACCCCTGAGAGGCCCCCCACGCCCTCCCACCGCCGCCGGAGGTTTGCCCCACGGGACTCCCAGCACCCACATCTCCCACCCAGGACCTCACGCTCTACCCACCTGTTATGCCCCCGAAACCCGAGGGAGCCACGCTGGCATAAGTGGGGCTCGCTGTGCACCCCAACAAGATGGAGCGGGTGGGTGACGGGGGATCAGCCAGCTGCAGAAGGGGACAGGGTCGGGGGCTGTTTGAAAGGAAAAAACAGCCTAGCGAGATGGCGCAAGCCCGTAGTCCCAGCACTCGGGAGGCTGAGGCAGGAGGATCACTGCGAGTTCGAGACCAGCCTGAGCTGCGCAGGGAGAGCCTGTCTCAAGAGGACAAAAATGCATAAATAAATTAAAAGGCTGATGGGGCGGCGTTAGTGACGGATGGATGGATAATGTTTATTCCAAATTGCTAACCGCCACGGAACACAGGGCAGCCCCGGGCAACCCGATGGGTGGATTGATTGATTGATTGATTGATTGATTGATTGATTTGGTGCCGGGGATCAAACTCACAGCTTTGCGCTTGCCAGACAGGCACTTATGCCGCTGAGCTAAATCCCCAGCCCCTGGTGGTGGTCTTTTTGAGGCAGGGTCTCGCTCTGCAGTTCAGGCTGACCTTGAGCTCACTGTGTTGCCCAGGATGGTCTTGAACTCAAAGGATCCTCCTGCCTCAGCCTCCCGAGTACCAGGACTACAGGTGCCCCCCCCCCCGACCACCGCAACCTGTCAGGCAGCCCAGCAGCCTTTCACGGTGGCCCGCTCTGCATGTGGCTCAGACCCATGGCCACCCCAGGGGTGTGAGGGGTGTCGTAACAGGCCAGGTGGCTGGCTGAGGGGCTGCTGTCCAGTATGAGGCCAGCCTCATTCTTCCAAAATCCCCGAGCAGGAGCACAGCTACTCTCACATGGCTCTGGGCCGAGACGCTGACGCTGCAGAGCAGAGCGGCACAGGTGGGCTGCGTGAGGGCGGACAGCTTGGTTAGAGCAGAGGCATTCGGCTGCAGGCAGGAATTGGGAGGCTGTAAGAGACTCCACTGGGTGTGATTTTAAGTGACTCTTAAGTCGGGTGCCCAGAGAACCCCCATTACAGGAAAAAAGGAGGGAGCCGTGGAGCCTTCTGAGGGAACAGTGCTGCGGGTGGAGGCTGCAGCCTGTGTAAAGGTCCTGGGGCGGGACAGAGGCACACTGAGGAGGCCGTGTGGCTGGACAGGGGCGAGGCCTGGAGGGTGCAGCAGTCACCACCCATCCTGAGGACACACGGCCACCAGTGCCCCTGAGCCCGCCATCCCTGCAGCGTTTGTTTGTCTCGGAGGCTGCACTGGGTTCCACTCCGGAGCAGAACCTGCAGGAAGGAAACCCCTGACAACCCGCCTTTGCGTGGACACAGCCAGGGGGCGCGGGCAGCGGCTGCGACTTCCTCCTGCCCCAGCCGGGCTTTCGCTTCCCTGCCAAGGTCCACCACAGGTCACGCTGACCTCCGAGTTCGGCTGGGGCGACTGGGCAGTGCCACCAGGGTGCCGGGCTGCCGAGCACTGAGCTCCGTGGCCGGCGCTTTTCAGTCTCTCTCCATCCTCCTGCCTCAGCCTCCGAGCGTGCTTGTGGCTTACACAAAGCCCCACGTCCTGGGCTGGAAGGTGGGACGAGGTGGGTAAAATCCCCGAGAAAACCCCAAGGGCCCCTCCCGGCCGGGGTACCCCAGAGCCCCTGGCTGCCGGCCGCCGCCTCCCTCCCGAGAGAATCGGCTTGCGCTAGTCCATGAAGAAGGGGGTTCTCAGCCTCTCCCTGCCCGCTTTCTCTAGGCCTCCCTGGCTGCAGCGCTCGGCTCAGCCCTCCCCTGCCCGGGCCGCGCGGATCTGCGGGGTGGGCGGGCGGCCGCCAGGGGGCGCCAGGCACAGGCCCGGTCGCTGATGCTAGAACACCAACCGGGCTGGCCTGGAACTTTACAAGATCCTCCTGCCTCAGCCTCCTGGCTGCTGGGATTGCAGGCGCGCATCCCCGCAGGAAGCCTCGACTCTCAACTCTTCCCTCCTCGCAGAGCAGAACCTTTCTCTCATCCCATCCCGATGATCAAGGGTCACAGCCCCGATCGCCCCATACCTGCAGACCATGGCTGTCTCCTTCACACAGCAGGTGCTCAATAATGGCCGGCCCGAAGAATGGTCACTTCCTGAGCAGTGACCTTGTGCCCTGGTTCGTGCTGGGTTCTGAGACATTCAGTTAGCTGAAGATGTCTGCCCTCTATGCTCAGGGCGTGCAGTGTGATGGGAAATCTTCAGTTCACAGAGTCCAGTGACCCCATCACTGGGGAGGCTGAAGCAGGAGGATCACAGGTCTGTGCTCAGCCCTCCACAGCTCCTGCCTCCCCAGGACAAAGCCCAAGTCCTCCCTGCAGCCCACAGGGCCCTGCACAGCCCACTCGGCCCCTTATCATCCCTGCTCACTCTCTGCCCCTCCTCCTTCTGCTCCAGCCACTCGGGCTCCTGCTCCATGCTGCCCCAGGGCCTTTGCTTGTCTCTTCCATAGCCAACTCTTCCTCTTCCACCGGATCTTGGCTCCAATTCCACCACCCACCCACACCACACTAAGGTCCCTCTGCCTGTCACCTGTCCCCGCCTGTTCCTTCCAACATCCTGCAGACTTGTGAGCTCCCATAACATCCTTGTTTTGGTGACTTTTTTTTTTTTTTGTCTTTTTCCTTTTTATTGGTACCAGGGATTGAACTCACGACTGCCTGCTTGCAAGGCAGGGGCTTATGCTGCTGAGCTAAATCCCCAGCCCCGTTTTGGTGACTTCTTTCCCATTGCCACTTCCCCTCCAGCCTGACCGCAGAGGGTGAATCAAAACGCTTTTTGTCCCCACCCAGTGCCTGGGCACACAGTAGCTGCTCAATAAATGCTGGTCACGCCATCACACTCCGGAATCAAAAGTTAGAGGCTGTGTCCCCAGGTTTCACTTCAGGGCCACTGTGAGAGCCGGGGCTGACTCAGTCTCAGTCACAGATGGAAGCAGGAAGCAGTACATGGCTGCCAGGTGACTCATGCCAAGCCCGCCCTTGGGTACAGCAGGCAACGGGGCAAAGGGCATTTGATCTCGGCTCAAGGCAAAGTCTGATTCTGCCCTCCAGGAACCTCTTCCCTTCCTTCCTGGAAATGTTTCCATCGTGAGCACCCCACTTCTAATCTGGAGGACAGACAGTGCTGCAATTCATTTCTTAGGGCCTCTGTTTTACCCATCTGAAAAATGGGCTCAGATTTCATACCACTTCCCTGGGGCGATCATTTGGAGCATGGGATTGTGTTTATTATTGAAGCCTCAAAAATAACATTTCTGGGGCTGGGGATTTAGCTCAGCGGCATAAGCACCTGCCTTGCAAGCAGGCGGTTGTGAGTTCGATCCCCAGTACCGATTTAAAAAAAAAAAAAAAAAAAAGACCAAAAATAAGATTCCTCCTGGGGGCAGGGAGATGGCTCAGCGGCACAGCACCTGCCTGGCAAGTGAAAGGTCATGAATTCAAGACCTGATTTAAAAAAAAAAAAAAAAAAGATTCCTGCTGACCTAGTAATGGATGCCTACAATCTCACCATTCGAGAGGCTGAGGCAGGAGGATCCCTGTGAGTTCAGGGCCATCCTGAACTACATAGCCAGAGCCTGCCTCCAAAAAACCCCACAACAACAACAACAACAAAAACAAGCCAAGCATGGAGACACATGCCTGTAACCCCAGCATTAGAGAGGCTGACGCAAGGGGATCGGCTGCAAGTTCAAGACCAGCCTGGGCTACAAAGCGAGCTCAAGGCCAGCCTGAACTCCAGAGATCCTGTCTCAAACAAAAAAAGACTTCCTGTTAAGATGCTTGACCTTCCAAAAGACTACGTCTACCAGCATGCCTTGCAACAGGAACCGGGTCATATGGCTTCATTCTGACCAATGAAATTAGAGCAGGACGTGCAACTAACTTCCGCCTTCTGCCCCTTCTAGAGGCAGCCGCTGGCTTCTGGTTTTGTTTTTAGGCCGAAGGGAGCTATGTGTTCCTTAGGGTGAGGCAGAACAGAGGTCTGTGGCTTTGAAGCACCATTCAATAAATATTTATTTACGAGACAAGTTCCCTCCAGTAGCCCCCATCTCCAGCTCCCCGGGATTAGAGTGACTGTGTGAACACCCGTCCAGGTTTGGCAGCCCTTTTGGTCCCGCAGGGGCTGGGCTGGAGCCCGGGACACTCACCCTGAGCTGCATCCCCGGCCCTCTTCTTATTTTTATTTTTGAGACACGGTCTCAGTTACCCACTCCGGGTTCAAACCTGCCACCCTCCTGCCTCGGCCTCCCAGACGGCTGAGATGACAGGTGTGGCTCCCCAGCCCCCGGTTCCTCTCTGTCCTGAGAAGTGACGGCGTTCCGAGGTCAGCGTCCCCGCCTGCCACTGCCCAGCGGGAATGTCCCGCTCTGCGGTGAGGGGATGGCCGCGTGGTCCCCAGAGGTCAGGACGGGTCACTCGGCCTCTCCCCTTCCCGCGCGCTCTCCTGGGGGGCCGGGGCCCCTCGCTGGTTCCACATGTGGTTGCTCATCCCCAGCTGCACCATCTGGGCGTGGTGGATAATGAGGGGCGCTTGAGGGGATGCGGAGGAGACGGGTGGGAAGGCGGGGGGCTGCGGGAAGCCCGGCGAGGGGGTCCCCATGTACCCCGGGGCTGGTGCTGGTGACTGAGGACTTGGGGGCCAGCCTGGGAAGGACGGCGCGGCTCCCCACGGCCCCTGCACCCCCAAGGGCCCCGGAGGCGGACAGGGCACCTGAGACCCGAGCGACAAGTGGCTGCCGAAGTCCCCCCGGAGCCGCTCCATCTGCAGCCACCAGGCCTGCAGGCTGTGCTGGTAGGCGGCCTGGGCCACCCGCAAGGCCTCGGCCTGCTGTGTCTCGGCGTCCAGGCGCTGGCTGGCCCGCAGCCGGGCCCGCACGTCCTGCTCCCGCTGCCAGTGCGCCCTGCGGTCCGACAGCCTCTGGACCTTGAAGGTGTTGGCCACCTTCTTGGCAAAGATCGGGGAGCCCTCATCCAGCCACACGAGGCCCGAGAGCAGGCGCGAGGTGTCCGAGGCCTCTGGGCACCGGCACCCCGAGGGGCTCTCCAGCGGCCGGAAGGGGATGACGCTGTCCTGGCGGCCGTGGTGCGTGAAGCTGCTGGTCAGGGCCTGGTTGACCTGGTGCAGGCTCAGGGCGCCGCTGAAGTTGGGGGTCATCAGCAGGATGATGAAGCCCGAGTGGTCGATGGCGTCCTGCAGGCAGTGGAGCTCACCGCGCCCGGGCACCTGGAAGTCCCCGCAGAACGTGGCCCCGTCACGGACCCCCAGGTCCTCCAGCTTCTTCTGGACCCTCAGGGCCACGTCTTCGTCCGCCATGGCGTGGAGGACGACGAAGTTATAGAACTTGTGCTCTGGGGCCTCCGACTCGAAGGAGACAGGGCAGGGCGGGCAGGAGGAAGCTGGCGGTGCCGAGGTGCTGGAGGGCCGGGAAGGAGCAGGAGGCCGAGGCAGGGAGGTCTCCGGGGCCGAGGATGCCGGCGGGCTGGGGTTGCTCTCTGGGGATGTGGTGTCTTCTGCAGAAGCTGGGGGTGCAGTCTGGTCTTGGACAGGGTGGAGGCTTTCTCTGGGTTCCAGATTGGGCAAGGAGAGAGCTTTGGGGGCCGTGGAGGTGTCCGTGCACTCCACCGGAGCAGCGGGGCAGTCGGGGTCCCCAGAGGGGGTGAGAATGCTCGGCAGCTCCGGGGGCTCCGTGATCTCGGCTGAAGTGGGCCAGCTCATCTCCTGTGACTCCTGGCCACCCTCGGGAATGGGCTCGGTGGACCCCGGGGGCGCCTCACAGAGCTTGCTGGGCCCCTGAGGGGCGCGGACGTGGCTGAGGAAGGCGGCGGTGGGTGACTGGCTGATTTCCAGGGCGCTGGCCAGGGAGGCCAGGCTGCCCGTGGATCGCAGCGAGCACCCCCGGCTCCAGTCCTCGATGGGGCGCGGGAGGCTCCGCGTCCCCGGTGGTGGTGGCAATGACGGTGGCAGGGGTCCCTGCCCCGGGCAGAGAGGCTGGCAGCCCCCCGAGTCCCCCAGCACGTCCCTCCCGCAGCAGGCCCAGGCCTCCTCCTGCAGCTCGCCCAGCCTCGGGTCCCCGCAGGAGCCCAGGGCCTGCAGGGCCGCCTGGTAGGCCGCGTCCCTCAGGGGGGCTGGGCACAGGCTCTCCTCGGCCAGCAGGTGGTACAGGCGGGCGAGGCCCCAGGACACGTCCGAGGGCTCCTCGGGGGCCTCCGCGCTGTCCATGCCGGCCCAGCGGCGGGCCACGAGCTGGGCCACGGCGTCGGCTCTCAGGGCGTCCAGCGAGATCCGGGCCTCGGCCTCCCGGCCCAGCCGAAGCAGCACCATCGCGTGCAGCAGGGGGGCACCGGGCTGCCCCTCGTGCACCGTCTGCAGCCTGTGTCGCAGGTCGACCAGCTTCTGCGGCCCGGCGCCAGCTAGGAGGTCGAAGGCACCAGGCAGCGATGGGCCCGGGCGGGCCATGGGCACGGGAGGGCGCGGCTGTGAGCAGCAGAGGCTGGGGCTGGCGGCGACATGTTCCGGACGGCCGTCTCCTGCCCGCCCCGTGACTCCTGCTTATTCACGGTGCCGAGGTCCGCGGGGGGTGGCCCAGGGGGACCTGCAGGAGACAGGAGGAGCAGCAGCTTAGCACCAAGGCTGCAGAGGCCAGGAGCGGCAGCCCGGGCCTGTCACCTTAGCACTGGAGGCTGAGGCAGGAGGATCGCTAGCTATGAGTTCGAGACCAGCCTGGGCTACAAAGTGAGCTGGCAGGGCCAGCCGTGGGAGCTGGACAGCTGTCCAGGTGATCAGAAAAATCACCCCGGGACGGCCTGGCCTGTGGCTGCGGGGGGGAAGGGGGCAGAGGGAACTGGACCGCTGTGCAGAGCAGCAAGAGCCCGGGTGCCTGCAGCTTTAAATGGGATGGACGGGGAGGCCTGGAAGGGGCAGACCGCACTGGCTTCAATTCGCATATTTTTAAGAAATCTTGTCAGCTTTAAAAAAAAGTTGGGGGCTGGGGATTTAGCTCAGCGGTGTAAGCGCCTGCCTTGCAAGCACGCACTTGTGAATTTGACTCTTAGTACCAAAAAGAAAAAAAAGAAAAGTTCAGCTGAGTGTGATCACGTACAAGTCTCAACCCATCACTGCAGGAGGCTGAGGCAGGAGGATCTCAAATTCAAGCACAGCCTGGGCAATTTAGCAAGAGTCTATCTCAAGATGTAGCTCAGTGCAGAGGCTCTGGGTTCAGTGCCCAGTATTGGGGGAAAAAAATTCAGATTCCTGCACCCCGCCCCCTGCAGCGGTGCAGAGTGGGTCCGTGGGCTCCTCGACGCCAACACAGAACAGCGGAGCTTTGGGTCGCTGTGTGGCATCCTGACGCCCACAGCACGTTCAGGGGATAGGAATGGGGAGTGGGGAGGCCCGAGGGAGGGCCAAGGTGCCCGGACAGGGCGGGTCCTTAGATCACTCCAGGTGGGGCCGCGTGGGGTCTCCCGAATCGCCCAGGCTGGGCTTCAGCTTGGGATCCTCCTGCCTCAGCCTCCAGGGTGCCGAAATCCCCCGCCAGCGCCTCCTTTTGTAACCCGGAGGGGGCAGGTGGAGGGTGTTCCCATCCGTCTGTGGCCCCCTGCGCTGCCCCATGGGCCCGGACACCCCAGCAGAGCGGAGCGCCCATGACCTGGGAGCCTCCCACAGCCAGGAGCCCAGGCCCGCAGGGCAGGAGGAAACGAGAGAGGTGCCAGGTCATCCCGGGAGTGAAAACCACGCGCAGGAACCGTGCACGCGGGGTTTGGGGAAGAAGCCAAGCAGGCGACAGCCGGGCCACCGCCGCAGGAAGAGAAGGAGGGAGGAGGTCAGGCAAGATGTGGGGCACAGAGCTCCAGGCGAGCCCGCGGGAGGGCGTGGGCAGCTGCAGGGGCCTTGGGCTTTGGCTCAGGAAACGGGGAGCCATAGAGGGCTGAGTGCGAGGAGGCAGGAGTGGGCTCCCTGCTCAGGACGCCCCTGGTGGCTGCTGAGGGAGGAGACAGGTCAAGATCCAGAGCAGGGACCAGGCTGAGGGAACTGCGCTGCCTCGGGTGGGCAGTGACACACAGGGTCCCAAGGACGGTGAGGAGCTGACCAGAGATAATGCGGAGAGGAAACTCTGGGCCCGAGATGGGGCCCTGCGACGCACTGGGCCGGGTCAAGGAAGGAGACCCTCCCCTCCTCCTCCCCCCTCTGTACTACTTAAAACATCGGAGCACCGCCCACCCCACCCCCACCCCACCCCAGGACCTTTGCACCTCCCATGCCCCAGCCTGACACATCCTTTCCCAGAACTCCTCCGCTGGCCCACCACCTCTGAAGCTGGATCAAGCTGACACACACCCAGCAGCCCCACCCGCTCTGCCCCCTCTCTCCCTCTGGGGGCAGAGTGCCTGCTCTGGGTCCTCCTACAGCACCCTGTGGTGAGCGCCTCTCTAGGGATAGGACAGGGAAACAGCCCGGGCTGGTGTCCAGAGCGCCAGACACACAGTGGGTGCCTCATACATGCTGACCGGCTAAATCCAACACTCAGGGCAGTGCCCACCACATAGGAGGTGTTTAGTAAACACTGGATATTAACTGAGCCAACCGACGGGACAGAGCAGTACCCGGTGCACAGTAAGCACTCGGCCACTTCCCGCCCCTGAATCCTCCCTCCCTCACGAGGCTGTGATTTTTACCTGCACCCACCAGCATGAGCACATAGTAGATGTGCGGCTCACCCCCTCTGGCTAGTAAGAAATGTGCCAAGGAGACACAGCACAAAGTCCTCAGTCCCCATGATGCTTAAAATCAGGGCACGGTGACACCTGTAATCAGGCACTGGAGAGGGAGGCAGGAGGATCACAGCCAGCTCAAAGCCATCCTGGTCAGCATAGTGAGTCCAAAGGTCAGCCTCAAACTAAAATAGAAAAAATTGTGAAGAGACAAAAGGGGCCAGGGGTGGGGGTGCACCCCGTAACCCCTGCACTCGGGAGGCTGAGGCAGGAGGATGGTTTTGAGTTCGAGACCAGCCTGTACTACAGAGTGAGCTCAAGGCCGGCCTGAGCTGCACAGCCAGACCCTGTCTCAAAAAGGAAACTACAAACTAGGCAGGAAGGGCATTGTTTCAATACAAACTTATTACTGATCTACTATACACCAAGCCAGCCACACCCCTATGGCTCAGGACGAATTTTATTTTGTATGATTTTTTTTTTCTTGTACGGGGGTTGAAACCAGAGCCTTCACACTGAGCTCCATCCCCAACCCTTTTTAATTTGTTATTCTGACTCAGGGTCTCACCAAGTTGATGGACTGCCCAGGCTGGGCTCAAACTTGTGACCCTCCTGCCTCAGCCTCGCAGGCGCCATCTGCACTCTGACAGGTGGCACAGGAGGCTCAGAGGAGCTCAAGCTGGAAAACCGGGCTCCGGGCTGCTGTGCGGGTTCCCTGAGCACATACTATGTGCAAACTCCGGCCGGGCAGGCAGATGGGGCAACGCCACGGCTGCCCCCGGATCTGGGCCTGACCCCGGCCCCGTGCTGGTGTCCCCCCGCAGGGTCCCCCGCAGGCGCCCCGGGCCCGCGTAGCTGCGCCTCTTCCGGAGGCTGGGGCCCCACCCCCACCCGGGCGGGGCGGTGACCCCGGTCCCCAGCCCACGCGGGCTGCACCCCAACACCTACCTGGTCCGCAAGGAGAAAGGAAGGGGTCCCGGGGCAGAGGCGACAGGGCCGAGCGGACCACCAGGACCCCGGGAGAGCTGGGGTTCCCAGGGTGGGCGGGTCCTGGGAAAGGGGGGCGCCGAGCCCGGGACGGGTTCTCGGGGGGAATGGGGTGCGGGGGAAATCGGGGTGCTGGAGACGACTCAGAGTGTTGGGGTTCAGAGTGGGGAGCGCCCGCCCTGCCCTGGTCGGTCCCCAGCCCGCGCAGTCCCCTCCCGGGTCCGCAGTCCCCTCCTCTGGTTCCGATCGCGCTGCCGGGCCGAGGTGGCCTGGAGCAGGCGCCGCCCTCCCACGTCGCGGGGAGGAGCCGCTGAGGTCACCGCGGGACGGGGCGGGGAAAGTCCCGGGGGCCCCCCCAGCCACGCTGGGCCTGGGGGACCCGTGGTGGTGGGGAGGCTACAGACTCAGCGGTGTTGGGGAACTTGGGGACCCCAATGGTGCATTTAACACACTTTGTCACACTTTGGGGAGGCCGGGGCCAGATTAGGCAGACCGTTAGACACCCAGGGCCACATACCTTCAGGGCCCCTGGAATTTATTTTTTCAGGTACTGAATTTGAACTCAGGGCCGGGCACAGAGCCCCTTTTGATTTCCAGCCAGGGTCTCAGTAAGTAGCCCAGACTGGACTTGAACTTGGGGTCCTCCTGCCTCAGCCTCACGGACTGCTTGGATGAAGGGGGTGCACCACCAGCACTGCTGCATTTCCAAGGCTTTTAAAAATCAAAGGGAGGGCCAGGAATGTAGCTCAGTGGCCTAAGCACCTGCTTGGCAAGCTCCAGGTCCTGAGTTCCACCGGGGTACAAAGAAGCCAACAAAAAGGTCATCACAGGGAGAGCAGAGCATCGGGGCACAGGCCTGTAATCTCAGTAGGGAGGCTGAGCCAGGAGGATCGCTGCCAGCTCAGAACCAGCCCGGTTACAAAATGAGTTCAAGGTCAGCCTGCACTGCAGAGTGAAACCTGTCTCGAAAAAGATGGAGCCAGGGTCGCGGCTCAGTGGCACAGTGCCCTGCCTGGCAAGTGCAGAGTTCAGAGTTCAATTCCCAGCACCAAAAACAAAACAAAAAGACAAAGTCACAGGGCCAGACATAGTGGCACATGCCTGTGATCCCTGTACTCAGAAGGCTGAAGCAGAATTGCTGTGGGTTTGATGTAAGCCTGGGCTACAAAGTGAGCCCAAGGCCAGCCTGAACTGCATAGCGAGACTCTTGTGTCTCAAAAAGACAAAAATAAATAAATAAAAGGGAAAACATGAATAGACCAAGCTTGGATCCCATATTTGTACAGTGGGAATTATAAAATATGATTTTCAATTTCTGTTCCTGGAAAGGCCACATCAGGACCTTTGATAGCACTCCATCAGATGGGAGAAGCTCAGAGATTATTTGCTGGCCAGGGCATAGTGACACACACTTGTCATTTTGGGGCTCTGGGAGGCTGAGACAGGAGGATTGCTGGGGGTTCTAGGACACCCTGGGCTACATAGTGAGACCAAGGCCAGCCTGAATTACAGAGCAAGACCTAGCTCAAAAAACAAAAAACGGAAGAGGAGGGGCAGGGGGAGGAGGAATAAGAAGAAATTTCGAGCTCAGCCTAGACAGTTAAGCCACTTAGTGAGCCCCCTGTCTCAAAAATAAAAGGATTGGGAGCGATGCTCAGTGAGAAAGCCCTGTCAATCTATTTGAACTGGTCCATTTAGCCAGACTGTCTTAAAAAACAAACAAAAGCGACTATTTTTAAAATGGCCTACTAGGCTTGCCGTCGCCGCCGCAGCCTAGCTCTGGCGAGGGTCTCGCACTTCCGGTCTCCGCGCCTGGCATCTTGGGAAGCGGAAGCGGAAGCGGAAGCGGAAGCAGCTGGGGCCTGGTGCAGGGCGGGCACCGCGCCAGGCAGATGCCGGCGAGAGGACCGAGAGCGGAAGCTTTTGAAGTTTTTCCTGAAAGTAGGAGGCAAAGAGGACCCCGAGCTGGGGACAGGGCTCAAAATGATCACGACAAACAGGAAAAGAGAAGCAAGTGCCGGGGGAGCACGCGGGAGAAAACGGCGAGCTGGGGGTGAGGGGAAACGGACCTCAGGGTCGCGGGCCCAGGACCGCGCTACCCCGCAGCCCCTCACAGCTCCGCGCCTGCAGCGAGCCTTAGGTCAGCAAGGCGCACGCCAGGCATCCCAGCACTCCGCAGGCTGAGGCAGGAGGATCGCCGGGAGTTTGGGGCCAGCCTGGGCTGCATAGCGACACCCTGTCTCCAAAAATAATAATTCCACAGAGAACAATAGGAAGACAAAGAAGGATGTGTTTGAGATGGATGGAGCAGCAGCAGCTCTGAGAGGCAGTGAGTGGGTCATGCTGTCAGGAATCAGCGGAGAAGCTGACCAGAGCAGCAGCCGATAGCCAGTGCGAATTTGAAAGAAGAAAACCAGGGAGAGTCACAGCACAGGGGCTTCTCCGTCCCCTGGGTCCTGTCGTGGGAGAACCGGGCTGCGGCCCTGGGAGACCAGGGATGACAACCTGAGGTGAAATCCGGAGTGAATACTTCTCAGGGGTTCAAAGAAGACAACAGAGTCACCCCGGTGGGACACTTGAGTGATGGCCTTCCAGCTCTTACGCCCCGAGTGACGACTCCCTGAGAAAACTTGAGGAGACCTCAAGACCAGACCTGCCACCTACGTGACCTGTCTCTCTGTCACTCAGAGTAATGTGCCTTGCCGGCCAGGTGGCCCATGATAACCTTACAGAATGTCCACAGCTCATCACCCATGGGAGATGGTAAGCGTAGGTAGGATACAAAAAGCACTGTGGTCCTCCACGCCTTCTCCCCCTCGTGGGAAACAGCTTCCTAGCTTGAACAGATGATTTGAAAGAACCTAGAAGACCGACATAACAACCCTGTAGCTGGGTGACTTTGCACACCTGACCTCCAGCACTGTCTGTAATCCCTGTAATCCCAGGAAGGCTGAGGCAGTAGAGTTTAAGGCCAGTTTCAACTTCAGAGTGAGTTTCCAACCAGCCTGACTGCATAGCAAGATCCTGTCTCAAGTATAAATTTTTTAAAAAGATGAATGCCCAGTTTGGTGGCTCATGCCTGTAAGCCTAGCACCTGGCAGTCTTGAGTCAGGATGATTGCCAGTCTGGATTACATAGCGAGATGTTGGCTCAAAACCAAAAAAGCAAGCTAGTGTTATGATGCCCAGTGAAGAGATACAGTGTGGTCTACGTACATACTGGAATATTATTTGGCCATGAAAAGGGAATCCCAGCACTGCTACAGCATGGATGGACCTTGAGGCTGTGCTTCTCAGGGAGCTGAGCCACAGAAGGACACATGGCAAGATCCCACTCCCAGGAGGCCCCAGCATGGTCAGATCCACAGAGACGAGGAGGATGGTCCCTGGCTAGGGAGAAGATGGAGTTAGCATTTCCTGGGGACAGAGGCTCAGCTGGGGGAGATGGAAAGGCCTGGCGGTGGTGGACGGTGCAGACGGCACACAGCTGTGGGGATCACTCAGTACCACGGAGCCGGACACACAGAAGTGGTCACCAGCTGTGGTTCATACCTGTAATCCCAGCACTCAAGAGGCTGAGGCAGGAGGATCACTGCGAGGTCAAGCCCAGCCTGAACCACATAGTGAGACCTTGTCTCAAAAAATTAAAGCAAAAAAAAACCAAAGGTTCAGGCCAGGCTTGGTGGCCCACGCCTGTGGTCCCAGCACTCGGGAGGCTGAGGCAGGAGGATCGTTGAGTTTGAGACTATCCTGGGATACAAAGTGAGCTCAAGGCCTGCCTGAACTGCAGAGGGAGACAAGTTTTTTTTAAAAAAGTTTTGGGGGCCAGGGATTTACCTCAGTGGTCAAGCACTTGCCTCGTAAGCGCAAGGTGGTGAGTTCAATCCCTGGTACCGATAAAACAAATATCAGTTTTTTTGAGGCAGGGCCTCACTATGTAGCCCCACGGTGCTCCTCCTGCCTCAGCCTCCCTGGTACTGGGATGACAGGTGTGCACCACGTGTGTCACACTGAGCAATGGTGACTTTGCCTGGTGACCAGGTGGCATCCCTGTTTGAGGTTCACAGCATGGCAACGGCCAAGAAAGTCCTCAGTGTCGGCTGGGGGCAGGGACGGGACCGGGCCCAGGCGGGGTTGCTGCATCTGGTAATTGAGGAAGCAGAAATGGCAGGCAGCGTGGGTGGGAAGAGGGAAGAGACCGGGCGCTTCCCTCAGAGCTGCGGGCACCCTGGACTCTTAGCCAAGATCCCCAGCGTCCTGGGCCACAGGCTCCACGTCTCAGTGTCCTGAGGAGAGGCCGCGTGTGGGCGGGACAGAGACGTAAGGTCCCAGCCGCTGTCTCGAGGGTGGCCCAGACCTACTGTGTGCTGAGCGGGCCTGGCCCTAGGGAGGCATGGGGAGGACAGAAATGGTCCTCAGCAGGGCATGGCGGCGAACACCTGTCAGCCCAGCTGCTTGGGAGGCTGAGCAGGAGGATCTCAAGTTGGAAGCCAGCCGGGGCAACTTGGCAAGACCTTGTACTGAAATAAATATAAACAGCTGGGGTGCAGCTCCAGCTCCAAATCGAACAAGACACCCCCAGAAGCCCCTCAGCCTCCTGCTCACGGCCCCACAAACAACTGTTCTGAGTTCTGGCTTTCTAGCTTAGTGTGATCACTAAGTTTCAGCCTGGTAAAAGCTTTCATGTCTGGCTTTTCTTTTGTTGTTTTTTTTTTTTGTCTTTTTCGTTTTTATCGGTACCAGGGATCGAACTCACAACTGCCTGCTTGCAAGGCAGGTGCTTATGCCACTGAACTAAATCCCCAGCCCCTTTTTTTTGTCTTTTTGAGACAGGGTCTGAAGACTGTTTAAGCTGGTCTTGACCTCCCAGCGATCCTCCTGCCTCAGCCTCCTGAGTGCTGGGATGACAGGCATGTGCCAGCACACCCAACTTCATGTCTGGCTTCGTTTACCCACTGTTCTGCCTGTGAGCTGCCTCCACATTGGCGAAAATAACAGCTTTCTCCTTTCTCCCGGAGGCAAGCAGTCCTGTCCCAGCCTCCCAAGAAGTTTCAACTGTGGGCACAAACACTGCCCTGGGCCTGTTCTTTTTTGGTGCTGCGTAGTACTCCACACTGGATGACTATCCAGTGAAGGTGGAGGGTAGATGTATTTGTCCTCCTGGGTTTTTTTTCCTTCCTGAGATGTATCCAGGGCTTTCACACATCCCAGCCCCTTTTAAGTTTTTATTTTGACACCAAGTCTTTCTAAATTGCCTGGATGTCCAGGCTGGGCTCAAACTCTCGATCCTCCTGCCTCAGCCTCCTGAGCAGCTGAATGACAGGCATGTGTCACTGCACCTGTTGTAAGCTAGTTCTGTTTTAGCAGCGAGAACAGAGGAAAACACAGACAGCTCAGCTAAGCTGCGGAGAAAGTTTATTGAGCAACACTAGCACCAGTTACTGGGACGAGAGTCGCCCCCCAAGGGCTCTGCCCCGTTAGGCCCCCTCCGTCTACTTCTCCTCGCTTGGGGCTCTCTCGGTGATTCCCGGGGCGAAGGGCCCCACCAGCCACGTGACCGGCACGTTCTGGGCCACCGACTCCACCACGTGCTCCAGGGCCTCACGTGCCTGGGCCACGCGCTGGCGGCTCTGTGCCAGGACACTGGCGGGCAGGTCCTGGAAGGAGCGGGCGCCCACGAAGGTGGCCTGCAGGTCCTCGGCGTGGCGGCGTGCCTGCTGGGCCTGGTCCTTCACCTGCGCGGGCAGCCCCTGGATGCTGGCGCCCAGGGACGCGCAGGCGCTGTGTAGTTGCTGCGCCATCTCGCGGCACATGGCCAGCGCCCGAGACTCCACCTGGGGGACAGCAGCACGCGGGCGCTGAGCCGGCAGGGGGTGCCTTCCAGGGCAGAGACCGAGCCCTGGCCCTTGGCACTGAGCGACACCCCAGCCCTTTTTATTTTGTATTTTGAGACAGGGTCTCACTAGGTAGCCCAGACTGGCGTCCCATGGCTTCCCGTCCTGCCCTGGCCTCCCGAATCCTGGATAACAGGCCTGGACTACCACGCCTGTCATCTCAGCCCTCAGGAAGCTGGGACAGGGCAGCCTCCTGAGCCTAGCAAGTTAACAAGACCCTGTCCAAAAGCACAAAATGGAAATATCAGATGTGGTGGCATAGGCCAGCGCTTAGGAGGCTGAGGCAGGAGGGCTGCTAAGTGGGTAAGTTGCCTAGGATGGGCAGGGACTGGGGGTAGCTGTCACCTGAGTTAGCACTCAGCAGGCTGAGCCAATGCGGAGCACCCTAGTTTTACAAGCTGCAGCCACACCCACAGGGAGCAATCCCGCTGGGCTTCCCGGGGGAGGCACCGCGGTGCCTGAGCACAGTTAGGACCAAGAGAGCTGGGAAGGCGTCCGGCTGGGAGGGCCATGGAGCAGGGCTGCACGAGGTGACGCGGGATCCCAACACCGCCGCCCCGGGGGTACCTCTGGCTTGGCCGGGTCCTCAGTGCCCTGTGACGCTCTCTGGTTCCAACTCAGCCACATCTGTTGCAGCCTCTCCTGCCCCTCCAGCACCTTCTGGTCGACTCCCCCTCTCACAGTCTCCACCTGCGGCAGAGAGAGCAGTAGGGGACAGGCCTCCCCGGGGAGCTGGGGGCGCTCCTCTCCCTCCCCACTTCGGATTTTTAAACTGTGGGGCATGGAACTCAGGGCCTTCACCCTAAAGTACATTTGCAGCCCTTTCCTACGTATTACGTTTATTTTTATTTTATGAGACTCGCTGTGCATTTCAGGCTGGCTCTGAACTCACTTTGTAGCCCAGGCTGGTCTTGAATTTGCAGCGATCCTCCTGCCTCAGCCTCCCCAGTGCCAGGATGGCAGGCTTGCACCACCACACCCGGCAGGGCCATACTCTGTTATACCACAGGACACTTAATGCACAACCACAGTCCCAGCAGGTCCTGTTCAGTGCCCCTGCCCAGGTGAGAGCCACCCGGCCCAGCACTGGAAGGATCGCCCCGCCCCGCCCCCACTCACCAGACTGAGCGCATGCGCCAGCTGCTGCAGCGCCTCCTGCGCATGCTCCTTAGTGCTGCGCAGCTTTGCCAGAGAGTGCTCGTACGCGTGCTGGCGCAGGCGCTCTGACAGTGAGCCCAGGCGCACGAAGTAGCTCTGTTCCTGTCGCTGCTGCTGCACTGAGGCCATGTCAAAGCCCTCCAGGGACGTGGCGAGGCGTGCTGGGGCGGGCAAGGGGGCTCGGTGAGGCCGAGGTGCACTGCTCCCCTCTGTGCCCTGGTCCCAGTGTGCACAGGCTGTCTTAGAGAGGAGGTAGGCAGCCTGGGGATAAGAGGAGGGGACTCCCCCATTTGTCGCTTGTCTCCATTCTTGCCACCACCCTGTACGGTCCAATCATCACACCTTGGCCCTAGCCACACCAGCTTTCTTGCTTATCTTTGAACATGCTCCTACCCCAGGACCTTTGCACTGGCGATTCCCTTTGGTAGGAACATTTTTTCTCACTGAGTCCTGAGTCTAGAATGGGGTCTGGCATTCAAGCAGGCGCTCAAACCCTTATGTAGAAATCATACAGAAGGCTGGGAATTTAGCTCAGCGGCATAAGCACTTGCGTGGCAAGCAGGTGGTCATGAGTTTGATTCTAGGTACAAAAAAGAAAAAGATTCAAGTGCATGTGGTGGCACAAGCCTAATATAGTAGCAGTTCAAGCCCAGAACAGGCAACTTTGTGGCTTTAAACAGACCCTATTTTGAAAGAAAAAATTAAAAAGGCTTGGGGATGTACCTCGGTGTGAAGAGCCTGGGTTCAACGCCCAGTTCCACCAATAGAAAAAGGGTTTATTGGGGCTGGGGACTTAGCAGCGCAAGTGCCTGCTTTGTAAGTGTGGGGTCATGAGTTTGAGCCCTGGTACCAATAAAAAAGGTTTATTGAGCACCTATTGTACACTAGCGCCTGGAGCTAGCCTGTTCAAGGTCAAAATTTGCCCCTCACAGAATTCAGCATCTCAGAAATGAAAATCGAGCTACAGCAAAAATAATGGCAGACATTGCAATGGAGCCAAATGGACACAGGACACAGCCTGTGCAAAGGCCCTGGGGCAGGACAGAGCTGATGCGGTGCAATAGCAGAAGGAATGAGGGGCACGTGGTGAGGAGGAGAGGCCAAGAGGGCACAGGTGGCTGAACGGGGCCTGCCAGGCTGTGGGAGCCACGGAGGGCGGAACGCAGCGGAGAGAGGACCTGACCTGGTGCTCACATCGCCCTCTGGTGGCTGCTGTGGGGAAGACAGGTTGCAGGGATACATGAGAGGTGCCCGGAAGGGACTGCAGGGATTAAGGACCACCAGTGGCAGCAGGTGACCCCACTTCTGCAGCACTCACCCAGCTCAGCGTTCGTCATGGGCAGGTGGTTGTCGGCCCAGGCCTCCGACCTCCCCAGCACCGTCTCCGCCCCGCTCAGCACCATCTGCCCCACGCGAGACCCCATGACGGACTGGACACCGCTGGTCACGGCCGACTTGGTCATGTCCATGCCACTCTGCACGGCCCCGCGGGTCATGTCCACCGCACCCGCCACGCGGGTGGCCACGGAGTCCTTGGCGCTCGACACCGTATGGGACACGGCGTCCCGGGCCTCTGACACCTTCGCAGACACGAGCTCCTTGGTGTCTGCCAGCACCTACAAGACAGGACACCGCACTGTGTCCCTGGGGGGCCCCTACTGCACCCCAGAGTGGACATTCTCCCTCCGGGGGCAGCTGTGGCCAGGAGCCATAAGAACTGGGGACTCCTCCTGGAGCAAAGGCCCGGGGTCCCATGCTCTGGGCTGCAAAATCCCCATGGCCCCTGAAGTCACATTGCCCAGGGCCACATCTCCGCTTGCTGCTCCCTGGCCATGTGCCCTCAGGCAGGTCCCGCTACCTCTCTGGCCCCCCCTCCTCTCGGGAGTGGGGCACTGTGTCCTCCTAAGGAAGCTGTAACTTGAAGGCCTCAGTTTCAGTGTGTTACTTTTTTTTGTCTTTTTTATCAGTACCGGGGATCGAACTCACAACCACACAGTTGCAAGGCAGGTGCTTATGCCGCTAAGCTAAATCCCCAGCCAGTTCCAGTGTGTTATAATGTAGCTGTATTCGGAGTCAGTCTTTTTCTTTTTTTTTTTTCCGGTACCAGGGATCGAACTCACAACCTTGCGCTTGATAGGGCAGATGTTTATGCTACTGAGCTAAATGCCTGGCCCTCAAAGAGCGTTTTTAAAGCACTCATTAAGATCAAAGTGGTTGTGCACACCGTAAAATCCCAGGGCTTTGGGAGGCTGAAGAAGGAGGATCTCAAATTTGACTCCAACTTTGTGACTCAGCCAGACTCTCTATGGAATAAAAACTAGTGGGTTAGGGATGGAGCTCAGTGCAAAGGTTCCATCTCTGATATAGCAAAAAGAAAGAAAAGATGAGGAGGAGGAGACAGGAAGAAGATTTGCCAAGTCAGGTTGATCTCACAACTACTTAACCCCGCCCCCAGGAAGATGGCAGCCATAGAAATGTAAATGAGTGGGCGGGGCCACATGCCAATAAAACTTTATTGACAAGAACAAACGCCCACACTTAGCCTCGTTTTCTAGGATTTGAACCAAGGCTGGTGTGCAAACCAGCACAGCACAGCACTGGGGTTAAACCCAGCACTGAAGCTGGGCACGGTGGTGCACACCTGAAATCCCAGCACTTGGGAGGCTGATGCAGGAGGATCCCTGCGAGTTCGAGACCAGCGTGGGCTACAGAGTGAGCCCAAGGCCAGGCTGAAGTGCACAGAGACCCTCCCTCAGAAAGACGAAACGGGCTGGGGCTTGGTGGCGGGGATCCAGGAAGCTGAGGTAGGAGGATCCCAAGATAAGTAAAACCTGGGCAACTGAGCAGTTCAGGGGGGCCTCGTCCCAAAGTAAAACAAGCATTTGAAAAGGCTGGGGACAGAGCTCCGTGCAACAGCCCGGCTTCCAACACCAGTGCTGAAAACCAAACCAAAACAAAACCCCTCTGGCGACACCCTGACCCTCAGACCCTGCAGAGCTTCCGTTCCGGGAGCAAAGCCACCCCCAGAGCCCAGAGCTTGGCCGCAGGGCTGGGCACTGCGATGCCGCACAGAGCCTGACCTTGGGCTCCTGGCTTCTATTTGGGGGAGGAATGCAGGCCTGGCGGGCGCTCCAGGGCCAGGGAAGGAGACAGCACAGCTGAGCCCTGGGCGGGCTCCCGGGCATCTGCTGCCCACATGGGCTGGGAAAGCTCTGACCCACCTCTCTCCCCAGCGGGGAGCCCCCACTGCTGCGGCAGGCAGGGTGCACCCCAGCCGGCACTCCCACCCCCGCCTGCTCCCAGAGCACACAGATGACCCCGGTTTCCCTGTTCATTTTGGTAGCTCGGATGGAACCCAGGGCCTTTGCACAGGGCCATGTTCCCAGGCCTTTTTTATTTTTTTATTTTGAGACAGGGTCTTGCTAAGTCACTAAATCACTCCTGCTGGGTTCCAACTTGGGATCCTCCTGCCTCAGCCTCCCACAGAGCCCTGCCTGGTTCCCCAGGGGCTTCCGATGGAGCTGGGTCCTCACCTTTTCCGGGGGCTGCTGCAGGATGGGCAGGTTCTCCTCCAGCTTGTCCAGCCCCCTGTGGGCGTATTCGCTGGCTGATGCCACTGCGGGAGGGGGAGGGGACAAGGAAAGTCCAACCGGGGAGCCGCTGGGCTGGTGGTGGCACAAGGTCGTGCCAGCACCCGGGAGGGAGGCTGAGGCAGGAAGGTGCGCCCGAGGCCGGCCCGAACTGCACACTGAGACGTCGGCTCCCACAACAAACAACTACAGCCGGGCTGCGCTGAGGGGTCAGAGCCCAGGTGGGTCGGGGCGGGGGACAGGCCCCCTGGTCACTCACGCTGAGGCTCCAGCCGGGACAGGATGGGCTGTGCCCCGCTGACCGCCGCTGCCCTCAGGGTCCTCATGCCCCTCTCTGCCGCGTCGCACACAGTCCCTAGCAGGGGGTGACTGTCCTTGGTGGACGTGTAGGCGGCCGACACCATGTCGCAGGTGGAGCTGATGAGTGGCAGGTTGGTCACGCGCTCGGCCACGCTGGGCTGTGGACGGGCAGAGGCGGCTGAGGGAGGTGGGACCGGGCCCCTGCACCCCTGACCTGGATGTTTGGGGCTGGGGCCCAGGGAGCTCTGAGCACTGTCCCTGCCCTTTAGGCTTTTTAATTTTGAGCCACACGAGGCCCTGAGTTCGCCTGGATGCTCCTGTGTCCTGGGTCACCTGGCTGAATGGACATCAGTCCTCAGAGGTACACAGCATGGTCCTGGTTTCACAGCTAGGGAAACTGAGGCCCAAAGAGGCTTCGGGAACCACCCCCAGTCACAAACCTAGCTGCGGCAGGGCCCCAGAGCTCCCTGCCCCGCTGCGGAGTCTTCAGAGGCCTGCGTCAGTCCCCAGCACCACAAAAACAAAATCCAGGGAATCACAAGTTTACCCTTAAGGGCCCAGAGATGGGACCACCCACGACCACGCCTGAGTCCTGACAGCTGGGACCACCCTCTGGCAGAGAAAAAGGTTAAAAGACAGCTAAAAATGATGTTTTGTGCTGGGCATGGTGGTGTACGCCTATGAGCCTAGCCCGCAGGAGGCTGAGGCAGGAGGGTCACCACAAGCTCAGGCCAACCTGATCTACACAGTGAGACCCTGAATTCAAGCAATAAAAAAAAAAAAGAAAGAAACAAGAGAGCCCCCTGCCCTCCTGCACACAAGGCAGAGGGTTGCAGAAGTCTCAGCCCCAGGCTGTCCTCACCTGCTGTACCGGTTCCGCTGGGGTCACGGGGTTGTCCGCCTGGGCCTCTGTCCCCTGCTCAGCCATGGTCTTGGCAGTGGACGCTGTGGGCAGAGGAACTGTCAGGGGGCAAAAGTCCGGGCCCACGCCGGGGCCCAGAGGGCTCACAATTGCCAGGGACCCCTCATTCCTTGCAGCTGGGCCTCTGTCCCTGAGGACACCAGGGTCACCTGTGCACGCTGCCAGTCAGCAGCTGTGACTCAGAAAGTCAGCTAGGAAAAACCTGACCGAGCCGGTTGCTTCTTCTAGCACCGGGATGGAACCCAGGGCCTTGGCACTGAGCTGTGGCAGGCTTTTTTATTTTTGAATTGAGACAGGGTCTCGCCAAGTCACTGAGCAGCCCAGGCTGGACTGGAACTTGGGATCCTCCTGCCTCAGCCTCTAGGGTAGATGGGATGTCAGGCCTCAGCAGCCCCCCAGGCTCCTCCTCCAAGGGCTCATCTTGGTCACCTCCAGTCCAGAGACACAGATCTGGGCCAGAACCTTTCAGAGGGCATCCTGCCAACATGGGCAGCCATGCGCACGCCAGCAGCCACCTGGAGACCTTGGGAGCTACCCAGAAGCGCAGCAGAAGAGGATTAATTAAAATAGCACAGCAGGGCGTGGTGGCCCACACCTGTGATTCCAGCACTCAGGAGGCTGAGGCAGGAGGGTTGCAGAAATCTACAAGCCAGCCTGGGCTATGGAGTCAGTTCAACGCCGGCCTGGACTACAAAGAGACAGCTTGTCTCAAAGAAATGAAGAAATACATACAATAACAGGCACCCCTCAAACCCCAGAAAGGCTAGACACTGACGCGTAACCCACGTCAAGACGGCTAAGGGCCAAAAGGTGCCAAATTGGACCAAAGCTTTTGGTGGCTTCCGCAGACAGTGTTTAATGAGACACGGGACACTGAACAGCGGCTGCCTTTCAGGAAGGAGGATCCAGTAACTCAAGGTGGGGACAGGCGAGCATTCGAGGTTTAAGGCCAGGTCAGTAATATCATTTGTTCAAAAACAGTTAAGGACTTGGGGTGCAGCTTGGGGGGGGGGTGCCTGCCTACCTCGGTCAAGGCCCTAGGTTTGATCCCCAGCATGAAAAGAAATAAATGAAACTTTTAAACACATCAACCAGGCCAGGTGTGATGGCTCTTTCCTGTAATCCCAGCACTCGGGAGGCTGAGGCAGGAGGATCGCTGTGAATTTGAGGCCAGCCTGGGCTACAGAGAGAGTTCAGGGTCAGCTTGAACTGCATATTGAGACCCTATAAATTAAGCTAGCCCAAAAGTAAAAAATAAAGCCGAGTGTGGTGGGACATGTCTGTAATCCCAGCACTCGTGAGGCTGAGGCAGGAGGATTCCAAGTTTTTAAGTCAGCCCGGGCAATTTAATGGGACAGTGTCTCAAAGCACAAAGTATAGGCGCCTCGAGGTGTAGCTCTGAAGGTCCTGGTTTCCTTCCCGGGAGCACACGAGGAAAAGGAGCGGGGACCAGAGGCCCCAGCAATGGGCTGGCTGCTGGCTACGAAGGCCCCAGGCCTCAGCCAGCTGGTCTCTTCCTATGACTCCCAGATTTGTAAGGGGCAGATCAGATCGGGGTACAGGCCAGATCAGCACCCCAGCCCCTGCCTCTGAGGTTAGCCAGGTCCCACGCAGGGCTCAGGCTGACCCAACTCCCCCAAAACAACCCCCACCCGAGTCCACTTTCCCCTCACACAGCCTTCATCCCAGCACCCTGGGAGGCTGAGGCAGGGGGGCCTGGGCCACGACGGAGACCTCCTCTCACACTATAAAATAAATAGGGGCTGGGATTCAGCTCAGCGGCATAATAAGCACCTGCCTTACAAGCAGGCGGTCGTGAGTTCGATCCCCGGTACTGATAAAATAAATAAATAGATAAATAAAGGCAGGCTGTGGGTGCAGCTCGGCGAAGGCTCGGATTCAGTCCGCAGGACAGAAAGCAAAGAAGGAAGACCCAAGAAATCCCAGCAGATCAAGGTCCCAGGCCCGGCCCGACAGAGGGGGGAAGCGCCCCAGAGCCCGGGGAGCTTTCGCAACACCCCGGCCACACCCACGCGCAGAACGGCAGGATTAGCCCAGAAGAGCCCCCCAAGAAGCCAGCCAGAGCTGGGGAGGACGACCCCTGGGGGGCGGGTAAAGTCATCTGCAGACGGGCGGGGAGGGAGGGGGGAGCCTGGAGAAAGCGGGGTCCGGGGCCACCAAACTTGGGTCTGGAACTGCATTGCTAAAAGGGGCCCAGGCTCGGAGGGGATTGGGCGGGGGACCGGGTGCGCCCCGCCCCCTTGATGCTCAGCGGCACCCCAAGGACCCACCCCGGGTCGCCCCGGAGCCCCCCGCTTCTCACCACGCCACTCCCCGAACTCCAAGGCCGGGCAGCAAGTGGCCCGGACGGGGCGGGGCGGGACTTTTACCCCATAGGAGGGCGGGTCTCGGGAGTGACGGGCCACACCGCCAATCATATGCAGGGGCTTCCCGGGAGGCCCCGCCCTCAGAGGCCCCGCCCCCTGCCCGGCCCGGGACGTGACTGTCCCTGTAAGGGAGCAAGTTAGGACTCCGCGCCCTGGCTCTGGAGAGGATTGGGGACCTTGGGAGGCGCCGGACCCAGAAAAGGGGCGCCCCCTCCCCACCTGGGGACTCTGTGAACTCATCCCTGGGTGGTGGGTGGGTCCAATCTGGGGCGCACTGCGTAGGGACGGGGGCGGGGGTCACCAGGTCCCCATTTTTACAAAGACCCAAAGGAAGCCTCCAGGTCCCCGCGATGGGTGCAGGAGGGCGCAGGCGCGAAGGCTCCACGGCCCACCCAGGAGTGGAAACAACCTGAATCCCATTGGTCAGCACAGACTCCAGGCTTTCTGCCAGCACGCCCCCAAATGCAGCCTCTTACTCCTCCCAACTCTGTGTGGTCCCTCAGTCAGCCCCATTTTATGGACGCTGAGCCCAGAGACAGTCAGGGGATGTAGCAGGCTCCAGGCCTCGGGCTCGCGGACACCTGGATCAACCCCTTCCTGAAGCTGCCATACCCTTTTTTTTTTTTTTCTTTTGGTCTCGAATCGAAGATCTGAGACTCAGATGGCTCTAGAAGCTGGGAAGGAGGGAATGGTACCGTGCTCAGCCCTGGAATAGCAGCACCTTACCCTAGGGAAGACTTACCTGGGTACCAGCAGTCCTACAGGAAGTCAAATCAGAAATGTCCTGCCTCTCAGAACACTCCCAGGCCAAATGAAATCTGGCTGGGGTTACCACCCAGCTGTCACCTGTGCTAAGTCATGTGGATGGGTAGGGCTTCCCGGCCTTTTGGAAAAAACATGGGGAAAATGAGATGGAGAGACTACATTTTCTCTGACCAGGTCGATACAGCATTGTGCAACAGAATTCCCATGACCTTGGCAATGAGAATGTTCTAGAACTCTCCACCATCCCATAGTCCCTTCAAGAGCAGGTTCCAGAGGCTTTCAGTGCAGGGCTGGGGTTGGAGCAGAGCCCTGGGCACCCCGCACTCACCTCTGAGCCTCATCTGCAGCCTGAGACAAATGTCCAATTCTCGAGATTCTTCTTGTTTTGTTTTTGAGACAAGTCTCGCCATCATCCAGGCTGGCTTGGAACACACGGCATCCTCCTGCCTCAGCCTCCTGAGGGCTGGGATTCCAGGGGTGCACTACCACACCTGGCCACAGTGTCCAATTTTAAAATTTTTACTTTTTTGGGGGGGTACCGGTGATTGAATTCACAACCTTGTGCTTGCCAGGCAGACACCTGTGGTGCCTAGCTAAATCCCCAGCCCTTTTTACTTGTTTTTAGATAGGGTTTTGCTAAGATTGCCCAGATTGACCTCCGGCTTGAGATCTTCCTGCCTCAGCCTCCAGGGTGCTGGGATGACAGGTGTGCACCGCGGCGCCTGGTTGAATGTCTAAGTTTAAAAGCTGCAAGCAGGCAGGCTGATTCCCGAGTGAGTGACTAAGGCGGTGAGGCCTCTTTTCAGTCAATCAACTGTGTGTATTCCACTCCTGTGCGGGCTGTTGGGCGCCCAGTGGCAAAACCAGCTACGTGAGAACTCTATTCGGAGTCAGGGGCCATGAACCCAGCAGAAGGAGCCAAAGAAGGCACAAGGGCACAGATGCGGGGGTGCAGTCCTACCAGGGTGCTCAGGGGAGGCTTTAGAGAGTGATATTTGGATACAGAAGTGAAGGAGATACTGAGGGAACCATAGAGAGAAACAGAAAAAAAGTTTTCCTGGGAGAGGGCACAGCTGTGCAAAGGCCCTGGGGCAGGACGGAGCCCAGTGTGGTGCAGCAGCGGCGAGGAGGAGCCCCTGTGGCCGGAGCAGAGGGAGGAGGGGAGGGGAGGCGGGCTGGCTGAGAGAGACCAGGTGATCTATCCAAGGTACCACAGGTCAAAGGTTGGTAATCTGTGTCCTCAGATATGTCTGACGGGGCAGAACCCAGTGGTGATAAGATAAATTCCTAGTGATTCTGTCCCCCATCTTTAGAGCAAAAAGGGAACAGCTGGCCCCTGGGTAGTGGGAAACCAGAGAGATGGCCACGAGCAGAGGATGCTGGGAGACTGGAGGTGGCCAGGGCGCTGAGCAAAAGAACACGGCCGCACCTGGCACTGCGCATGCTCGGAAGGAGGGGGAGGGGAGTGGGGGAGGGGAGGGGGAGAGGAAGGGGGGAGGGGGAGGGGAGGGTCCCTAGCAGCAGCTCGAGGACGCCCGGAAACTTTCTCTGCCTGGGACCCTCCTGTGCCACTGTGCCCTCCCCCCAGAAGCCTTCCTGGTTAAACTCCAGGCTTCCTTGGAATATTGGGGTTGATCAATGAACCCCAGGAAGCCAGGTGACATTTTAATTTCAGATCAGTAACAAGTACCGCTGGGCTTTTCCTTTGCTCCAAGGACAGCCCACGGCATCTTTGGGGTACATTCCTTCCTCCCGCCCTGTGTGAGGGTGCACACCCGTCACCCCAGCACTGCGGGAGGCTGAGGCAGGAGGGTCTCAGGTTCAAGCCCTGCCTGGGCCACGTGGTGATTAGTGCAACCTTGTTCCAAAATTATTTTAAAGGGGCTGGCTGTGTAGTTCAGCGGGGAGGTCTGGGATTAGTTTCTGATTCAGAATTCAAACGCGGATGTCTGTGAGGTGGATTTGGTTTTGTTTCCCTTTGTGCTGACCCTAAGAGCCCGGCTCAGCCCCAGGCCCTCTGTTGGTACCACCCTGGCCCTGGGGGAGGGATGCTGTCACCTCCAGGCTTGGGAGACCCCTGGAGGGCGGGCGACCCCTGTCCCAGATTTGCCTCTTGGCTTCCCGGAGCACAGGGACGCCACACGCCAAGTAGCTGTCCTTTTCTGGGCCGTTCTATTAGGATCAGAGAGGCGGAGCAGCCTGCCCAGGTCACACAGCCAGAGAATACCGGGCACTGGCTTTGAACCCTCGGTTGTCTGTCTCTGAGGGCTTTTGGTTTTGTTTTGTTTTTGGACAGGGCCTGCCATGTAGTGCAGACCAGCCTTGAACTCACTACGCTACCCAGGCGATACTCGAAATCAAAGGGACCCTCCTGCCTCAGCCTCCAATATGCTGGGATTATAGGCATGCACAACCATGCCGGTGTCTTTGAGGTTTCTATTTCTCTTCTTCCTCTTCTTTCCGCTCAACCCACCCCATTGCCAGTAAGAGGGCTCCTATAATTGAATTTTGCTTTCCTTGGGAGTAGGAAAGCAGAGATAGGACGGCTTCCCGCCACATGGGGGCGCACTGGTCCCAGATTGGCCCCCACCTCTGGCCCAGGTGTTTTGAGTGCTTGCCCTCTGACCCTTTGATCTGTCTGTCCACCTCCTCCTCACACATTTCCTATTCTCCATCAGCCAGCTTGGTGATTTACCGGTCTTTCAGTCATTCAACAAACTCTCTGTTTTCTTGAGACAGGGTCAACTTTGTCTTGAAGTAGGTAGCCCAGGCAGGCCTTGAACTTGCAGTGATCCTCCTGCCTCAGTCTCCGAAGCCCTGGGATTACAGGTAAGCACCACCACCACATCTGGCTCAACAAATAATCATTAAACGTTGCTGTGTGCCAGTCTCTGGGTAGGCAGCCCTGGGCAAGATACTCATAATAAAGTAGGACAACAAAATGCTCCCCAGAAAGGAGCGGGGGGGGGGGGTCAGGTGGGAAAAGAGTGCAGGTGAAGGGTGAGACACAGGCAGTGGTGAGGGAACACAGGCGGAGCTGGACGGGCTGGCAAACACCAGGCTGCCAGCGTCAGAGAGCACTAGGGAGCCACAGCGGGTTCTGGAGCCGGAGCAGCAGCTGGACCAGGGGAGAGGTCCCGGCGCAGAGAGGTTCAGAGGATGGAGGGTGAAGGTGGGGCCCAGGAGGGAGAAAGTGCTCCCCTGCCCCGGTAGGGTCTCACTGCAGCCTGGGCTGCCTTGAACCTAAGAGTCATCGTCCTGCCTCAGCCTCCCAGGGGATGACGGGCCGGGCGTGTGCCACCAGGCCTGGTACCCCCCCTGCTCTTTATTTTTCATCTGTAGGACGACAGGCGTGGGCCAGCGCACCCGGCCACCGTGAACAAATTTTTACATCATTGTGTCTCAGCTCTTGCGGGGGACACATGTACCCCCAAACCCCACTCGCTTCTTGGGGTGTCCTGACTTCACCAGGCAACCCGGCCAGTCCCCGTCCACGTCCCCACGGCCACGTGGTGGACAGACGCCTCCCCTCAGCCGCCATGGCCTCAGGGACACAAAGCAGGGGATTGTGGCTGCGGAAGCCGGTCTGAGCTGGTGAGCTGGCCGCGCCAGGAAGCCGGGCCTTTAACATGCAGACCCTGGCCTGTCCCCGCCCTCCGGGCCTGCGTGGCGCCAACTGCCCGCTGCCCCGGAGTTCCTGGCGGCGGTGGCAGCCTTGGGGGAGGGGAGCGGCTCCAGAGCTCTCCCGGCCAGCCAGTGTGGCCCGACTCGGGTCCCGGCGGGCGCCTCCATGCAGGTGACGGGCTGACGCCAGGCCACCAGCATCCGTCTGTCCTGTGTCCCTCCCCCCAGCCCCGCAGCTCCCCTGAGCCTCCTCGATGGCCTCCAGGCAGGCAGCCCTGGAAAGGCCCGGGCAGACGTGGTGGCGCACGCCTGTCATCCCAGTGCCCTTGGGAGGCTGAGGCGGGAGGACCAAACATTTCAGATCAGCTGGACCCGTTTGGCAAGTACTGGTCTCAAAATAAACCTAAACAGGGCAGGGACGTTGCTCGGTGGGAGCCCTGGGCCCCAGCCCCAGCCCCAGCCCCAGCCCAGCACTAAGCAAAAGAAAATGGGAGAAAAACCAGAGCCCCGGGTGCAGCTGACCAGCAGGCCGCCCAGGGGGACCCTGCCATCCAGCCACCTGCACCGCCCCACGCTGAGGAGCCTTGGGGCGGCCCGCTGGCGCGGGGACACGGCCGCCAAAATGTGCCGGTCACTCAGGCTGGCAGCAGGAACAGGCCGTTCCCAGTGGAGGTGGGGGGCTGTTGCCTGGCAACCAGCCCCCCCAGACACAGTTAAGGGGGGAAGTGTGGGCACCTTGGAGCCGGACCTGGGGTCCTTATCAGGCAGGGAGCCTTGGTCACCCAGGCCTGGCTCCTCCCAGCCTGGCCGCACCGCTGCTCCTCCTCCTCCTCCTCCTCCTCCTCCTCCTCCTGAGTTCCAGGGTGACAGAGAGGCCAGGTCACCCCTCTCCCCCTCAGGATTGGAATGCCGGAGGTGGCAGCAGTGGGGGGTGGACATTCCCAGGGAGACGGCACCACCGCCATGGCTGGGACTGCAGCTGTTTGTCCCCAAGAGCAGGCTGCAGCTGGTGTGGGTGGCTTGGGTCCGCGGGGAGTGAGGTTATTTAGGGGTTGGGGACCTGGGAGGCCAAGAGGGCCCTCCCTCCCTCCGTGGGGACAGGAAGTGGGGACAAGCCAGCTGCCTCCTCCGTTGGCCCACCTGGCACAGCGGGCGCCCAGGGCCACCGCACAGGAAGTGTTCCCAACGCCCCTCGAGCCCGCCTGCCTGCCTGCCTGGGCCACTGAGTCTCAGCACCTGGGGTGGGGAGGCCATCTGGGGTGCACAGCAGGTTTGCATCTCCAAGAGTGTCACTACTTTGAGGGCAGCCTGGGGGAATTTAAGGAGACCTTGTCTCAAAGTGAAATTTAAGCCAGGTGGGTGGTGGCACACGCCTGTAATTCCAGCACTCAGGAGGCTGAGGCAGGAGGGTCCCCACACATCCCGGGCCAGTCTGGATTACATAACGAGACCCTGTCTCAGAAAGAAATTTTAAAAATGGGGCTGGGAGGTGGCTCAGTGCTACGGGGCCTGGCGCGTTACCGGGCCTTAGACTCCACACCATACCTTGTTACTAACAAAATCTATGTATAAAAGTAAACTCCTGGAGTTCACAGAGAGGGCTTGGTGCAAAGCCAGGGGTCTAGTCCTGACCCGGACAGGACCTGGCAGTCCTGACTTGTGGGCAGCCTTCGTTTCCTCAACGGCTACAGGGAAGCGATGCCAGGCCTGGTGGTACACACTGGGATGCCAGCACTGGGGAGGCTGGGGCAGGACAATCGCCATGCGCTTGAGGGCAGCCTGAAATCCATAGTGAGGTGCTGTTTAAAACAAAACAAAATTTAGAAAATGAAATAAGACACACAGGACCTGGGTAAAGGGCAGGCCACCAGTGTCCCTCACAGAGGCTTAGGAAGCAGGGGCAGGTCTGGCTGTGGCCACTTTGAATTTATGTCCCCAGGGTAGCTGCAGCCTGCAGGAATGTGGCCTCTCCTGTGATCGGGGTGGGTCAGTGCCTCTCCAAGGGCTGATTCTCCCCCACCCCGCCCCTTGGCTGGGTCTGGGGACCCTTCTGCTGGTGCCAGCCAGGAGGAACCCGACTGGGTCCAAGAGATGAAGCCAGGCACCCTGGTCAGCACCATATAATCACAGGACTGTCCTTTCCCCACGGTCAGCTCCAAATGAGGCTGGGTGCGTGCGGTGGCGCACGCCTGTCCTCCCAGCACTCCGGAGGCTGAGGCAGGAGGATCACCAGGAGTTCAAGACCAGCCTGGGCCACAAAGTGAGCCTGAGGCCGGCCTGACCTGCACAGCGAGACCCAGTCTCAGAAAGACAAAGAAAAGAAAAGAAAAAAAGGGGTCAACCTCCAGTACAGGGGGAAAAATTGTGTCTTCTGTGACGTGAAGCTCAAGCCCAGCCTTTCTGGGTTACCACCCTACAAAAAGTAAATCAGGATGCAAAGTCCCTCCTGACTTGTCTGAGTCCTCCCAACCCTGGGAAGATTTAAGCAACCCCACTGGACATGAGAAGCTTGGTTTCTCTTCTATCCCATTGGTTGGAACTCGGTCACGTGGCCTCAGCTTCTGCAGTGCATGCTGGGAGTTGTAGTCCATTCCTGTTTTCCAGAGCCAATTTAAAAAATAGGCAGTCTATATTCATGTTATTTTTTCTTGTTTTTTCATTTTTCTTTCTTTTTTTTTTTTTAAGACAGGGTCTCACTGTGTAGCCCAGGCTAGCCTTGAATTTGGGGTGATTCTCCAGCCTCAACCTCCTAGGGGTTAGGGTTACAGTCTATGTATGTGTTATTATCTGACATTTTTATTATTGTTGAGACCTAATAGCTTTATAACTTTCTCTCCCTCTCCCTCTGTATCTCCCCCTCCCCCTTCCTGTGTCTCTCTGCTTCTGTCTCTATCTCTTTCTGTCTCTCTCCCTCTCTGGCAGGTACTATGGACTGACCCCAGGGCCTTTGCACTAACCTACATCTTAGCTCTGGTTTTCCTTTTTATGTTGAGACAGAATCTCGACAGTTTTCCCAGGTTGGGCTCAGACTCAGCACTCTCCTGCCTCAGCCTCCCAGAGTGTTGGGTGACAGGCAAGTGCCCCCAAACCTGACCCCTCTTTTATTTTTTATTTCAAGACAGAGTCTTGCTAAGTTGCCCGCGCTGGGCAGGCCGCTTCCTGCTGACCCTCCTCTTTCTCTCCAGAGACTCAAAGGACTGATTTTTAAACATATTCTCTGAGACCCTCAGTCTCATGGTTTCCCTGGTGCATTAGGTGCGGTGACTGTCTGAGGCTTAGCTTTCCTGCCTTGGGGACCCTGAGCCACCAGCGTGCACGCGTGTCTGTGGGAATGAAACTGGAGGGTCACCCACGTGTCAGGGCCCGGCAGAGGGGTGGAGAGGAGAGTGCGGGGTCCCGCCTGGTGTGCCAGAAGCTTTCCTGGAGGAAGAGGTGCTGAGCTGGGCTTTGAAGAGATCATGAGACAAATGAAAAACCTACAGTGCAATTGAGAAAGGGATTAAAAAAGAATAGGCAAGCGGGGCGTGGCAGCACACGCCCCTAATCCCAGCACTAGGCAGGCCGAGGCAGGAGGATCTCTGTAAATTCAAGGCCAATCTGGAATACATAGTGAGCAGGAGGGCAGCAATCACATGATCTGGGATCCCCTTCTGTAGGTTACTTGTGGGTCACCAAACAAACAGCTAAAAGATAAGCAACAGCTTTGGGGGCCATCTGGTGACCTCCATTAATTCTGAGGATCAGAGAGTTCACACCGGGGGAGCACGGGGCACGCCCACAAGGCCGGAGGTTCTTTTTGTTTGTTTTTGAGACAGGATTTCAGGCCTGGCTGGCCCTGGGCTCACAGCATTCTCCTGCCCCAGCCTTCCGGGTGCTGGCATGACAGAGCTTTCAGACCCTGCCTAGCTTCAGCCAGAATGTGACCCTGAAAATACAGATTGTGGGTGAATCGGAGACAACCTGGGAGTGGAGGGGTGCTTAGTGGGGAGCACTTCACTTGCACGCGTGGGACCCTGGCGCTGATCCCCAGCACCCCTCAGGGAAAGGGAGGGAGGGCAAGAGCCAGCCGGACGGATGCAGAAATGAAAGCCTGTCAGGGCAGCACTCTGGGAGGCTGAGGTAGGAGGGTCCCAAGTTCCATCCGGGCCTGGGGAACTCAGTGACTTCGCAAGACCCTGTCTCAAATAAAAGGTAAACTGGGCTGAGCGTGAGGCCCTGGGTTCTGTCCCCACTGCTGCAAAAATAACAGCAGCGATAAAAGGCCCACGCCGTGCGGCTGGGCCCCGACCCCGGAGTGTCACCTGTGAGACACAGGAGTGAGATAAAGCCTTTACTCCCCAGGAGTTTGCTCGCGTCCTCCTGGAGCGCCCAGCTCGGGGCTCACACCCCCGAGGACCAGCAGCTGGCTGCTGGAGTCTGCGGGGCTGCGGGTGACCACGATGGGCAGCCGGGCCTTGACGCTGCTCAGGGACCAGGGCAGCGGCACGGTGACCACCAGCTCGTAGCGCGTGTGCATGAGCTCGTGCTGCCGCCCGCTGCCACTCACGGCCAGCAGCAGCGGGAGGCTGAAGGTGCTGACCATCTTGGTGGTGGTGAAGGCTCCGATGTGCGCGCTGGCCTCCTGGCGCAGCAGCTGGGTGCTGTCCGTGCGGCAGCGGCGCTCCGCGCTGGGCGTGAAGCCTTGATACTGCACGTGCGCGTGCAGAGCCGCCACCACCGAGCGGAGGCACTTGCCGGTCTGGTTGTGGATCTCCGTGGTGAAGGCCACCTTCTCCCCCGGCGTAAAGACGTTCTTATCCATGTGCACCCACAGGCCCACGGTGCCCCGGCTGCAGCAGTTGTAGGAGACTTTCTTCTCGACCTGCACCATGAGGGGCCTCTGGAGGGAAAAACGGGGCCCAGCTGTGTAACTCAGACCGGCTTTGAACTCACCATGTAGCCCAGGCTGGCCTCAAAGCACGGAAGATCGTCCTGCCTCAGCCTCCTGAGTGCCGGCGTTCCGGCTGTGCACCACCACACCCAGCCCTGAATTTGGATGGCTTCCTGGCAGGCAAATGGTGTATGTGGTCACTGCTAGAATTCTCAGCAGCCTAGGGATATTAAATGTGTTTCGACCTTAATGATAGTTTTAATTTATGATAGGTTTAACTGCACAGACAGAACCATAAAACATCGGTATATGAGCTCATTTTTATTCTTAGAGGTCAGACATCAATCCCAGGGCGTCTCCTGCTAGACAAGGACTCTGAGCTATAGCCCCAGGCCTTTTAAATGGTATTTTGTGGTCAGGTTGCCCAGGCTGGCCTAGATCAAGATCTTCCTGCCTCAGCCTCCTAAGTAACTGGAATGATGGGTCTAGAAGTCAGCAGCTGGGGGTGGTGACACATGCCTGTCATCACAGCACTCTGGGAGGCTGAGGCAGGAGGATCAAAAATTTGAGCCTGGGCAACTTAGTGACTCAGCAAGACAGCATCTCAAAATGAAAACGGTTAGGGCACACATGAAAGAATAAACACCCCAGCCACGCTCACAGCCCGAGGCACGGATTTCCACAAAGGAGACCTACAGATTGAAAAGCTCTCCAGAGCAAATGTGGCTTTTCCTCCGGGCCTTGGCTGACCCCTGACCCCTGACCTTCCATCTCACCTTTCACCCTCTGCCTCTGGCCGTCCCACCCTCTCCCCTGGAAGCCTAGCCCTGCAGGCAGGCGCTTCCAGTGCCCTAAGACAGCCACAGCCTGGCTTCTACCCAGTCCAAAAGCAGGTCCCCAGAGCCTGGCATGTGGCACACAGCTGTCATCGCAGCACTCGGGAGGCTGAGGCAGGAGGATCCGCGGGCCTGAGAATTCATGGTGACATGGTGATGCCACCCCCCCAGGCCCAGCCAGTACCCTGGTTAGGGGATTCGTACCGGGGTGGAACCCAGGGCTGTCACCCTGGGCCGCTTCTCCAGCCCTCTGTATCTTTTATTTTTGGGGGGGCTCTCTGGGTAAATCAGTAAGTTGCCTGGGCCGGGCTAGAACTGCAGATCCTCCTGCCTCAGCCTCTCAGCACGCTGGGCCAAATGACCTTGCAGCAGGTCACAGAGCAGCAGGATTTTGGACTCCCCTCTTCCTCCTCCTCCTCCTCCTCCTCCTGTCTTTCTGAGACAAGGTCTCACTGTGCAGTTCTGGCTGGCCTTGAGCTCGCTTTGTAGCCCAGGCTGTTCTCAAATTTGGAAGGATGCTCCTGCCTCAGCCTCCTGAGCTGTGATGACAGGAGTGCCCCACCACACCCGGTTTTTAATCTGGATTTTGAGAGCCAAACCATCAACCCTGCACTTGTGTCACCCTAATGCTCTGAGGACAGATGCCACCCTGGGCCCCGTGGCCTTCGCCAGTGTCACTCCCTGGGTGCCCCGCTGGGTGTGGCTTCAGACAGGGACACACTTCAGAGGGGCAAAAGTGGCTCCTGGCCTTGGCTGTCCTGGAACAGAGGCCACCGAGGGTCCTGTCTGCCGGACAGAGGGACAGAGGGACAGAGGGCAGGTGAGCTCAGGCGTGCCGGGCCCTGCGGGCAGGGGTGGGCAGCGTGCGCCCTCTGCCTGCCTCACATGTCCCCACACGGGGCATGTTTTGAAATTCCGTATCATTGTTTTTATTTTTCTCTTTAAACGAACCAAAAAGACCCCACGCCCTGCAGAGGCCACCTTGCCCCTCCTCTCTTGTCCTTCAGAGTCCCCAGCGACCCGGCTCCTCTGCGCCCCTGACCACGGGTCCCTCGGGGGGTGGCCGGGGCCACTGCCCAGTGCCCGGGCAGGCAGTGCCCTTCCTGCACAGCCCGGGTCAGCGTGCCCGCCTGCCCGCTGGCGCAGTACCTGGGGGCAGTTCTCCTGGACGCCATCTGAGGTGCCCTGCACCAGCAGGTAGACCTTCTTCCGGCCCAGGATGTGCTCGCGGCCCATGCAGGAGGCCTGGATGAAATAGGAGATGTGGCCGGTCTTGCTGGCGAAGGAGGACGGCAGCCTGGGAGGTAAGTTGAAATGGAAGTCAAAGGTGTGGCTGCCCGCGCCTAACCAGTTACCTGCAAGCGGAGGGAAGAAAACAGGAGGAAGCCATCAGAAGGTCCTAGAATCCCCACCCCACCCCGTGTGTGTGCGCGTGCGTGTGTGTGTGTGTGTGTGTGTGCGCGCGCGCGCGCGTGTGCGTGTGGTGTGTGGTGCGTGTGCGAGATACTGGAATCCAGCATGGGGCCTTTGCACTGAGCCACATTCCCAGTCCTTTTTCTAAGTTTTCCTAATTTGCTAAATTGCTCAGGCTGGACGCAAAGGTGAGATCCTCCTGCCTCAGCCTCCCAAGTACTGGGATTACAGGGATCCACCACTGCATTGTGTCAGGGACTATTCTGAATGTCTGAGTTCCAGTCAGCTTTTGTGTCTGTTATTTTCAGGTGACACGTTTGGGGTGCTACAGTCTTCCCACCTAGGCAGGGGAAGCAGCTCTGCTGCTCACATTTCCGGAGGTTTGTTGACTGACTCTCAGCTGTGTGTCCCTGCTAGACCGAGCTCCTACGATGGCTATGGCCTTCCTTACCCGCCACCGGGAATGTCTTAGTTTTATGCACGTAGTCTGCCTTGTTGTTACAAATAACATCTCTGCTATAATCCAGGGTCTCCCCGGTCTCTTCATTCCACTCGACGTAACCCCGTCCTACAAGCTCCACCTTCACTACGGGGTCCACCAGGGTGCTGTACAGGGTTAGAACCACCTGGCCCTCCACGGTGGAGCCGGCCAGGTAGACTGCATCCTTGGGCAGCACTAATTCGATCGACTTCACCACAGACATGGGGGGTCGGGGGCGTGAGGAACCATCCTCCCCCCGGCCCCATGCCAGAGAGCTTCCTGGTTCCTGGGGCCAGTGACAGTGATGTCACTCTCTGTGACATCACGGCCCCAAGGGAGGCGGCCACTGTCAGGGATGAGGAGTTACTAAGCAATTCCATAGTTAGTTTGAGGTGATTTTGTGAGATAGGACCTCATTATGCAGTGCAGGCTGGCCCTGAGCTCACCGTGTAGCCCAGGCTGATCATGAACTCGCAAGGATCCTCTGACTACATGAGGCTTTGGGGGGACATTTAGATGCAAGCTGTAAGAGTCAGTGAGTGGCCCAGGCTGGGCTCAAACTCTCGCTCCTCCTGCCTCAGCCTCCCAGAGTACTGGGATGAGAGGCATGTGCACCGCACTCCTGTTTAACCTGCGGTGTCCCAAGCCCTCAGGGCCCCAGGCTGCACCAGCTGTACTTGAGGACCCGGTTCATCGTCCACCTACTCCAACTGTTTCCAGCTGTGGAGAGCCTGGGCCCTTGGGAAATCCCACTGGCCTCCCAAAGCTCGGAGGCTGCCGGCTGCGGGTCCACAAGTGAGTTCTGGTCCTGAAGCCAGAGCCCGTTAGGTTAGCTGGCCCCCATCCTCTTTTCTCTTTTTTTATTTTTGAGGCAGGGTTTCACTATATGATTCAGGCTGATTTTGAAGTCCCTTTCAAGGCCGGCCTTGAACTCGTGGTGATCCGCCTGCCTCAGCCTCCTGAGTGCTGGGATGACAGGTGTGCGCCACCACGTCCAGCACGGTCTCCTGACTTCTGCGGTGGTCAAGCTGCCTTCTCTGACTGACCCTCCTGCTTCCCTCAGTCCCCCTCTGGGCTCAGCCTCCCAACGCCATCAGGCCTGAGTGAACCTCCCAGTTTCTGGGATAATCTCTCAATCTAAAATTCCTAAATGCATCACAGCTGGCGACTCCCTTTACTGTGGAAGGCACCGGCACCAGCACCGGTCTGGGCGTGAGGGCGGGGACATCTTTGGGGGCCATGTTCCTTCGTACCACGTGGGCGAGTAGAGACTCTTGCCTGACCAGAGCTCAGCGCTGCCCTCAAACTGCAGAAACAAAAGATGAAACGCAACTACTTATGCTTACAGTCCTCCAAGGCCGCTCCCTGCCGGCTAGAGAAAGACCAAAGTCCTTCCGGTGGCCTTTGAGGTCTTCCGAGTCACTCTCTGACCCTGTCCCTCCCCTCCCCTGGCTCAGCCTGCCCAGCTCCTGGGGCCTCCTTCGGGCTTGTCCAACACCCCCAAGGCCTCTCCCCCCAGGACAATCCCGTCTAGGCTGGGATTGTCATCTCAGGTCTCAGCTCAAACGTCATTTTGTCCCCGAGGAGGGCTGCTGGCCGGAACATCATCTTTCCCCATCTCCCACGGACTTTCTTGTCTTCATGGCCAATAGCGCTATCAGAAATTATGTTTTATTTATTGGCGTCTTGTCTATATCTCCAGACAAGACTCCACCCTGCTTTAGACCACCAACCAGGGTTATGTCATGGTAGCTGTTGGACTCCCACAGTTCTGACCACCCTGTCCAGCTAAGGTGTCCTCCACAGGTCACTCGTGTGCCCGCCCAGACTGGCCCGGGGGAGTAGGCCGGGCGGAGGGGGCAGGGCAGCCCTGCCCGCCTGGACAGCACAGAGGAAAACAAGGCGGGAAAATGAGGCGGGAAAACTCTGCCAACAGGCCCTGCCCGCGGGTGGGGAGCGCTGGCAGGCCCTGACGACAGGCCACGGGGATGGGGCCACCGGGCCAGCTATGGGGTGCACAGTGTCTCATGGTGGGTGACCTCTCCCATCTCCAGTCATAGACATTGACTGTGGCCAGGTCAGTGGGTGCCCAGGGGAGGGGGCTGAGGGGACGGACTTAGGATAAGATCAGGGGTCTCCACCTGGGGGGGTCCCTGTGCTGGGGTCCTCCTAGGGGCCCTATGAGGTGTGCGTGGTGGGGAGTCCAGGTCCCGCCAGCCACCCAGTGCCCTGGCAAACTGGGCGCGCCCAGCACAGCAGGGCGGGGCCGGGCCAGCTGGGCGGAGTTGGGGGGGTGGACAGAGAAGGAGGGGGCGCCCCCCACCCCCTTTCCCCGTTTCCCGCCACTGGGGCGGCCAATCAGGGAGCGGGCGCCGGCCCGCGGCACAGCCTCCCGCGGCCCCGCAACTCCCCAACTCCGAGTTTTCGCGGGAAAAAAATCAGAGCAGCTGGGAGCGCGGTGGACGGCGCTGGCCGAACGCGCGCTCCGGGTTACACGCAGATCCGCGTGGGAGTCCGGGCTACGGAACTCGGCACCACCGCCGTCCCCGGGCGCGCAGGCCAGAGCGTTGGATCATCGCGGCACGAAAGGTGAGCGGCGGGGCGGATCGCGGTGCCGGCCACGGGCGCGGGGACTTGGCACAACTTTACCGCGTGGCCGGGGACGCGCGATCAGTGTGTCCGCACGCGTGCCCTGGTGCGGGGGACCGCTTTGCACTCGATCTCGAGACCCCAGGCCTGTGCCTTGGCACACCCGGCGTGGGCGAGGACGAGCGCCACGCCGCGCCAGCTGGGCAGGGGTCGCGCGGGCCGGGTGGGGGAGGGCCCGGCGAGCCGCGGGGGAGGATGTCAGCCTCCGCGCCTGCGCGCAGGGCGCCGGGCGATTCAATTGTCGCGCCCGAGCCTGATTTCGCGCGCCCTGAGCTCCCCGGGCGCTTCTAGACCAATAAGAAGCGAGAGGGGCGGAGCGTCCCGAACAGCCCAGCCAATAAGAGGGCAGGCTCAAGTGAAGGGAGGTGGGACTTGGCGTGCTGGGCCCCTCGGCCGGTCCCTGTGGCGGTGGGCGTGGGTTTGCAGGGGCGACCCGCGCGGCCCGGTGAGAGTGCGGGAGAGGACGCCGGGGCTTGAGTTAGGTGTCCGGGGAGCGTAGCCCATTGCGGGGCTGAGGTGCGTCTCCCGGCACGCGGGCGGGGGCGGCTGGGACAGGGCGGCCGGTTGCCATGGCCACAGCGGGGCAGGCCGCGTCGCGCACGCGCGCGGGGGCACGGTGCGGGCTCCCGGGGCTTTGGGGTCGCAGGGCTGGGGGGAGTCCCGTCCTCTCATTCTCACTTGGTTAAGTTACCCCCACCTTCCTCCTTCCTCTCCCGGGACTTCTGAAGTTCCGGCCTGTTCTGGACTTTTGCAGTTTACAAATCCTGGGAATGAATGAATGAACGATCCAGCGCGGCCACTCGTGGCGGGGCTGGACGTCCCCGGCCGCTGTTTTCCTGTGCATAGGGGTAGTGGGTGACGCTCGGGAGTCTGAGATGGCGTTTGACACCCCCTCCCCGCTTAATCCTCACCAGTTGCTAGTCATTAAGGCAGTTAAGTCAGTAATTTCCTTTGCCTGGCCCTGGATCAGAGCTGGCAGAATATAGAGACCACCAATTCTCTTTAAGTGTCTGAATCCCTGGTGCCCCTATAAGCTAGTGGTGAGGAAGCTGACCTCGGGTTCCGCTCTTGTTTCCCCCACCTAGCACCGACACCATGTGGGTCCAGGTGAGGACCATGGACGGCAAGGAGACTCACACCGTGGACTCGCTGTCCAGGTTGACCAAGGTTGAAGAATTGAGGAGGAAGATTCAGGAACTGTTTCACGTGGAGCCCGGTTTGCAGAGGCTCTTTTACAGGGGCAAGCAGGTAAGCCCGTCTGCCACGCTGCCCGCCCACTAGCACCTTTGTTCCTGACTGGTCCGGGCACCCGGGCCCCTGCAGCCAGCAGCCAGCAGCGCAGACAGGCTCCCCCCCTCGTCCGGTCCGCTTCACGTCTCTCGGAAGAAGTCCTACAGCAGAAACCTCAAACGCCTGCGAGGGAAGGAACAAAGGCCGAAGTCGCGCATTGACACGCCAGGCAGGCAGCTGGGCCGCCTGGGCCGCCTGTCTCTAAGCGCCTGGGCTTTTAAACTTTATTTTTTGATTTGTTTTTTTAAAAAAGCTTGTCTTGAGAGAGCATTTCTAAAGGTAGAAGCTGGAGGTGGCCAACAGGGCTGAGGAATTTTCATCAAAAGCCAAAAACGAGCCGAAACACAGAATGAACGCCAAGGACGGCACACGCTGATTACCCACAGCCTGTGCCCGTTTAGCATCAGACTTCGTGTAGGGCGTGAGGTTAGAGAGCTAGATTAGTTTATTCAGAGTCAGGATGGAGTGTGTGGGTCTCGGAGTTCTCCCCACCCTGGGCAGACCTGGAGGAGGAGGGGATGGTCTCTGTGGGGTCCCCGCTTACCACGTTTCTATACGCTCTCCCCTGCCCCCTGCACTGTTAACAGGGCCATTGTGCTAACAGCTGCCTGCACGTGGGACCTTTTATCGTTGGCACCTGGGGGTTTCGCGCCTTCCTTAGGGGATGTGGGTCTGTGTAGCAGGTGGGGTTTCCTGGGTGGGCCAAGACGTGCCTTACCAGGCTCAGGACCCGGCTGCTGGGCCTGGCTTGGCATTGGTGGTTGTAATTGTTGGTGATGGAACTATAAGTCTCAGTCCCACTGAAAGTCTCAGTCGGTTTTGTGTGTCCGACTTTGTTGTCGCTGAATTTTGAGGCGGGTGCTGCTGCCATCTGCTGGTAACAGACCTTGTGGCCCAGGGTTTGGGGCCTGGGAGGATCCTGCCTGCTTCACTGCAGAGGAGACCTGGTGGTGATTTAATTTCTTGGGAAAGCGGTGCCCTGGGCAACCTTCCTTCACCTCCTTGCTAGAGGAGACTGAGTACTCATTAAGATCAGAAGAATCCACTCTAGCTAGGTGTGGTGGGGCACACCTGTCATCCCAGCACTCTGGGAAGTGGAGACAGCAGGATCAAAAACGTTGGAGCCCAAGGGGCTGAGAGTTTAGCTCACTGGCAAAGTGCCTGCCTGGCAAGCGTGAGGTCGGGAGTTTGATCCCCAGGACCAAAAAAAAAAAAAAAGTTTGAAATTAGTGAAATTAGTTAGGAATTAGTGAGACCCTTTCTCAAATGAAAACAGGACTGATGGAGCTCAGCTTGAGGACTGCACCGTGGTGGGAGGTGCCAGTACAGCTGTGGCCCGTGCAGCAGCACTCAGGCTGGCATCCCAGGGGAGCCCTGCTGGGCACGCTCTCCCTCCTCCACAGTGGCCGCTTTTTTTGCATCCAGAGGAATGTGACTGCTACCATCCTGCTGTGTAGCTCAGGCTGGCCTTGAACTCATTGTGTAGCCCAGGTTCACCTGGGCCTTGGTGACCCTCCTGCCTCAGCTTCTGGAGCCTTGATTACCGTTCCAATTGGCCCCTGGTGTGGGTCCGCACAGGAGCTTTCGTCTCAGAAAGGCCTAGGAGAGTTAGGTTACCAGCTGGGCTTGTGTGGCCGGCACTGTCTTCTCAACTTTAAGGAGTGAATAAATATTAGCTGGGGTCTGCTCCCTGCCAGGCACTGGGCCAGGTTTACCTTTGATGCTTCAAGCAGGCAGGAAGTTGGGAGGAGCCGTGGACACCTACACTACACCTACCACGTTCATACCTTGGCATTTTGCCGTATGTGTTGTTTGAGACAGGATCTCACTAAATAGGTGGTTTGGGCTGGTTTTGAATTCACTAGCCCAAGCTGGCCTGCAGTTTGAGGTGATCTTCCTGCCTCAGCCTCTCGAATGCTAGCATTACATGTGTGCACTCAGATCTCATTTGGTTTGTGGTGTAGCGCTCCTTATGCGGTCTCTATTCACTCCATCTTACTTTGCAGTTCCTGACACTTGTCTGTGTCGTATCTAAACACTTGGCATGCTCATGATTCACTGGAATTCAGTATTCCTGGTTTGGCTTTTTATTTCCCCCCAGTACTAGAGATTGAACCCCAGCTTTTTTTTTAAAGATAGGGTCTCGATATGTAGCCCAGGCTGGCTTTAAACTCCCCGTGATCCTCCTGCCTCAGCCTCCTGAGTGCTGAGATACAGGCCTATACCACCATGCAAATTAGTTGTTATTTTTAGAGCTTGCTAAGTTGAGCAGCCTGGTCTCCAACTTTGTGATTCTCCTGTCTCAGCCTCCCAGAGCACTGGGACAGCACACATGCACAGTGTGTGTGTCTAATTGCAGGATGCTGGGTACCCACAGTGCTGACCCTACCCTAGCCTGGGGGTGCTGGGGTTCAAATCCTATTAGTAGTTAGCAGAGGAACACGGGAGGTTTCCTAAGTTCTGCCGCCTGACCCCTTCTGAAAGCCTCGGCTTTGCAGTGAAGGTGCCGTGATTCCATCTTCCTGGTGAGGGAGCTCAGCCTCGGGTCCACGCTCTTACTTCCTCAGGTCCTGGGGCGGGCAAGTGGCCGGGAGCCTAGAGGAGCCTAGTGCAGTCTGCACCCGTGCGCTGCTGGGCCAGCCCTGGAGGACACCAGCCGCGGCCTGCAGCGCGCAGCTGGACTGCTCTCACCTCGTGCTGTAGAGCGGCTGTTTAGCTGTGTTTTAGGGGACGGCGTGCGCAGCCCACGGCCTGGCTCACTCTGGACAAGAGTGCACGCGGGGGTGTACCGTGCAGGGGTGTACCGTCGTCTTCGGTGTGGCGTAGCAACCTGAAGCCTGCAGGGAGAAAGAGGCCGTCTGCAGGCAGTGGCCATTATGGCCCCTGATTGGTGGAAATGTGAACCGCACGCGTGCGCGCGTGCTCTGTGCGTGCGTACGCAGCTGCGTGCGCGTGACCGCGTGCGCACAGCCTTTGTTTGGCTTCCGGGCTGAAGGAGGAAGGCAGTGGGGGCTGCTTGTTTTTTTAGCTGCGCGTAAAAATGGAGACTAGTCCTCCTTCGGGTGCAGTGGGGCTTTCTGGAAGCCTCTGCATCCCCACCGTGCCGGCGGTGGCCAGCGGCTGTCGCCAAGAGGCCGTGTGGGGAGAAGCCCGGCTCACGGCATAGATGGCTCCGCACCCCGGAACCGGGGCGTCCTCTGTGGGGCATCCCGTGCACTGCAGGCGCAGAGCGGAGCTCGAACCCCAGCCTCTGCGTCCGGAACGGGTGACGGGCGCCTGCCTCCCCAGACATCGCCCAGGTGAAAACTGCTAAGGGTTAGGTGAGTGACTGAAAGATCGCGGCTCCATTGGCCAGGGATGTGTTAGCCTAGCTTTGGAGGCGCAGAGGGACTTCGGGTGGGTGACTTGTTCCCGTGTGCTGCCTCCATTTCCATTGAGACATAATCCTTGTCAGTATAACACAGAAGCTGCCGTATATGGCGAGTAAGCATCCATGACCTCCATAAAGCTTTATTTGTAGTCAGGGCTGATGGCAGTTACCTGGGGCATCAGCTGCTAGGCTGAGTCGGGAGGATCGCTTGAACCTGTGAATTTGAGGTCAGTATAGGCAGCGTAACAGGATCTCGCTTCAAAAAAAATGAAACTAGAGCCAGACATGACGGTGCGTGCCTGTGATCCCAGCACTTGGGAGGCTGAGGCAGGAGGATGGTTGCAAGTTGGAGACTAAATGGACACAGAATTGCCATGCTAGTTGGAGTTTATTTGGACCAGCTGACTGGTGTGCAGGTTTTCCTGCTGTCTCTCCAGGTTGTGATTCTCAGACTGTGGTCTCAGGGCTTCCACATGCTAAGCATGCCCGGGAGCCCTGGTGGTACAAATTCTCACTGTTAGTGCTTTTTTGATAGATGAAGGCAGGTCACCCCAGCGTGGGCACCTAGGCCAGACTCTTATGCAAAATACAACAAAATGTCCTGGGCCTGGTGGTGCTCACCTGTAATCTCAGCACTCAAGAGGCTGAGGCAGGAGGATCGCCACAAGTTCGAGGCCAGCCAGGGCAACATGGTGAGTTCAAGTCCAGCTTGGACTACAGTGAGACCCTGTCTTGAAAAAACAGAGCAAAGCACAAAGGGCTGGGCACGGCCCCAAGGCGAGTGCGTGCCACGCTGTGCTTGAACCAGGCCCGGGGGCTTACTTCCCGGAACGCGGAAAGAGGAACTGGGGTGAGCAGCCATAGTCCGGGGCTGCACACGTGCAGGTCCCCCTGCGCCATGTCGCCCCGCAGTCCCCCTCCCCCATGAGAGAAAGGCCTGGCACAGGGAGCCCTGTGCCCTGGCCACCGCCCACTAGGCTGCCCGAGGAGGCGTCCTCTGCTGGGGCCTGGGCGGGTGGCGGTGGCTCAGATGTCCCTGGCTGGCCCTCTAGGCCTTCCTGTCCCCAGGGTGCCCTGCGTGTGTCCTGCCCTGGTGCCCTGCCCGCCGTACAGTGTCTCCTTTCCCCGTGTCCCACCTGCAGCTCTTGCCTGTGGCTCTGAGATGGACAGCGGGGCGGAGCAGTGTCCAGGCGCTGGTCTGAGACCAGGCGGCCCCGCCTCGCAGGCTGCTTCCCGCTAAGCCGTCTGGGGCAAGGCGCGGCCTGTGGCTTCTGTTTCCTGAGCCCTGGAGGCCTCTAGGCAGCACTGGGGACACGGAAATTCGCGTTCCCCCCAACATGGCACAGGGGTAGAAAGCAGGTGCACACGGCCGGCCAGGCCTCGCCACTGGGTTCCACCCGGCCTGTTTGTTTTTATTGTTTTGGTTTTTTTGAGACAGGATGCTGGCTGTGCGGTTCAGGCTGGCCTGGAACTCACTCCGTAGCCCAGGGTGGCCCCAAACCTGCAGTGATCCTCCTGCCTTGACCCTCCCGAGTGCCGGGGTTAGAACTGCACACCAAGCAGGATGTGGTGGCTCACACCCATCGTCCCCGCTCGGAGGCCGAGGCAGGAGGATCGTTGTGAGTGCCTTGCCAGCCTGGGCTACACAGTGAGCTCAAGGCCGGCCTGGACTGCCCAGTGAGACCCTGTCTCAGAAAGACCAAACGTAAACAAGGACCGTGCCCCACTGCAGTGGGCTGGGCACGGTGGTTTTATTTCCCAGCCAGGAGCAGGCCACACACATGCACGTCTTGGTTGTGGTATTTAGGGTTAGGGCTGCGCGCTTGGAGTTTAAGCAGGTGACTTCGTGGTTCCTGTACCTGGAGAGGCGCCCACCTCTCGGCTGCGACAAATACCGGAGTCCACAGATCACGCGTGTATTATCTGTTACTATATGTTGTTACAGTCGCCCATTTTTGTTTATTTTTGGTAATAACTAGGGCTTGAAATACCCTTGGCCCTTTTGTGAATTTTCAGACAGGAGGGTCTCCCCGGGTAGCTAAGTTGCCCCGGGCTAGGCTGGAACTTGAGACCCTCCTGCCTCAGCCTCTCAGTGCTGGAGTGACTGGCTTGCTGTCTCACGCCTGCTACCCTGTTTTTTTTGGGTTTTTTCCTGCTCACGGTGCTGGTGGCAGAGCGGCCTGCCTGCTGCTGTGGAGCTGCGCGCTCTGGCCTGGGTTTAATTTTTAACGTTGGAAATTCCGGTCTGACCGAGGTGTGACCTTCCTGTACTCTATGTTTTATATCTTTTATTAACACCGTTAGCCTTGGGTGACATTTAGGGACTGTGGTGACCTGGCTCGACCTTGTCACCCTCATGGAAATGGAGCATCTGGGAGCGCCTGGGCCATCTCTAGCCCTGCCAAGGAGCTGTGGGCTTCTCCCTACCCTCTTTTAGACCTTCCTGAAAGTTCTGGGATCCACCTCCGGAGGGGGACCGCCTGGCTCAAGCTCGTCCATCTGCCCCTGCCACGTGCTGGCCTCCTTGTGTCCCGCTGCACTAGGTCGTGCAGGCTGGCTTTAAACTTGCTTGTGTAGCCCAGGCTGTCCTGCCTCAGCCTCCCGAATGCTGGGCTGACCGGTGTGCGCCCTCGTCCTGCCCTGCTGTGACAACCACACCCGTCCCAAGACATGGCCCAGCGTCCTGGGAGGCAACACAGGAAGGGAGCAGAAAGACAGAGCCACGGACGGGCCAGGTGCCCCCCACGTGGGTTCCTGGGGTACCCCGGGCCGCGGTGCTGGTACTCAGTACTGTGGCGTTAGGCTCGCGGGCTTTGCAGTGATCACAGGCCAGGCGGCCAAGCTCCAGCCAAGTCCTCTTGTTAGGTGCTTTTCTTGGGGGCCATCTGCCCTCCAGGGGACTCCGGGTACCCTGGGGACACCTGTAGTTGTGACAGGGGTTGGGGGAGCTCCCTGCATGGAACAGATGCAGGCCAGGACGCGTGCGCCGTGCGTCCTGCGTATCCTCTGGGAGCCCTGTGATCGGCCACCCCCTGGCTCCCCGGGGAGCAATGACTTCTCCAAAGAATCCGTGCTGGGGCGTGGCTGGTGGTGAGCCCTTGCCCAGCACAGCTAGGGTCTGTGCCACCATGTCCCGCTGGTTGGGTTTTTTTTTTTTGTGGTACCAGGGATGGAGCCCAGGGTCTTCACACTGAGCTCCCCCCCCTCTGTTATTTTTGGCTCACACTTGGAACCCTCTTGCATCAGCCTCCCGGGCACAGGGCATGGGTGTGCAGTGCCGCACCCACCACCTCCTTTCTCTCCTCGGGGTTCACAGCACTCCATCCCCTGGGTTCAGGAACAGCTGGCTGCCCTCTCTGCCCCCAGCTCTGACCCGGTCACTGAGTTGGCCTCCCTGCACCCCCAGCTGTGCCCAGCCCCTCTCCCCTCACCTGGGCACTCATGAGTCCACCTCCTCTCTCTGGCGTCACCAGTCCTGGTGTTTCTGTCCACGGAGCCCACGCTGTGTGTCCTGTGTGTCTGGCGTCTCACAGAGCACAGCTTCCTCAAGGTCCCTCCACACTGTGGCGTTGGTGGCCCTGGACATGCAGTGTGGGGGTCCGTGTGGCTTCGTGTCCTGCCGTCGGAGGACATGGAGCCCTGGGGTGACTCTGGGAGAAGGTGTCTGGCTCAGCCTGGGCAGTATGAGCCCTAGGAAGGCCCTGGGGTCCTGGGGAAGCCACGTGGGGGGCAGCTGACCTGTCCACGGCTCCCTCTGCCCGCTCCCTTCCCGTGTTGTCACAGCAGGGCAGCCCCTGGGCCTGGTGGGGGGCTCCACAGAGAAGGAGCCTCAGGGAAGGACCTGGTCCCACGGGGCACCTGGGTTGTGGGTTCCCCGGCGCCGGGGTGAGTAGAACGGGACAGCGGGCAGGGCTGGGGTGTGAGAGGCTGCCCTGCGCCAGGCGCCAGCTGCAGTCTTAGTCGTGTGTCCACCCATCTGGTCAGGGCAGCGTCCCCCGGGGACGCTAGGGACAGGGGAGCGTCCTTGGGGTGGGCATCTTGGCAACACCCCTGGCTTCCCACCCACTGCCGTGGCCTCTGGGTGTGGACGGTGAGTTCCACACAGCGGCCCTTAGTGGGTTCCCTGGCGGAGTGATGGTCCTAGCCGGGCGTGGTGGCGCCTGCCTGTCATCCCAGCACTCAGGAGGCTGAGACAGGAGGATCACTGTGAGCTCAAGGTCAGCCTGAACTGCATAGTGAGACTCTGTTTCAAAAAGACAAAAAATGACAGAAAAAGACAAAAGTGACTGCCCTCCCTGTGACACTGCTGACCTCCTACACCATCCTTTATTTTTTTGGTACCCGGGATTGAACTCACGACCTCACACTTGCCAAGCAGGCGCTAACGGCACTGAGCCAAATCCCCGGCCCTCTGTTTGTGAGCCAGTCTCACTGAGTTGCCCAGGGTGGTGGGATGTGTAGCCTCCTGCCTCAGCCTCCAAAACACAGGGGGTCAAGTGTGCACCCTTGACTTGATTTAGTCTTCTGCAATAAGGAGGTTCCCCCCTGAGACAGGTCTCACGCTGCAGTTCAGGCTGGCCGAGGGCTCACTGTGTACCCCAGGCTGGTGCCGAACTCACGGTGATCTTGCCTCAGTCTCCCGAGTGCTGGGATGACAGCATGAGCCACCATGCCTGGCTCCCTGAATGTGATTTAGCGATCCTGTCCTCCACCAGCCGGGTGACAGCTGGCCTGCGCCTGCCCGGGGCTGGGGGGACTCACGGCCTCTCTCTGTGTCCCCACAGATGGAGGATGGCCACACACTCTTCGACTATGATGTGCGCCTCAATGACACCATCCAGCTGCTGGTGCGCCAGAGCTTGGCGCTGCCATCCAGCCAGAAAGAGAGGGACTCGGAGCTCTCAGACACAGACTCGGGCTGCTGCCTGGGCCAGAGCGAGTCGGACAAGTCGTCCACACATGGCGAGGCGGCCACTGACACGGACAGCAAGGCCGGCCTGCCCGACGATGAGGACACATGGGTGGAGACGGATCAAGGGCTCTACAAGGTGGGCCAGGGTGGGCGGGCTGACCCCACGTCTCTGCTCTCAGACCCCCAGGTCCTGCCGGTGCCCCGCCGGCCGGCTGAGACCCTGGGCCCCTCCTGGCAGGTGAACGAGTACGTGGATGCACGGGACACCAACATGGGCGCGTGGTTCGAGGCGCAGGTGGTCAGGGTGCTGCGGAAGGTGCAGGCGGCCGAGGACGAGCCCTGCAGCTCGACCGTCAGCCCGCCATCCGAGGAGGACATCATCTACTGTGTGAAATACGATGAGTGAGTGCCCGCCGGGTGTCCTCGGACTGAGCGTGGGGCCGTCTGGGTGACGGCAGGGGACTTTGCGGGGCCCCTGCCCTCCCGAGGCCACCCAGATGGGGATCCTGGGGTTCTTTTCAGTGGAACCCAGGACCTTTGCACATGCCAGGCCAGCACTCACTGTAGTGCTACAGCCCAGCCTTATTTTCCCATTTTGTTCCTCTGTACTGCTCACCCCCGGATGAAGCAGGCTTCTGTCCCTTCCTTTCCCGGGAAGTTTGGCTCCATCTGTGCCCCAGGCCCTGTGTGGGCACAGTGATAAAGGGTGGTGCCGTGGTCCTCAGGCTGCCGTCACAGACTTAAAGCACCCAGCTGGCCTCTCGAGGCTCTGGAGGCCAGAAGGCTGAGGGTGGGCGGGAGGTCACTGTTGGCCTCTGTATAAAAGCCCCTCCCTCCTGACCCTGCACCAGGGTGGTTAGCTGCGCAGAGCAGCCCAGGATGCTCAAGGCTCAGGACCTGGCGCTAGAGCCCTGGGGAGAGGGCTGCTGAGCCCAGAGCCTGGCACCCTGCACGCTTGGCCCTGGGGACCGAAAGTTACCGAGGGCCGGACCGAGTGGATCGCACGGGAGCAGGGCTGGCCTCAGCTGGCCTCAGCTGGGCTGACGTGGCAGGGCCGTGCTGAGCTCAGCGTGACCTCGTCTGAAACGCAGAGACCCTGTTTCCAGCCGTCAGCTCTGTGAATCCGGCTCCTTGGGAGAACCGTGCCCAGCCGGGCCCCCGCTGTGGCCGGACGCCCAGGTCAGGGTCCCTGGGCTTGCAGGCCGGCTGTGCCTGAGCCTGGCTTCCCTCCCCAGCTACCCCGAGAACGGCGTGGTCACCATGAAGCCCCAGGATGTGCGTGCCCGCGCCCGCACCATCCTCCCGTGGCAGGAGCTGGAGGTGGGCCAGGTGGTGATGCTCAACTACAACAGTGACCAGCCCCGCGAGCGCGGCTTCTGGTACGACGCGGAGATCTGCCGCAAGCGGGAGACGCGCGCGGGCCGGGAGCTCTACGCCAACGTCCGGCTCGGGTGAGGCTCCCAGCGGGCTCCCGGGGGCAGCCCAGGGGCCGCAGGCGGCGCTGGGGGTGGCATGGAGACAGGGTCCTGCGGTGACCCTGTCCCTCAGCCTCCCGCGTGCTGGCATCACAGGCCTGTGTGTGGGTTTGATTTTTGAGACGGTCTTGTTACGTCCTTAGATTGTCCAGGCTGAGCCTGGGCTCGAGAGCCTCCTGCCTCAGCCTCCGGGAGTGGTGGGTGACAGGTGCCCGGCCGGTGGTCCTGGGAGGGCGAGGGACCCGGGCTGAGGGGTGTGCTGCCAGCGGCAGCCCCAGGACTGCAGCAGTGTCCCTGCGTGCCGCCGCCCCTGTGACCCCTGTTCCGCCAGGGCTGGAGCTCAGGGCGTCGAGCTGGCTGTGCACAGCGCTGCTCTTGGGAGTTTGTATCTTTCTTTGTCTGGCTGGACGGTGGTTAGGGTTCTTTTCAAAGTTCTTTTTTGGGGAATTAGCTTTTTTTGTTGGTGTTTTTCCGTTTTTCCCCTTTGTTTTCCATTTCATTGAGTTTGACTTTTCCCTTTTTAATTTGCTGCCTTCAGAAAAACAGAAGACCCCCCCCCCCCAAAAAAAAAAATTCCAAAGCCAGACATTGCGTCCGTGCCTCGGCCGGCTCTGTGGCTCTGGAGCAGGTCCTCCGCCGCTGCGGCCTCTGCTTCCAGACGCGGCGCCCGCTGCCCCCACAACTGGAGGTGCTGCCGCTGGCTGTTTCCGAGAGGCCGCTGGCGCACACCTGGCTCGCGCGGGGCCTGGACCCTCGCGGTGTGTGGGAGGACGGTTACTCCCCGGGGTTAGCGATTCCCATTGTGTGCAGTGGGTTTGTAGTTTGGCTTTACGGTCTGGGAAGTGTGAGTTTGGCCTCGATGCGGCCTCCCTGTGACTGTTCCACGGGCCGCTCCACGTGAAGCTGTCAGCTGGGTGGCTGTGGTCCAGATCTGCTCTTGCTGGGCTGGTCTCGCAGCACTGTCACTGGCAGTGGCTCACTGGGGTCCCTGGCTGTGGCTGTGGGGTTTCTGTTTCTCGTGGCTTTACGTATTTGCAGGCGTTGTTGGTGCCTGTGTGTTTACGGTCCTTGAGTCTCCTTGTCAGTGGCTGCTCTGTGTGCGCTGGCGTGTTTTGAGATTAAACCCAGAGCCTCCATGCACGGAGCGGAGTCTCCAGCCCTGCTTTAATTTATTTTTATTCTAATACAGAGTAATATATTGCCCCAGGCTGAGCTTGAAGTTTGCAACCCTTTTGGTTCAGCCTTGAAGAATGCTGAGGTTCTGGGCATGTGACACCCTGCTGGCGTGCTCTTTCCCATCGTTGTGTAATGTCCCTGTTGGTTTATGGCCTTTTTTTCCTTATTACTATTTTATTTTCTGAGATGGGGTCTCACTGTGGCAGTTCAGACTGGTCTGGGACATGCTGTCCTGTTTCAGCCTCTGCAGTGCTGGGATCCCAGGTGTGCACCACCATGCCCGTGTATGGTCGTGGGTGTGTGTGTGTGTGTGTGTGTGTGGCGCCAGGGATGTGTCATCTAGGACCTAGTACACGGGAGGTGCACACTGTGCCACCAAGCTGCATCCCAGCCCCGCTGACGCCTTTACCTGTCCCGTGTTGAAGTGACCCTTCCAGCCAGAGTGGTTGTACATGCCTGTAATCTTGGGAGGCTGAGGCAGGAGGATTTTGAACTTTGCAAGTTCAAGACCAGCCTGGGCTACAAAGTGAGCTCAAGGCAGCCTGAACTGCATAATGAGACAGAAAAGAAAAAGAAAAATAATACTTTGAGTATTTCCGACATTCCCGTTCCGTCTCTTTCCTTTTGAACACATGCATCAGAAAATTCAGTGTATTTGCAGCTTGAGCTGTTTCCCTTAGAGGTTGCTAGAGGTTGCTTTTAAGTTAGGAAGGTTTTTCTTTTTTGCCTTGGTACCAGGGGTTGAGTTAACGACCTCACATTTGCCAGGCAGGCGCTTGTGCCACTGAGCTATGTCCACAGCCGTGGGATTGTTTGTTTGGTTATTTTGAGAACAGGGTCTTGCTGTGTAGCCCAGGCTGCCCTGAGACTGGTGGCGATCCTCCTGCCTCAGCCTCCTGGGTGCTGAGAGAGAGCTGTGCACCACCACGCCCAGCTCGTGGGACATTTTGTATTACTTTGTTTTTAAGGACAGACAGGTCAGCCTTCTTTGATGTTCTTTGTTGGTGAGTTTCTCATTGTGTGCCCAAAGGTTTAAACTTCTCCCAGGCACATCCCGCAGTAAAGCTCTGGTTTGTTTGTTTTTGTCTTATGCCTGGGTTAGCAGGACGTGGACTTGGCAAGAGGGCGGGCTCAGGTCCTGCCCGAGGTCTGCGGTCTCCTGCCTGACCTCGGCGGAGCGGGTGGCATTGAAGCACAGCCAGGCAGGGGAGAGCAGACGCCTCTTGGAGCCAGGGGTTGGGGCGGAAGCCTGTAGGCCCGAGCGAGAGAAGGCTGAGGCAGGAGGATCCCGCGTCCCTTCCTGCCGGGGTGACTTAGTGAGCCTCTCAGAATAGAAGGGTGGAGCAGCAGCCCAGGCCCGGGCTGTGGACCGGGACCCACAGACAACAGCGGTCCTGGGCGGGCCGCCCGCTGAGGCTCCGCGTCCTCCTGCAGGGACGATTCTCTGAACGACTGTCGCATCGTCTTTGTGGACGAGGTCTTCAAGATCGAGCGTCCGGGCGAAGGTCCCCCCGTGGTGGAGAACCCCATGAGACGTGAGTGGAGCGTCCCTGTGCCCGCGCGGGTCCCCGCCGGCCCGGTGGCCGCTGACCCGCCGCTGTCCGCGCAGGCAAGAGCGGCCCGACCTGCAAGTACTGCAAGGACGACCCCCGCAAGCTGTGCCGCGTGTGCGCCTGCCACCGCTGCGGGGGCCGCGAGGCGCCCGACAAGCAGCTCATGTGTGACGAGTGCGACATGGCCTACCACCTGTACTGCCTGGACCCCCCGCTCAGCAGCGTGCCCCCCGAGGAGGAGTGGTGAGGCTGGCGAGGGGCGGCCGGGGGCCCGCGGCCGCGGGGCGGGTGACAGACACGACCCCCTGCTCCCAGGTACTGCCCCGACTGCCGGAACGACGCCAGCGAGGTGGTGCTGGCCGGGGAGAAGCTGCGGGAGAGCAAGAAGAAGGCCAAGATGGCGTCGGCCACGTCGTCCTCGCAGCGGGACTGGGGCAAGGTGCGGCCGTCCCTCCCCGCCCGCGCCCTCCCTCCGCCCCTCCGCGCGTGCTCATGGCTCCCCTCTGTGTCCACTGTGCAGGGCATGGCGTGCGTGGGGCGCACAAAGGAGTGTACCATTGTGCCGTCCAACCACTACGGACCCATCCCGGGCATCCCCGTGGGCACCATGTGGCGGTTCCGCGTGCAGGTACCAGTGACACCGCTCTGGGGCTTCGGGGCTCCTCTTGTGGCCACAGGGCCCTTGCGCTGGCCGCTGGCTGAGGGACACAGCCTGGTCTGTGCTGACGTTAAGCTCCTGAGTGCTCCGTGCCCCGAGGCTGCTGTGCCAGGGCAGGGCTGGCATGGCTGGACCGAACCTGTTGCCCAGCCCCCACGTGTGACGGCTCTGCCTCCGGGGCACCGTCAGCACCCAGGGCCGCCTGCACCTTCGGGGGCTGTTTGGGCTCCTTCTCCTTTTTTTTCTTTTTTGGTGCTGAGAATTGAGCCCAGGGCCTACACTCTGCGCTCCATCGCAGCTGGCTTTATTTTTGCTCCGAGGCAGGCCTTGCTAAGTTGCCCGGGCTGGGCTCGAATTTGCCTTTCTCCTGCCTCGCCCTCCAGAGCATTGGATGACCGGCATGCGTCCCTGCGTGGGCTAGCCTTGGTTTTATTTTTGATGTTCAGGGTCTGGGGGTGGAAGCTCGGCCCTCTGTATGCTGGGCCAGTGCAGAGCTGCTGAGCTCTGTCCCCAGCCCTCTGCAGCCCCTGGACTGTTTGCTGGGGGGATGAGTCACAGGCACTGCCCACACAGGGCCCGAAGGGTCTTTCAGGGTGTCTTTGACGCAGGCAGAGTCCCCTGGCCGCCATCTGCTCTGTGCCAGGAGCACCCTGCTGTGACAGCCACAGTGGCCCAAGGTCCCCCAGGCAGGGTTGGCCAGGTGAACCCATCACACTCACTCTGGAGTGTGCGATCGCAGGCGCCCGCCCCTCTAGCCCGCAGCAGAGCTGGCCTGGCCTGTGTGAACCAGTGTGCTGCCCTAGGTGTGCAGGATGGGCCGGGCGGGAAGCCCACCCCTCTGCCAGCCTGTCACGGCAGGGGTGGGGGGAGGCTGAAGGTGCCGTCTGCCCTGGTGTCTGCAGGTCAGTGAGTCCGGTGTCCATCGGCCTCACGTGGCAGGTATCCACGGCCGGAGCAACGACGGGGCCTACTCCCTGGTGCTGTCTGGGGGCTATGAGGACGATGAAGTGCGTGAGTCGGGGTGGTTTCACTTGTCTGCCTGCCTGCCTGCCTGTCTGTCTGTCTGTCTGTCTGTCTAGTCTTGCTTTTGAGGCGGGATTTTCTGTGTACCTTAGGCTGGCTTGCACCCTTGGCAGCCCTGCCTTACCCCTCCGAGTGTTGGGCTCACAGGTGTGTGTCACCATTCCTGGCTTCCTAAGCTTCCTTTGTAAGTGTGTGTTTGCCCACTCTCCTCCCCATGGTCACTTTGCACGCTGACCTTCAGTCAGGAAGGGCCTAAAAGTAGTCGATGGAAAATTTTAGACTTTACCGTTCAGAATTTAAAGTTGCGTGCCATTCTGAGGAGCACGATGCTGTCAGGTTCTTCTGTCCACCTCCATCGTTAGTTGAGCGTTTCCACACAGCACGTGCTACCCTCTCGTCAGTCGCTCGGCAGCCACTGTGGTTATCAGCATGAGCACTGTGTGCAGCAGCACTGCTCCTGTGCTCCACACCCCCCACTGGAATCGAACTCATGACCTGGTGCTTGCAGGGCAAGCACTTAGGCTGCTGAGCCGAATCCCCAGCCCTCCGTACTCATTTAATAGGCCGCAGATGACAGAAGAGTCATGGTGGCAACGTGTGTGCCTTACGAAAGCAAGTGTTCCCATAAGTGAAAAGATAAAAGAGTTGTAAGGGAATGTGGAGCCAGGATGGTAGTGCATGCCTGTAATCTCTGTTCAGGAGGCTGAGGCAGGAGGGTCTCCCTGAATTCCAGGCCAGCCTTGGCTACATGGTTTCTCCACAAAAACAAAAAACAAAACCAAAAAAGTACAGTCTGAGGCTTTGGGTGTTCACAGGAGTCCTGCAGCAGATCCCCCTCAGTTAAGAGGGAGCCACGGTATAGCTCTTAACTGTGAGCGCGTTCCCACAGCTGTGTGGGCCTCACCACGTCCACCTCCAGGCTTTCCATCTCCCCGAACCCAGCCTCTGTCGCTCCCAGCCCGGCACTGGGGGTGGGCCCCTGCCTGGCGTGGCCTCTGTGTCCAGCGTGGCTCCCTGAGCAGCACAGCTCAAGGTCAGGGGTCAGGGCGCCTCCCCTTTCAGAGCTGCCTGATGACCACTGTGGGGCTGCCCCCCATGCTGTGGGGCTGCCCGTCCTTCGATGGACAGCTGGGCTTCCCCACTGCCATGTGCACGTCGTATGTGCTACAGGGCTTCGAGATCTGCTCTCAGGCCTCCTGGCAGTGGAATCAATCGCTGGGTCAGTTTTTTTTTTCTTTCATTGCTGGAAATTGAGCCCCCACAGTCTGTGCATTAGGCTACTTTCTTAGCCCTTTTAAAAAATTTTTTATCTCCTCAAAATTTCGAGTCAGGGCTCTGCTAAATCATTTAAGTCGTCTGGGTTGGGCTGGAGCTCACCATCCTCCTGCCTCAGCCTCCAAGTGTCCTGTAGCCGGCGCAGTTTCTTGAGGAAACGCCTTTTCGCTCCTCTGCAGCCGTGTGCTCTTGCATCCCCACCACGGGCCCGTCCCCCCCACGCCCCATGCTCCCCCGGCTGTGACTGGCCATGCCTCGGGTGCGGGCTGTTTCCCAGGGCCCTCTTGTCTGTTGCAGGACAACGGGAATTCTTTCACCTACACAGGCAGTGGCGGCCGCGATCTTTCGGGCAACAAGCGGACTGCCGAGCAGTCCAGTGACCAGAAACTCACCAACACCAACAGGTTCGTGGGAGCCGCTGGGCACCCCTGAAAGAGCCGGGCACTGTTTGTCCCCGTGCTCACTGAAGCCCCCCACGTCCTCCACACCTGCCCAGAGGGTGGCTTCGTCTTTCTCATCGCAGTCCTCTGGGTCTTGCGGCAGATCCTCGCCCTGTGCCAGCTGTAATCGGGGAACTGGGGCTGTTTGGTAATGCTTTATTTGCAAAACCAGGCCACGGCTGGAGTTTGCTGCCTTCAAGCCCCTGCCTCCCCCACTGGGGCTGGGCTTTTAAAGTTTTAAAAATCTGAGCTGGAAATGGTGTGGCCCATGTCTCTAATCCCAGCCCTCTGGAGGCTCAGGCAGGAGGATTGTTGAGTTCAAGACCAGCCTGGGCTACACAGTGAGCTCAAGGCCAGCCTGAACTGCACAGAGACACCCTGTCTCAAAAGGACAAAAAAAATCTGAAACCCAAAGGAGCCCGGGAGCCCGGGATCGCAGGCGACAGTGCTTCCCAGGGTGTGCGGGCAGCAGGGGCCGTGGTACCCGCGCCTGTCTAGGCATCGGGAGCACAGACCGCCGCCGCCGCTTCCAGAGCTGGTTTCTGCCTGCTGTGAGCCGGCCAGAGCCTGGGCCGTGGTGACCGCAGAGGGCGAGCGCTCAGGCCGCCGGGTTCCCTCTCAGGGCGCTGGCGCTCAACTGCTTCGCACCCATCAACGACAAGAAGGGCGCAGTGGCCAAGGACTGGCGCTCGGGGAAGCCGGTGCGGGTCGTGCGGAACATGAAGGGAGGCAAGCACAGCAAGTACGCGCCTGCGGAGGGCAACCGCTATGATGGCATCTACAAGGTGAGCTGCCCTTGCTGCCCGCAGCCATGCTCGCCCTGGCCACGCCCACCATGGCCACGCCCATGCTGGCCACGCCCCCGGAGTCAGCCGAGCCCCGCCCCCGCTGGTGCCCCTGAGCCCCACGGTCTCCTGCAGGTGGTGAAGTACTGGCCCGAGAAGGGCAAGTCCGGCTTTCTGGTGTGGCGCTACCTCCTGCGGAGGGACGACGACGAGCCTGGGCCCTGGACGAAGGAAGGGAAGGACCGCATCAAGAAGCTGGGACTGACCATGCAGGTGCTGTCCTTTTTTTTTTTTTTTTGCCGTCTCTCGGGGTGCCCGCGCTGGGGGGCCGGAGCCACCTTGGGGTCAGCGAGTGAGCAGCCACCTGGCCGCGCTCCCTGGCTCCGAGCTGCTTCCGAGCTCCTCTGGCGTGGAGGCGGCTTTGGGGGCTGACCCGCCCTCCCCGCCATTCGCGTGGAGGAGCGCTGCGGCTGCTGGGCATGGCCGCGTTAGCGGGGCTGTGAGCCCGTCCGTGGGAAGCGGGTCCTTCCTCCCTGCACCTGCTCGGGCCACTGCAGGAAAGCAGCAGGGAGCCTGGCCACAAACCGTGTGCGCGGGAGGCTGTTTCAGGAGTCTTAACTGCTGGGAGTCGGAAAGCGGCTCTCCCGGGCAGGAGCTGTCCTCCGAGTGCCCCGGGGCTGCCCGGGATCCGGCGCTGGGGCAGTGGGGCGGGATGGCACCTGCTGGCCAGGCTCGGGACTGAGGGCCGGGGCCAGCCCGCTCACTGCACATCCCCTGTGGCGCAGTACCCCGAGGGCTACTTGGAAGCCCTGGCCAACCGCGACAAGGAGAACAAGCGGGCGGCCGAGGCGGTGGAGGAGCTGTCGCCCTCCAAGAAGGGCAAGTGGAAGCGGAAGCCGCCAGGTGAGCGGGCGTCTCCCGCCGTCCTGCCCCGCCCCGCCCCGCGGAGGAGCCGGCCCTCACCCGCTCTCTCCCCCAGGCCAGAATGGCTCCGGCGTGCGGACCACCAAGAAGACCAAGCTGGAGCCCTACAGCCTCACGGCCGAGCAGAGCAGCCTCATCGAGGCGGACGAGAGCAACGCCAAGCTGTGGGCCGAGGTCCTCACGGCGCTGCGGGAAGGCCTGGTGAGAGCTCAGCCCGGATGCCCTCTGGGGAGCGGTGCCAGCTGGGCCGTGGCCAGGCTCGTGGCTCAGCCCTGCTGGGTGGTGTTGCGGATCCCTTCCTTTACATGGCTCAGTAATACTCCAGCACGTGGCTGGACCCCACTGCATGCCGTGCTCCCCTGGACGGTCCCACGTGTGAGCTGTGTGCCTGTGGGACCCAGGGTACAGTTGTCTGTCCTGCTCCCATCTTCGACTTCAAGGTGTACCTTAGCAGGGGAGGTGCTGGGTCAGGGCGAGGGCTCTCGCGTTTAGCTTTTTGAAGGACCTCTGAGTCTCCTGCACTTGGGGTGCGGCCCTGGTGAGGGGCCTCAGTCCTCCAGCCACCGTGCCCTGCCCAGCCTCCCTGGCCACATGGTTCCCATGGGGTTGATGCCATCTGAGACCCTCAGCCTGGGGTTCAGAGCAACCCAGGCTCTGCTCTCACTGTTTTGGATGGCCGAACCCTGGAAGGAGCCTTCGGGGGTGACTGGAGCCATGGCAGGCCACTCTGTGTGGCCCCGTGGCTTCTCCTGTGCCTTCTTCTTGGCTGATGTGACACCGGGCTCCTAGGGAGGGACTCGGCTCTGGACACTGCCGGAGGCAACTCTTCCCGCTCCCTGTTGTCCTTGGCCCCACGGGGACTTTTTCATTAGATTTTTTTTTTTGGTACTGGGGATTGAACTCTTCTCTGAACTGAAATCCTTGGCCATTTTTTGTCATTTTGAGACACGTCTTGGTTTGCAGTTCAGGCTGGTCTTGGGCTCACTTTGTAGCCCAGGCTGGTCTTGAACTTGAGTGCTCCTCCTGCCTCAGCCTCCTGAGTGCTGGGATGACAGGCGTGTCCTACCATACCCGGCTTTCCTGCACACCTTGGCACCGTCTCGAGCCCATATGCAAGGGGCCTTTCTGTGGCCCTGTTGGGCTCATTGGGGCCCCTGAGCACGGCTGGCTTGGACCTGGGTTTCACCCCGTCTTCACGAGGTGGGCACCCAGTGGCCCTCTCGGGGTGGGGGCGTGTGGCACAGCTGATGAGCGGGGTGCAGTTCCAGGCGTTCCTGAGCAAGGTGGAGGAGACCTTCCAGTGCATCTGCTGCCAGGAGCTGGTGTTCCAGCCCGTCACCACCGTGTGCCAGCACAACGTGTGCAAGGTGAGCGCATGGCTGCCTCCAGGTGCTGGGGCTCCGGGGCAAGGGGCGGGGCGGGGACCCAGCGGGGCCGGCTGCAGGCTGCTCTGGGCCCCTTGTCCCGCCCCGTGTCCCACGGGTGTTCACTGAGCCCCTGCTCACTGTGGGCACCGTGTCTGGGGAGAGGCAGCAGGCTGGAAGGGCCTTGGAGGTGGGCCACACTGGCTGCGGGGAGGGGGCAGGGCGGGGGAACCGGCCTGACCGTCCACCTGTCCCGCAGGACTGCCTGGACAGGTCCTTCCGTGCCCAGGTCTTCAGCTGCCCGGCCTGCCGCTACGACCTGGGCCGAGGCTACGCCATGCAGGTGAACAAGGCACTGCAGCGCGTCCTCAACCACCTCTTCCCCGGCTACGGCAGCGGCCGGTGATGGAGCGTCCCGGCCACGGGCCCTGTGGGCCCCGCTGAAGCGCGCAGCTCCTTCCGCCCCCTCCCGGCCTTGTCTTCCCGTGTTTGGTTTCGTTGTGTAACGTGCGTTTGCAGGAGTCCCGGGTCCTGGCTGCAGGTGGCCTGCGAGCCTTTGGTTCGGTCGGCTCTGAAGTGTAAGCTGCGATTTCTCTGGCTGAGACGGAGTGGGCCACGGGGCCCTCGGCCTTGGTGCTGCTGCTGCTGGCTAGGAGTTCTCCGAAGCTCCCGCTGCCCATCGTGAGGAAGGCACCCAGCTGCCCGCCGGGGCCTCCGCCGGCCTGGGGTCCCCACTCCCCGGTGGCACAGCCAGTCATCCTTCCGGTGGGGCCCCGGGGTGTCCGGGGAGACCCGCCGAGCGGCAGCATCTACCTCGCCTCAGTGGGGCCTGCGGGAGATGGGCGCGGAGCCCTGCCGGGCCGGTGCCTGTCCCAGTGCCCAAGTGCCTTCCTGGCCCCAGGACGGGGCCGCCCCTAGCACTGAACCTTAGGGCCGCGCCAGCCGGGCCGTCCGTCTCTTCCTGGTGCTGAGCAGAGTGCGGAGTGCTTTTTCCCAGCATTTAAGTTTGTTTTTTTCCTTCAGCTCAGCAGTCGAAACTCACAAGAGGATTTTTTGTTTGTTTCTGGGATGGGGGTAAGGAATGCTTTTTCAAATGAATTTTTTTGTAGTATATGTACCAGGAAAGGTATAACTTAGCATTTGGTTGTGTTATTTTGGGGTGTTTTCTTCTTTTTGGTACTTTTTTTCAAAGGATTTGTTCAGTTTTCTACCTTTACCAAAGTTTGCAGCTTGTACCTCAGCAGGCCCAGGGATGTTTTAAATCACAGAACTGCAGACAGACTGGATCGATACTATTTTTAAAGTTTTTTTTTTTTTTTTTTTTTTTTTTTTATGATTGTTAATGTTTTGGGAAGAAAAGAACCGAATTCTGTGTAGGCTTTTTCCGAAGTTCAATATTCTTTGTGCAGATTTTAGATTCTCAGAATAAATGTTTTTCACAGAAGCCTTTTGTCTTGGTGTCTGGGAACAGCCCGGGCCCTGAGTCTTCTCACCCAGGGTCTTACTTTCTCGTCACAGAAACACCAAGAGAAAGGTGGGAACACCACCCCCACTTCACATAATCAGTGTTTCTCTTGCAGTCCTGGAGGTTGAACCCAGGGCGTGCGGAGCCCTTTGACTTTGCTAAGTTGTCCCAGCAGGGCTGGAACTTGTGACCCTCCTGCCTCAGCTTCCCAGAGTGCTAGGATTATGGGCGGATAGCAGCCCAGCAGACTGACAATTGATACGGGCAGACGCAATTTGATACTATAACACATTTTTAATAGACTATGCCGTGTTTGTTCCGTAAACGTCCTGTGTCCCGAGGAGCAGTGTCCTACGTGCAGTCACGTCCCTGAATACCATCTGCGGTCCTGGTGAGCAGTGACCAGGGACGGGTCACAGCCCAGTGGTGTCGGGCTGGGGCAGAGCTCCCGGGGGGCGGAGAGGCCTCTGAATGTCCCCTGGCCAGGTCCTCCCGAAAGACCTGCAGGATCTCTGCAGGTGGCCACGATCAGGCCGGCTCGCCATCTTCAGGAGTTTTCGCATGGTGATACCGTTGAGGTTTTATTTGTTTTTGTGTCAGGATTCGAACCCGCGACCTGACTGCGGAGCCGTGCTGTGCCGCCCAGCCAGCACCTCAGCAGCACTGGGGGTTTCCGTTTGTCTCTTGAGACCGTTCCTGGCTGTGTAGTTCAGGCTGGCATTGAACTCACCACGCAGCCCAGGCAGGCCTCAGACTCAAGCCAAGCCTCCTGCCTCAGCCTCCTGAGCGCCTAGTGTTTCCAAGTCGGGCCTTTTACCGCACAGTTGATTGACTTATTGACGGTATTCACAGGATTGTGCGGCCAACGCCACTAATTCAGAAGGTTTTGTTACATCAGAGAGCGACTCTGTCCCCGTGACCCAGCCCCGCCGACCCCCTCTGCACCCCTAGCACCTTACAGGCCCACTTCCTGTGTCCGAATTGTCCTGTCCTGGGTGTTTCCTGTCCGCAGAGCCCAGGCTGTGTGTCCCGGGTCTGAGGGTGCTCCCACAGCGGGCAGCTGCCTCACTGGCTGAGCGAGCTCTGAATGTTCGGGTTCAGTCTCTCGTACTGAAAAATATGGGTGGGTTGAACACATTTTTGTTCTCCCTGCTTGGCTTTTTTTTTAATGATACAAAACTGCCTCTGCTTGGCTGGAAGCAGTGGCCCACGCCTGCCATCCCAGCATTCAGGAGGCTGAGGCAGGAGGATTGCGGCAGCTCCGGGCCAGCCTGCCCTGCAAGGACACTGTCTCAGAAAATAAAAATGACACATCTTTGCTGCTCTCCCTCACCCTTGGTTATAAAATGACGCATGACCACTTTAGAAACTGAAGAAAAAGAGTCCTTTTGCTGTGCGTTTCTTTAAGGGGCTGGTCGTGCACTTCTGTATATTTACTTTGGAACCCGGGAGTGGCTGGTACATGGTATAAGTGCAAAACAGCTCAGTGTTTTGTAGTGAGGCAAACGGGTACACGGAGGTAAGCGGCTAAGGTGCAGAGGTGGGCTGTGTGTGTCTCTGTATAGATGTCTCAAATTTAAGAAGCAAATTTGGGTGGTGCCGTATATTCCCTTTCGTGCCTGGTTTTCATCTGAGTTCATTTCGTCTATAAAGTAGTCCATGTGTTTAGGACCTTGGCAAACAGATGTGGACTTTGGTTTAGTGCATGTGTGGGGCATGCGTGCCTACAAAACAGTGGCGTGAGACGGACGGTTAGGTTTCAGGTTTTAGAAACCTTGTCAGGGTGCAGTAGCTATTAAGGAGGCTGAGGCAGGAGGGTCCCAAGTTCAAAGCCAGCCTGGGTAGTTTATCACGGAGGCCAAGACTGTCTCAAAGAGGGCTGGATCATAGCTCAGTGGTAAAATGCCCCTGAGTTCAATTACTAGTCCTAGAAAAAAACTTTTTTTTCTAAGCATATGAGAATATCTCTCCATTCTAAAGTTCATCTTTTTCAGTCATGCACAATAAACAGCGTCTTTCAGTCCCAGCCCTCCTGTTTCTCTTTTCTTTCTTTCTTTTTTTTCTTGTTAAGGTCATTTTTTTTTTCTTACTGAAGTTTTTCTAAGTTCCCCAGCTGGGCTCAAATTGGGATCCTCCTGCCTCAGCCTCCCAGACTGCTGCGATGACCGGTGGGCACCAATGTATCAGGCCACCCATCTCTAGTTTCCCTGCACCAAGTCATACGGCGAAGGAGCCTTCGCCAAGCAGAGTGCTTCCCGCTGCCACCTTCCTTTGGGGACAGAAAGTTGAAGAGCAGCTGTAACTCGACTGGCCCTGGGACCCTGGAACCCTCGACATCTGTGGTCAGAGCTGGAGGGTCCCCAACACAGTGCCTGGCCCCAGCCTGTGATGACATTTGTACCTTGTGCCTGTCTGCAGAGTTCTTGTGTCCCTCTCAGAATCCTGCTTTGCATATGGCACCTTTTAAACAGTGATTCATTTTTTTCTAACATGTTATTAACATTTTCGACAGAGAAAAGGTGTAAGGATTGTTAGGCAAGCCTCAAATATGCCCAGCATTTAGATTCCGCGATTGTTAATGTTTTCCACATAATTGGATTTAAAAAGTGTCGCCAAGCAAAATAAAGGAAAATTGACTGTTTAGGTCCCCTGCTTAAGAAAAACAAAATTTCAGAGTCTGCAAAGTGCAGACATCTGGAATTCACTGATTTACAGGATAAACGTGGATGTAGACCAAAAAAAGGCTTGTGTGTGGAAAAATCTCTTTTGATAGCATTTATCTCTGGTGGTGCCAGGGATGGAACCCAGGGCCTCTGCACTGAGCTGCATCCCCAACCACCACCCCTACCCCGGTTTTTTTTTTTTTTTTTTGAGCCAGGCTTTTGGGGTCTCACTAAGTTATTCAGGCTAGTCTTGGACTTGGAATCCTCCTGCCTCAGCCTCCTGCGAATCTGATATGACAGGTGTACCCGCTGGGCGGTAGGGCCATTATCCAATCTCTTTTCTAGCTTTCCCCCAGGTTAAGGAGTTCTTGGAGGGCATTTTCTATTTCCTATTTAAAAGATGAAATTTAAATTCCTCGAGGAATACTTGAATAGGGTCCCCCAAGGATTTTGAACGCCCAGAAGGGCTTCACATCCCCCTCTGACTCATCTTCTCTCCTCTCCCCAGGGACCCAATTGTCTCAGTCAGGGGGTTGCTATTTTTGAGGCATTTGCACACAAATGGATTTCTGGAAACCCCAGAGTATGCTGTGTGTGTCTCCTAATGCGTCTTACTGAGTGCAGAATTTCGCAGTATCCCAGCGCACTGCCCTGGTATGGCAGCCCGTGCAGGTGGACGGGTGGCGCAAATGCTGGAGAGAGAAAGCTTCGTTGGCCGCAGCGAAGACTCACTCTCTTATTAGAAAATGCCCAAGACCTGCAGTCGGGACTGGGACTCGAGTTCCCCAATTTGCAAAGTGCCCAGCTGCCTCAGGAAGCAGCACCCAGGACAGTTTTCAAGGGAGAGAGAGCTAAGCCCTAAGGAAACGCCTTATTCTCCGACGCCTTAGTCCCTTTGCAGAGGTCTCCGGATCTGCCTGGAGGGTTCTAGGCGCCTCTTGCTTGATCTTGCATTTCTCCAGTTCTTCATTCTCCTTTGCAAAATGGGCTTGCTTTGGGGTGCGCTGTTTCCTGCTAGCTCAGCATGTTGCAAATTTGGGAAATCCCTCCTCACCCCCAACTCCACGTCCAAATTCCGATCATGGGTCTCGAACTCCTAGTCCCCGAGTCCAGAGCCAGAGGGGTTGATGTTGTGCTGGTTCTCACGTACTCAGCAGCCGCCTGATAACCAGGGCGGGGCCTGGACAGAGCAGACATTGATTGGCACCTATTCTAGCCAGTCGGCGCCTCGGGCCAGTCCCGCACGCTAACACTCGCTTCCCTCAGTGCGATCGTTGGGCGGTCCTGGAGTCACTCCTGTCAATCTGTGGCTCTGACGCTGTCGGGTTGGTCACTACTTTTCTACCTGGCGTGCATTCCCACCAATGAGAGTAGAGCCGGTCAGCGGGCACGTGAGTGAGCCCGGCGTGTCCCCTGACGGATGGCCAATGAGGGCACGAAATCGGGTCTTGTACTCGCCCAATCGGGGTGCGGTGGGCGGGCCGTGCGGTGTTGATGGGCCCGGCTGAGGGGAGGGGCGGAGCTGTCAGCCGCAACCAATAGGTGTGCGGGCGTGGGCTCAGCAGCCAATGGCAGCCGGGGCGGAGCAGGAGCGCCCCCTCATAAGCCCCTCCCCGAGGCGCTCGCGGAGGGCTCGGCAGCCAGCGACCGAGCGGGGTCCGGCCCGAGCTGGGCCTGGGGTGCGACGCCGAGGGTGGGGAGCGCGCGCCGCTGCTCCGGGACCCGGCCGCGCGCGCCGCCTCAGGTGAGCCCACGGGGGAGCCGGCCGGCCCGTCGGCCGCGGGCGGAGGAGCGCGGGCCCCGTCGCCCAAGCCGCCCCCGCGCCGCGGCTCGGGGCTGCGGGCGCGCCCGGGACTCGAGGCCCAGGCCTCGGGCGCGGCCTGCTCGGGGCCCGGGGCCCTGGCGCTTTGTCCCGTCCGGCGACGCGGGCGGTTGGGGGCGTTAACCGGCCAGCCCGGAGTGGGGGTGGCGCCCGCTGGGGGCCGCGGGCCGCGGCGGGGCGGGGGGCCCGGCGGCCGGACAAAGGCGGGGCGCGCCCAGGGCGGGGGCGGGGCGGGCGCCCCTTCGCGGGCCGGGGGCGCACAAAGATGACAGCGTGGGTGGCCGGCCGGGCCTTTCTGCTTTATGATGCAGAACAAGCCTGGTCGCAATTTAAAAAAAAATAATAATAAAAGAATGAAAGAAAAAAAATATTTAAAAAGACCCCCAGAGCCTTGGTAATCCTTGCCTGAGTCTCTGAGCCTCTGAGCGTTGGAGAGGCAGAGGGCACCTCGCCACACACCAGCCACAGCGTGTCACCCCGTGGTGCCCCCGAAATGCCCATCGCTGCCGCCCCCCCCCCCCCCCCGCCGTCAGCCTGCCGTCCGAGCTTCCACACTGCTCCCCCCGCCCGTGTCCCCCGGCACCCCTCAATGCAGCATGCAATTTAGGTGTTTGGTTTTTTTTAATTTTAAAAATTCCTTGCCATGCACGCGCAGCCTGGCGATGCGCCCCCACCTCCGTGTCCCTCCCACTTGCAACCCGGTCGCCATCTCGGAGGCAGCCCCTCGGCCGGCCGCCGCCGTGGAGAGGATGCACATGGTCCGCCGGCCCGGACGTCCCCGTGACGGCCGCGCGGATGCGCTGTGACGTGCGCTGCGGGTGGCAGGGCTGCCCCGGCGCTGGAGGCTGCTCGGTGGGCGCGACGACCTCAGGCGGAGTGAGGGTCCGCGTGTCAGTCGCAGGCCGGGGCAGGCGGGCCTTCGGAGGGCTGTTTCCGCGGAGGAGTGGGGACCGCGTTTCAGTGGGTCCCATCTGTCGGGCTGGGGGAGGAGGCTTTTGTTGTAAGAATCGAGCTGCACCTGGGGAACTGTTTCCCCGAGTTGTGAAACTCGTGGCAAGGTGGCCGCTCAGTGGAGCCCCGCCGTCCTGCGAAAGGTCAGGCCCCTCCATGCTGGTCCTCTGCCAAAGCCATTGATTTTGGCACGTCGCTTTGGATGCCAGCGCTGTCTTAGGGTCTGAGGAGGCTGAGTCGCCAAGGCTGTGGTGTGGTGCCCAGCTCTGTGTCCCAACAGCCAGGTACCCGAGTGTCCCTGAGCTGCAGAGAGGTCCTACAAGCAGCACCTGTCCTGCGAAGGGCTCATTAGATGACTCCTCTGGGCTTTTATGGCAGCCCTGCCAGAGTTAATGACTCCCCTAACTCTCAAATAATAGCAGCCTTGAGGACCGTGGAGAGGACGCGTGGGCAGTCTCTCCTCCCAGCCCACGGAGTGGTGGGCAGCCCCCGCCCCGCCCCGCCCCCCAAGGACAGAGCGGAAACCGCTAGAGTCAACTTTGCGTGCTCTTCCCTCTTCCCGGAGCCAGGGCTTCTGAGGCCCGAGGGATCCTCCTGGTGCCTCCCCGGGTGCAGGGACGCAGGGAGGGTCAGAGCGTCCTGGCAGATGGAGGTCAGGGCCAGGGAGGCCCTGAGCAGCGGAGGCTGGGTTGCACAGACGTGTTCATCGAGCTGTGCACCACGCGCTAGGCGCTGTGCGTGTGTGTATGCGCAGGCACACGTGTATGTTCATGCATGTGCGCGCACGCGTGAGTGTGCAGGTGCTGGGACCTGGAGCCTGTGCAACTTAGGTGATTTTTCAGGCTTTGGGGCGGAGCCTGAAAGTGTGGATCTGTCTCTCACCTACTCTCCTGCTTCCCCGGCCTCTGTGTACCTCGAGATCCTGCCCATCTGGGCTTCGGCTCCTCCTCTGCAGCTCTCTGTGCCCCCCCACATTCTGTGCCCTGCCCCTCCCCCAGCAGGGGCCCTGGGATCCCAGCCCGGGGAGTCCAGCTGTCCTCTGTGCCATCTGACACCTGGCAGGATTCACCTGGCCCGTGGAGGTTGGGTTTCCAGCCCTGGGCAGGTTGGGAGGAGCCTCTGTTCCAGGGCTTGGCTTTTAGTGGGGTGGGGGTAAGGGAGGACCCTGTAGTGTGGTCACGGTTGCAATGGTGGAATAGCTTAGGGAGGGGGCACGGGAGGTAACCCGGTTGGCTGAGGACTCAAGTGTGGGCCTGAGGCTCTTCCTGGGGTCAGGAAATGTGGCTGGCACTCAGGGTTGTGTGACCTTGGACTGGTCCCCTACTCCTGAGCATAGGGGCATCTGGCCCTTGCAGGCACTTGAGCGGGAGGGGTGGACAGAGGCCTGTGCTGGTCACAACGTGACAGATGGCTGCCCGCACACCAGTCATACCCGGCTCCTGGCCCGGTGCCAGAGCCTGGCCACACGGCTGCCCGCAGGGCCCGAAGCCCCGTCCTACCCTGGGGCCTCACTTTGGGCTGAGGATGCTGGGCCGAGAAGGGGCTGAGAGAAGGGGCTGACGGGAGCCTGCTCTGGGCCCTGACACTCTTGATGATGTTAGTCCCTGGGTGTCTGTGCCCCCAGGTCGGGAACCTGAGAGATCTGGGCTCAGGTGCCTGCCAGGCAGGTCTGTCACCTGTCTGCCTTTTCTGCTTCCGTGACCTGAGCTGCACCTTGGGAGCCCTGGGCTTCCACAGATGGCCGTGAGTTTTGTGGGGGCTGAGAGCCCTAAGCTGTGAGCCGATGTCTCCATATCCGCCCTGTGCCCAACCTGGCCTGGTGTGCTCTGTGGGGCATCCTGGGCACCACAGGGTGCTGAGGGCCCCCCAGCCACCTGCTCCAAGCCAGCAGCAACCCCAGTCCTGACAGCCACACAAGTCCCCAGATGTGGCCCAGTGCACCCTGGGAGAAAGGTGGTCCCTCAGAGACCTGGGAGGAGACCCCTAGCTTTGCCACTGTCCCCCTCGCCCGCGCCCTGTGGCAGTGAGCGGCTCCCACAGCTGCTTCTTGTCTGTCCCTCTGCCCTGCCCAGCCCCGAGGGGGTGCTGCCTGCCGCCCACCTGCCACGCTGCTTGGGGTGTCTCCGGGTTGCCCTCGGCCTCTGGGCTCCCACTTGGGCTTCAGTGGCCACCCAGGGGTGACACTTCCACACCCTCCCCACCCGTACCCATCTGCCAACCCGATGGACAGTGCCTCCTTTTAAATCGGCTTCGAGTGGCTGCTGATGGCAGTGTCTGTGGGCCCAGGGGACGCAGGTATGCTGGCTGTGGTAGTCTGAGTCACCCGAATTCAGATGCACTGGTTCGGGTGTGGCCATCTGAACTGAGGCTGGGTGCAGCTCAGTGGAGCCCACCGTCCTGGCACGTGCACCCCACCTGCGCCCCAGTACTGCTTTGGTGAATGGCAGCAGTTTTCGGACCACTGCATTTGAGTTTGTCCATGCTTGGCATGGCTGGTTTTGGGGACCCTTGTGCTGGGGGGTGTCCCAATCACTAGGGGGGCCACTTGCACCCCTGTTCTCCGAAGGGATCTGAAAAGATGGTCTTCCCTGGGAGGTAGGGAGCACGTGAAAAAGCTCTACCTTCATCTCTTGTTTTCCTGCAACCTAAATAGAGTCTGTGAAAAGTTCAGAGAAGCATAGAAGAGCAAAAGCATTCTGGCCAGAGGGAACAGTGTGTGCAAAGGTCCCGAGGCAGGGAAATGTTTGTACCTGAACACATGACAGGCAGGGGAGCCGAAGTAGTAGGGAAGCAAGTAAGGATGCCGCAAGGCAAATCACTTTCCCTACCAGTTCATTTCTGCCCCCGGACCTTTGCACTTGCTGTTCCAACAGCCACGGAGCTTTTCCTTCCCCATCGCAACCCAAGGGGCTCCTTGTCAGCTAGGTCTCTGCTCAGCGAGCCCTTCCCTTCCAGGGAACTGGCTCCCTGCCTGCAGCCACCCTCCCACTCTCCCTCTCCCCCATCCCGCTTTTTCTTTTTTTGCCAGAAATCAGTGTGAATCTCTTTGTATGTTTGTGGTCCCTTTTGGGAGCAGGGGCTTTTCCTGGGCAACACCAGAAAGTAAGTATCTGCATCTCAGGAGGCCTGAGTCTGTCCTGTCACCCCCCCAGGCCATTGTAGCAGGGAAGTCACCGCAGGTGGTGGCCACAGGAATGCCACGGCCGGGTTCCAGGAAAACTTTATGTGCACCTGGAGAGTGCAGTGCAGAAAGACTGAGTTTTTACATCCCAAAATACTTTTCTTCTTCTTTTGATATTTTTTCCTGCCCTCCCATTAAAAGCTGTCCAAGCCATTTCTAGGTCCCAGGGCACGGCAGGACGCTCCTGAGGTTTGCCAGCGCGGGGCCACAGAGCGGCCCATGTGGTTGCAGCGAGCCCTTTGGGTTTTGTTGATCTCTTTGAGGCTGTGTGCCTGTGTGCTCTACACGGCTTTGAGCTTGCTCAGGCCGGGCCGGAAGTCAGGGTCCTCCTGCCTCAGCCTCCCAGTGCTGAGGTCGCAGGCGTGCGCCATGCCACACCTGAAGCTGCCCGGTGGCCGTGTGGGGGCTGCACACAGGGCAGCTCTTGGTACCCAGTTAGTGCTCAGCTAATGTCCAGTTAGCCTTCCTCTCTCCCAGTGCTCAGAGCATTGAGAGGCCGGCGCTAGAATTCTGAAAAACAGGTCGAGGGTCTTTGGGGGGAACATAGCAAAACGTGATGGGCTGAGACACAGGAGGGAAAAAAAACCGCAGGGGCGCGAGGTCACGGCTTGGGTTTGGGGGCCGGACACTCGCTACCCCCTTTCGTTGGAGAGTCCCCAAGCGTCAGAAGAGGCTGGGGCCCCGCCCTGGAGCTGTCCGTGGCCAGCGGAGCTGGTGGGCTCGCAGTTGTTCTGTGCGGGTCCCAGCCTGGCTTCTCCTTTTTGGAGACAGGGTGTCACTCCATGCTGGG